AAACCTAGGACTTTTAGTTTGTTGAATTTCTCTGTAAGCAATTTCTTTGTTAAAAGTAAACCGTAATTCTAATTAGTCCGTCAGTTATATTGTCGATATATAGGTATTAGTAGGTACACATAAAATATCAAATAATTTATATGTTTTTCATAACCAAAACATTACCGAGATACACATCAAATCAATTAGTACAGTCAATCTGTAGGTTGAGTGGTGAGAAAAATTTGGCAACAGAAAAAACAAGACTTACCTTGTTTTTTCTGTTGCCAAATGACGTCAGTAAGCTACCTTGGCGATGGGAATGTTCAACTCGTAGGCGTTTTTTGAAAAACTCAAAAAAACCGTCAAAAATTTTTTGAAATGCATTTTTCTTGTTTTGTATGTATTTTTGAAGCCTTTTTTTTTCGACCATAATTGTAGAGGGCGTTGAGTACTACAATTTATGTCATTGTTGCAATCTCGTACAACAAAAAATGCGCATTGTAGGTGGCGCTAAAGTCTCAAAAAAGTGTTTTTTCACTTTTTCACCCTGAAAATATCATATTCATACATAATTACCAACTTTATTGTATGTACGAAACATCTTTGCCATTTAAAGTTTTCCATTAAAATGATATTTTCAGGGTGAAAAAGTGAAAAAACACTTTTTTGAGACTTTAGCGCCACCTACAATGCGCATTTTTTGTTGTACGAGATTGCAACAATGACATAAATTGTAGTACTCAACGCCCTCTACAATTATGGTCGAAAAAAAAGGCTTCAAAAATACATACAAAACAAGAAAAATGCGTTTCAAAAAATTTTTGACGGTTTTTTTGAGTTTTTCAAAAAACGCCTACGAGTTGAACATGCCCATCGCCAAGGTGGCTTACTGACGTCATTTGGCAACAGAAAAAACAAGACTTACCCTTTAGGTTTTTTTTTCACTGAAACGATATTTTTTTCGACAGATTGACTGTACTAAATATAATCTCTAACAACATTACGTTTTGATTATATGAACCAAGAAAAAATACGCGTAGAATACTTTTAAAAAATCTGCCTGATAAGTATAAAAAAAGTTAGTCATCATCCCTATTTGTATTTACTATATGAATAAAGTCATCCAAAAACATCACAAAAATATTTACAATACGCAGAAACTAAATAGAGCTAAATATACTAAAAGCCCAAAAATAAACCGCAAAGATTGACTTTAAAAAAAAATGTTCGAATTCTTTCTGAAATATCCAAAACTGTAAAACACCTTTGACTATAGGTACCGCTAACATGGAATCGTAATGTTCAATTCTTTAGCTGTGTTCACTAGATCAAATTTTAATCAAATCCGACCAAGTTGAAAACATCGTGAATAGTTTAGTCATAATCCAAATATGGTCCGAATTCTAAATAGATAATCATAAACAACATGACTCGTTGTCCACGTGCATGTGTGGTCCTACATTTAATTTCCAAATAAGTCAATACCTACAGCTTAAGTAATTTATGGACACGTGTATATCAATCACATATTAGATTACTTTTATCATGTTTATCCACAATAGATAAGAGCGACCTAACTTAAGTAACTACGTCTAATGTAGTCAAAAACTAGTAAACCGAGCATAATACTTAGTCAGGATTCATACCAAAACTTTAATTCTTATTGATTTATTTTGTTATCTTACATTGAATAACATAACATAATAGTGAAAAGTAAGGTGTACAGCAAATTCACAATATAAGTACCTAACTTATAACTCTATGTAAGAGACTAGCTTCTGCACTAGGAGAACCTGTATGACAGATACCAAAAAATCTAAGTTGCTAGTTTCATACTTAACTAATTAAGATCGCGTCTTTGCACTGGTAGGTAATAAATAAATAAATAAATAATATTTCCAACACTCACACCAATTAGCCTAGCCCCAAAGTAAGCACTACTTATAAGGCTTGTGTTATGGGACACTAGGGTAACGGATAGAATACATATACTGTACATATATATATTTATATAGAATTACATATTAAACATCCATGACTGGAGTACAAACGCTCGTATTCATCACACAAACATCTGCCCCCACCGGGATTCGAACCCTGGACCTCTCGAGACGGCGCGACACCATGAAACCCGGTGTACAAACCATTCGGCCACGGAAGTCGTCATAAAGAATAGATATAGATTTATGAGAAGACTAGAAACCTTCCGGTTTCTTATTATTCTATGATTTCCCTTAAATGACCAGCATTTCCACCCTCTCGCAAATAAACACGGTCTTGCAAGAGCATTTTTCATAACTTTTGTTCAAATGTTGGGTTGAATTTCAGCACGAACATTCACCCTTAGCTACCCGGCTGTTTGATTGCTTTCTAATAATAATAAAAAACCTCATACCAGAATTCTTTACCTATTCAGCTACCTTCTTTCGATTTTACAATCGGTATTTGTATCGACACATGCAAAAATGGAAAAATTGGTGGCCAGAATATTATCGACATTAAGATCATTGCAATGGACGGATGTTGGATGTGCGTCCGAAATGCTAAAACATTTCGTGTATACATTAATGACATATTTTTAAACACACACTTACTAAATTTCCCAGTCTCATCAGTTCTACTATATCCACTTGACTAGCTCTGAAAAGGTTCCCAATCAACATTCTTACCTGCACACCGAGCAACGGTCCGAACATCGAGCACGCGTGGCGCGACCGCACGTGTCAGCGCATCTGCCCCTAATTTATAGTCTACCTACCACTTTCCGTGCCTCCGTCCATTGCTGACCGCCTGGTTGTCGCAACCGAGCTTTTTTATAAAAAAAACCCTATAATTTAATTTGTTAACTATTAGCACAGTATTGTGATATTTAGTAGGTACTTATAACACACACTGCTTTAGCTTTGTTATGTAGAAGAAATTTGAACAGAGGGGGTTTGATCTACAGACTTGTATACATGTACATACTAGTTACAAACTTATGTGCTCGCTAGATAAACCAATCTATGATATAAAGGTTAAAAAATCAATATCTATATATATAAAACTCAAAGGTGACTGACTGACATAGTGATCTATCAACGCACAGCCCAAACCACTGGACGGGTCGGGCTGAAATTTGGCATGCACGTAGATGTTATGACGTAGGCATCCGCTAAGAAAGGATTTTGATCAATTATACCTCGAAGCGAAGCGAGGGCGGGCCACTAGTTTGATATTAAACTTCTTAACCAAGCGCTGTCATGCTCCGATACTGAGACAGAGGAAATAAGCGAACGGGGGATTAAACTAAACCGAGGTAACACATGGATTTTTTCATGCCATGAAACATGCAGGGTACATATATTCTGTGAATCAGATATGGATATATTAGATTTAAATAGGAATGGCTTACTTAGCCTACAGCAAGGATTTACACTAAAAGGGGACACATTTATTACCCGACTGCGCAATGCAAGAGCGCGACGCGCAGACAGGGTATAGTGTTTAACAGTCTATATTTATCTATGCACACAATCATTATTTTAAAAATATTCAAGAACAATTTGAACATGTGGATATACCTCAGTCTGCACTGGATAGTCTTATCAATACTAGCATTACAAATCTAGACCACTATAAAGTTGAAGATCATAACCAATTATATTCAAAATTAAGAGATCAGATCGATGCTATCAAAGATCAGGAGAACCATCAAGAGTTCAATATACACGACGTACAGCATTACTCAGCTATCTATGTCTTGGTGCTAGATAGCTATTCATAATCGCCATCCTCATCTTCTTGTGGTGGCGGAGGAGTCCCAAACAGGCGAACTCCAAGGGAGAGCAGTCGCCGTTGCAAGTGGATCAAGCTAAAGTCAGTGCTATCAGGTTTAGAAGTGTAAATCAAGGAACCTCGCCTATGGGGTCAAGATCTGTTAAATTTGAGGTTCCTAGTGCAATGAAAATTGAGTGAAGTGAACTTTGACAATTTTATTAGGTATGAACTTTTAACAATTTTATGCTTCTATTCTAGTGAATTGCTTTCTGTTAATTTTATTACAGTGACTAAATATCTTTGTTGGTTCGTTATCAACCCTTTCTGTTTTTGAGAGGCGCAAGATGTACGGTGAAACGTACATATTTCGTAATTTACTTTATATTTTATTTTGTTAATTTAGCGTTCCACTTTTCATGATGATGTATGCGCAAAACGTATCGATCAGTGCATTACAAGCATTACTATCAATCGGTTGTTTCTTTATCATTCCGTAATAACATTATCAATTATCAGTTTCTAGCATTTTTATATCATATTTCTATCATATATTATTTAATGTGGGAATGTAAGGTAATTCATTTCTGACTACTGGCAATACCATTTTAATGGTGGGGCGCGTAATGGCGGCAATAGAGAGGGGCATTCGGCGGGCATTCTGGTTCCAGCATTGATACTGTTTAGACGTGTAACGTTGTGGTATTAATAAATAGTGAAACCCAAGGAGGTCGTTTTATTACAAATCAGAAGTGGGACATATACCTCTTCCAGGTATTAAATAGTGAAACCCAAGGAGGTCGTTTTATTACAGGAATAATCCACCACCCACACAAACGTAGGTCTTTTAATTTGTTGAATTTCTCTGTAAGCAATTTCTTAGTTAAAAGTACCCAAAACTTCAGCCCATGGTCCTGTAGCACGAACCAATATCGAATTCGACTAGTTTGTGAGTTCAAAATGTCATTGTCAAATGTGTACTGATTTTTAGTTCATGTTACGCCCGTTATGGCGCCGATGTTTAAGTTTCCATACAAAATTAGATATTAACATTTCGCACTCGCAAACTATTCGACAACTTCATCTCTTCTTCTGTTACATTTCCTGGCTTGTTTTTCTGCGTAGCATACTAATTAGTGTAATTCACAAATAAACTTACAGTATTATTTAAATAGCAGATGGAACTAAATGTAGGAAAATTGGAGAAAAAATATGGGAAAGAAATACTATATTTAGAGTGAACGAGTAAAATGCAACGTTATTTTCTTTATGATAAAGTATATAATTCTCTTTGAACCAAACTTTTAAAGGTACCTCTAAGTAGATTAATTAATAACATTTCTATCATACAATGTTACATAGAGTACTTATACTTTTATTATCGATGACCAAAGTTTTTGCTGAATAACTATACTAGAGTGATCGTAGTGAAAAGATTTAGGTATTAGACACAAAAAGAAAAATAGTTTTTTTTTTCAAAGATAAATTTTACAAACTTAACACAGGAATGTTCCTGCAAAAACTTTATTTAGTCGTATTTTTTTTAAATGAAATCATAATCTACACAATCGCCCACACGTTTATACAAATAGTTTTTTTCTATAAACACAGTAAACGTTTTCCTTTCTTGTAAATCGCGATTCTTCCAACAGGCGAACATAGCCATGGTAAGAACCATGGAAGAAGACTTCTTTTACCAAGATATAGATAGACATAAAAACACATTGTAAAGAAATCACACGACTAGTTACTTGGTTGTCGCATCGTTAATTTCAGCTATTGAATAAAGGTGATATACAAACCATCTCAATTAAATTTAAACAATACAGGGTAGGTGTGAGAGATAAAACCACGATACTTGTTGCTACCTATATTTTGAAAGTTAGTGATTTCATCACGGTTTGCACTTTTGAGCAAATTAAAAAAAAAAACACTCATCGCACTTCATGCCACCCCAATATTAATTTACCACAAACATAGCAGACATTCAAGAGAATGTGTTTTTAGAAGAGAATTTACATGTACCTATTCAGAGACTGTTCAATAATCATGTCTGCCTGAATCCGCCCCTGCTTTTCGCCACCACTCGTCTAAAGTACCTCCATTCATACATTAAAATCACACACAAAAGACAACAATTAAAAAACTTATTTAAAAAAGAAAAATAGTTATAAGAAGTTAAACAAAGCAGCATTAAATAAAAGTCACATTAGTTTAGAGTTAGAATCAATGAAATGATTATTTTAACAGTTAATTCTTTAAGTTAACTTGAAGTCTTTTTTATTGAATTGTGTCAGTTTTGCGTTTTATGTACGCTCAAACATTTGTTCCTTTGAAAAACATTTAAAATTATGATTTCCAATGCAACCTTCATTTGAAATCGTTGTGTGTATCGCAGAATTTAAACAACTCTCAATCTTAGTAAAAGATCTTGAAATCCGTTGCTAAAAACGTACATCAAAACAAAAATTATAATCAACGCTGTATTTGGTTGGATTACATAATGCTTATTATATTGTATTTTTGTTGGTAGTTTTGTAAAGAAAATACTCACTGGTATTCTTTGTGCCTAGGGTGCGCTTCTCTCGATCACGTCTACGTATAAATTCATAAATGCGCAATTCAAGCATATTAAATAAATAATTTAACCATAAAGGCCCCCTGAGGCGATCAAACGATTTGATTCAAACCAAACGCGTAATTTTTGGTTTGACTCAAATTTTGCTCGCTTACAAAGCTAGTTTGCACACGGTTTGTCAAACAGTTTGACCGTCTCGGGGGCCTTAAGCAGTGGCGGCGCTAGGCGTCGGCGACGTCGGCCACCGTCGACGCCTCGCAAAAAATTTTTACAAGTTACCTATTTATTTTCGTTTCTCTGGCCTGGCTTAGGTAGCCGACCCCGAACAATTCGTGTAAAAAGCTAAGCAGATGATAATGACTTTTATTATTTTCGAACACGTGCGTGATGGAAGCGAGTAGTACTTTACGGGTATTCAGAATCGTCTGTCTGGCAACACTATTTTTGTAATTAACTTTCTGTTTGTTATTATTTCCTGTCATCATTTGATTATCAACAATAAAACTCCTTTACTCATAAGTTATTTTATAATTTGGCTCACTTAATTTAACGGTTTTTTACTGCGAATTAAAATAGGCCTCGCGGACTTGATGTCGCCGACGTCCACATGTGGTCTAGCGCCGCCACTGGCCTTAAGAGTATGGTTTGCCGCCAAATTGAACCCACAACTGCACCGATTTATTTCGCAATCTCAACATATTTATACAATTAGCAAATAACTTTATTTGTAATTAGCCGAATTTCGCATTTTTTTCGCTAAAAACTCTGTCATTTCTTCGTCATGGTGCAATCATAGCGCGCCGCTTTCTCCGCCAGGTGGCGTTTTGCGGATGCCATACAATTAATTATTTTTTACGCAAACGCGATCGAATAAGTTGAAAGCTTGCACTCATCGCTCTGTAATGACCAATTTTTTTTAATTTATTCTTAAGCACGCCTTAACGTGGACCCCTCACATTCACTAACATTTTCTACAGTTATAAAAGCGTCTAGATTCTAATTTTCTAACGGTAGGTAAGCATTAAAAAAATATTTTTATATCTTTTGCTATACCTATTATATACTTACATGGAACTTGGAACTTCTTATCAATCTTTATTCGCAACAAACATTTTAGTAACGTCAACTTGTGTGAATTTTGATCAAAAACATGTGCGAGTTGTTAAAATACAATAAAAAAATGTACTATAATAATTTACTTTGGAAGTGTACTAATATTAGCGTAATAATTAATTATACTATAACTTATGCACACACACACTTACGCATAGGTATTCTAGGCCCCTTCACAAGTCGCAACACATTTCTATAACATCATATTAATATGGGTTAAATAAACCTATTATACTATATATACACACTACAACAATTTACAATGCAGAAATATCGCGAAGATATTCAAATTCCATCTTTGTGATGAATAAAAAATAATGTGGTACGCGCCACCTTATTGGCTACTTATATACTTTATTTTCATAGTATCACTAAGCTGTAAACTTTTGACTTTAAAGTCGGGTACTCATTATCAGGCAGTAACCTCATCAATAGCATGCAAAAAGGCGAAAAAACCAGCATGTATAGGTACGTGGTTCGCAACTCAGCCTTGAGCCTCGCTTCGCAACGATTCTTCCGAGATTCGAGCTCAGGGGCTGTACTTTTAAAACCGATGTATCGTCAATCGTGTCTTACTCCTACTTTACAGCATTAAAAACTAATGGTGGCCACTCACTTTGACACCGCTTGATCAAGCGGCTTGACCAAATACAAGCCTTTATTATCAAGCCAAACTGACCGTGTGTGGGGAGAAATTTCAAAAGGACAAGCCATTTGACGAAAGAATTGATTTTGCATCTGCCGACTATAATACCGTCAAGCCGCTTGAACGTTAGTGCTGCGCATACGCATGATAAAGAAGGATGGGCGATGATGACTAACACATTAACCGAAACTAAACATTGAGTACCGGCACAGAACAACTTTAACTTTAACAGACATTGTCGCGCAGTTTCAAGCAGAATGCTATCCCAAATAAGCGGTGTAATTGCGATTGCCGTGCATTTAGTTGTAAGGTGTTTACACATTCCACCTTTCCAAACGTTTTTGATAGATTCCGGTTTTCTGTTGTTGTTATAGATAGGTAGGTAGGTACTTTTTGGTACAAGCTCTATAAATTATATTTTATTCTCGTGCTAAAATAATTTATAAAAGGCTAAATATCATAATTATTAGTTTATTTCAATCTGCACTGCTGTAGCATAAACTTTTCACCTGCCGTCTTATTTGACTTGCATTGCAGTGAAGTTTCCGTACAAAAATCCATAGTGACACCGAAAACTATTAGCTCACCACCGCAGGGTTAGACTGCGACTGGATTGGTTATGGAAGGATTAAGGAGAATGAGACATAAACACTACGCTGACACAGTACAAATTGGTGGGTGCTAAAGATGGGAGAAGCAACCGGGACCAAAGACTAAGCTACATAGCACACATATCAACTCTTAAAGAAATCGATACCGACTCTCCTTTCTGCTTGCCGTCAAAAGGGCATCTAACTAACGTAAGCATGTAATGTAAGCGGATAAGCTGCTCCAGTAAACACTTCTTACTTTCTCTATGGACAGCACGTTCGGCAACGCAGGCCGCGGGAGGAGTGTGAACGAAGACGTTATCTAGGCTAGGGAGACACGTAGAAGCTAGGCTATGATTATTTACTCTCTAGGTGAACGTGGCAGCGCTAGTAGACCAAGAGCTACTGAACCCTCCGAGTAACGGTCTGCGACTACGACTCTTACTCGCACTGCCGCAGCATCGTTCCCCTGGCCTGGCAAGGACTTGTGCTAGCCAGAATCGCCTGGCTTTCTACCTACGGCTCCCCACGGCTATCTCACACGGAGGGAAAGTACATTAAATATTGAAGATAGGATATTTTACTAAAAGAAGACATCATTTTATTTTTAATAATATCTTGAACTGCATTCACTGTTTTTTTTAAAAACGCCTGCTACAACTGGGAATGAAACTCGTGAAATTTGGAAAAAAAAACACGACATATTTTATGATAACCATCGAAAGGGTTAATCACAAGGATTATGTTTTGCTAAATAACACAGCATTTTAAATGAAAGGAATGTCTTATTACGTGATAAATATCATCAAGTGATATACAAATTTGTAGTACGTATGCATTTTTTTTTAATTCAGTTACAATGTGATTGGCTGAAATTTGTAATAATAATTCGAAAATGGACCATATAAATTTTCAAGCCTGTGTTCTTTTATTTTTCGTGAGTTTCATTTTCGTTTATTTGCAATTTTTTGTTTATTTACTTACCATGGCGCATCAAAATAAAATAGATTTAATGTAAGCTTACTTTATGCACCACAAAGACGTATCATTAGCTTAGCGGTGGTACAGCAAAAGATATCCTGATAGAGACAAACCTTCTCGATATGTGTTTAAATAGGTAATGAAAGAAAGAAAGAGATACAGAAAGATTTTAATAAGCCATGGTAAATAAACTAACAAAAATTGCAAATAAATGAATCTCACAAAAAAGAAAAGAACAGACACTTGAAAATTTATGTGTTCCATTATCGAATTATTATTATTACAAATTTTTGCCAGTCGCATTGTAACTGTGAGTTCAAAAAGAAATGCATACGTACAACAGTTTGTAAATCACTTTATTATTTTTATCACGTAATTCACATTCCTTTCATTTAAAATGCTATGTTATTTAGCAAAAAATAATCCTTATGATTAACCCTTTCGATAGTTATAATAAAATATGCCGTGTTATTTTTTTCGAAATTTCACGAGTTTGATTCCCAGTTGCAGCAGACGATTTTTAAAAAATCTGTTAATGTAGTTCTAGTTATTATTAAAAATAAAATGATGTCTTCTTTCAGTAAAATGTCCTATCTTCAATATTTAATATACTTTCCCTCCGTGTGAGGTAGCCATGGGACGCCCTGTATATTACACACCTTCCGGTTCGCCCGGCGGGTACTTGTGCTCATCGTAAACGCCTGGCAATTTTTTTAAACTTAAAAATGAATAAACTAAATTGTATAAAAAATTCAAGCTTACAGCTACAAGTTATTTTTTGACACTTTCAAAAATATACGGCTTGATGACCTTGCAGGTTGAGGAGTTCAAGGCGATGCTTACCGTACTAAGCATGCTATGACTCATCACCATGAGAATTTCTAGCCTTACAGACAGGCCGTTACGCGGAGGGTTCAGTAGCTCTCCTACTATAGTGGAGACTGTTGGAGTCGTTTCCCTTCACTTACCCCCTTATTAATAAACGAGGACTACGCTTGGATTAGTTATTCCATGTTTTGTCCGTCTATTGAATGGCAAATGATATTTGATTGCATGAACAAATCACGGCGTAACTAGTCTAAGCTTATTCCTTGTTTATTAATAAGGGGGTTAGTGTTTAATGCAACGCTGCGCGATACGCACGTCACTTACTGAGTTTCGTGTTGAAATTATTGTTTTAAAATGCAAAGTTGCGCGATAAAACTTTGCCAAAATTATTAAAACACAAAAACAACCAACAAAGTCACCTACCATTGGAAGGTAACTCAATATTGACTTTAGATAAAAAAAGTAAATCATTATATTAGTTAAAAAAATTACGACTCCATCTTCACATTTTCTAAGTGTTGCCAGTGTATTATTACAAGATTTACATTTACCCATTGCAGGGGGGAGCCATGGAAAAAAGTATTTTTTTATAGCGATGTGTAACTTTAATTATCTCGAAAACTACGGATTTTCAAAAAATTCTAACACTTTCAAATACCCATAGTTATATCCAAGTATAAACATTTAGGTTTTACAGTTGTTTATACAAATTTTGATTTGATTAAGTTTACCCCTTATTTGGGGAATGTGGCCTAATCTTGTATTAAAACTAACCTTACGCATACACACGGGTACAAATAGATCTACATTTCGCGACTGTACGATACGTAAGATTCGCGTATTTTAGTTTGCGATAAAAACAGGCTAGCTTTTATATACTTGTGTGCGTAACACGCAGTGTTTACAAGGTGACGCTCTATCTAGAGAGTAAATAATCAAGAAGTTATGGTACGGAAAGTTGACCACGTATGTTTGGGAGCTCATCCCAAGGCTAGGCGACGTTAAGACTCCGATTAGTGTACAACGCGTAGGGAGTTCCATACAAAGAATACTGAACGGCTCTAGTTGATACGGTGCCGATCCCTTTCAGAGTTGATATCTCTGCTAAGACCATGATAACTCCTGTCATTAAAGAAAGAAACGCAAATGACGACGAAAGACATTCTGTCCCTCTTGTACATGCTATACTAAGACGGCATTTTCGATTCCTTTCTTAAATGATACAAGTTATAATAAATTTTGGTTACTCATTCTATGACCGGCCAATGGCAGACAGAATGCAGAAACCACTGTCATTGAGCTTCAGGGATTGCAGAATCATCCCATTTATGAGTACCCGCTTATCTGGAATATACAGGAACGTAATATTATGTTGGGTATACAACCCAGCAAACTTCTTGAACAACGACAATAGACAAGGAAGCCTGCGCAGTAGCAATTTTTCATGCAAAAACGTCTACTGCGCAAGTTTATTTGCCTGTGGTTATGCTCAAGATGTTTGCCGCTTTTTCTTCAATTCTATGCTTTATAAGGCTAGATTATTATTAATAATAAAGTTATGTCCTTAGCGGGTGGTAAATAGCAAAGAATTGCGACGTTTCAAAAGAGTTGTATTACGCATCCTATTTAAATAATGATAATTTCATCAGACTGAAAGTAAATAAATCCTTAATTGCAGTTTGTTAAAATAGTTCGATTAGCTTATATTTATAACAAGACGCTTTGATGCTATCGCGGGTTGTACAGTGTCGAAATGTCACTGCATTTTGGTCAGCTATCAGCCGTTCGGTCTATGACGTCATCGTGAGGAGAACCAAACATTTTTTGCGGTCACCAAACGGATTTTCACAACGATAACACTATCATACTTACGTACTAAGGCTCAACTCACACTAGCGCAGAGTCGGAGCGACGCGACGCGTCATGTTTTTCGCCTCGGGAATACTTGGTAGCCGGCGGACCGCGCCTTTAATTTAGAACTTAATTCACCTAACCTGAGAAAGTTGACTCAGAACAGTGGGTAAATAGAGATGAAGTTTGCTACAGGCGAAAACCATGAAACCCAAACAAAATTTTGTCAGATCCGTAATCGTATAGCCATCGTAATTTTTTTACGGAAGGAGCCAGGAGGCCTACTCTAATTTACCCTAAAACGAATTTCCGATCGAAACTTCGCAGATTTTCTGACTATGTTTCTGGATCGTTTTTATTAATAATAATATTCGTCGTAATATAGATTGAGGTGAGGATTTTGTTAGCCTACGTAAAAAAAGCTTCAATTTGATAGCTATCGTTAAAATTAAGTATCTTAATTTGATGAAATTAAATTTCGTTTGAACTTCGTTATCGAAAGTTCGTTTCGGAGAGAGAGTAGACACCCAGTTTGTTCTTCCGTCTGACAGGAGCGCTGCTTAGTTTCCATAGAAACTTTGACGATGCGATACGATTACGGATCTGTCTGAGTTCGTGCTTGGAGTACTAGTATTAAGAGGCCGCGTGTCGACACACGTCGATCATGTGGAAATACCTAAATAGTGAGAAAATAGAGGTGAATTTGCTTCAGGCGAAACACATGACTCGTCGCGTCGCTTCGACTCTAAGAACGCGCCAGTGCGAGTTGAACCAAAAGATTTACGAGATGAGCTCCCAAAAGAGGACGTTGTTACTGAAATATTTCGCTTGAATTCCCGACGAGATAACGAGAAACATGTTCATCAAATTCACGTCAAAACAAACATGACAAATGATTTTTTGCCTATATTTGCGTTTGTATGTACTATTTTTTCAATGATGTCTGCTTGTATAAAGTGCATTGTACACGATGGCATCTCGAATTAAAATTCCTAATTGAAATCATTGCGTTTTATATTATAACACACTAAGGATGAAGTATTTGCCCAAACAAAATAACAGTTGCATTGCCTACGATTACTAATAAATTTATTAAATAATTGTATAATTGAAAATATAAAGCCATTTTATTTCATTTCATTTATAATAACATAGATGACTGGATACTTTTAGTATTCCACAGTTTGATTTGATTAAAATTAATGTTTTACACTAGATAAAAAGAAATAAGAATACGACTAAATAAGTTATCAGAAGTAGTGAAATACTAATAAAATATTGTAATATGCCTAAACACGTCATTCAAACATTCATTGAAGCGTTAACTTCACTGTCTAAATTTGTCCCAAGATTTTCGAGAAATATATTGAAACACCTCAAAACTCTCACTGTACAAACAATTAAATTCCTAAATGTCACTCACTATACAGCATAACAAACGTATTTCTGATAGGGTTCACGTTTACTTAATTAACCAAATGTATAGGGACGATGACCAACTTTTTTTCTTTGTCGATCAGGTAGATAGATTATCAAAAAGTATTGGACACGATTTTTTTCTTTATTCGCATAATCAAAACCTGACAGAGGTATATAGATTTGAAAATGCGGTCACGTACTGGTACAATTTCTACTTTAAAGTGACGTCACGAGCCCCCCACTCCCAAACTTTGACGCGCTTTATCTATGTAATTTTTTGTTTGATTGACAAAAGAAAAATATGTATCCATTATTTCTTGATAATGTAACTGACAGACTTAATAGAATTCTGTTTAATTTACCCTGTCATCACCCCTATTAAGTAAGTCCACACCTTTCACCATACATATAGCATTTTCATAGTAATGGGTACTTATATGGCGAAAAGTGAACACAGACTTACGAAACGAAATTAGTTGCATAAAAAAAAGACATTGTTAATAACTTCACATTGTTTAAAATGCATGTATAGGTAGCGGCAAACTTCTTGAGCAAAACCGTAGCCAAGTTAACTTGCGCAGTACACTTTTTGTATGTAAAATTGCTAGTGCGCATGATTCCTTGTCAATGGTCGTTGCTCAAGAAGTTGGCCGGAGTTTATACCTAAATATGTGTGCTCTAAACTAAAAAGACAAATTTATGTGAAATTATCAACAAAACTATAAAATAATTTTACAATGTAATTTATCCTCATGAAACATTGTAGCAGTACGCTGGCTGTAACGTGGCATGGCGTATCATCAGCAAACGGACACCTAAAAGTACGATTAATATTTACAAAATTTACACAAAAAAGAAATTCAATCGTTTATTCAGACGAATACGCGAGGCGCGACTTCGAACGACAGTCACAGGCACTATCGAAAATGTTTCTCGCTCGCTCACTGCGCAATTATATCTGTATTAATATTTACAAGCGACTCTTCGAATACTGCACACTTTACGAACTCGATCTGCCCCCGACGCTACTGAACATTTTAGCATCGTTTCACGACGCAACCATATCACAGAAACACTAAAATACCCAGCGTTTCATTCTACATCATAAAACAACGTTCATATACTATATGTAAACTCTAGAACCAAACTCGACGGTCACGACGACGGAAATCGAAAATTTAGTTTGCGTTTTTTGTTTTATTATTTTAACAGTAATATCGTCGAGCGCACTGTTTTCGTAGCAGTGGTGGGCGTCGTAGCCTAGTCGTAGTCGATGTCCATGTTGTAGCGGTCGCGGTCGGAGCTCAGCGACGTGGAGGAAGAAGACGCCCATTCATTGGTTGAGGAGGAACCGGTCGATTCGCCCGAAGAGCCCCCGGATTGGCCCGCCGTTGCTGTCGCTGTAGCCGTCGCCGTCGCCGTCGCCGTCGCCGTCGCTGGCTCTCCTGCAAACAGATAATTGGGTTGGTTATTTTATGCAAAAAAGAGAAGATGACACGATCATAACATTAATTACGTCAATTGTCAATAAAAATTGGGATTCAAAATATTGTTTTTTTTTACGTACTTTAAATTTGAAAGACTTCAATTTTGATCATGACGCGTTTAATAAATATTATAGGAGAAAATGTCAAAAAATACAAGGGATGGCGCAATATAGCTGTGATACTGTGACGCAACCGTTCGTTTTACTAATAATATTGTAGTCATGGCTAAGACCATGGAAGACCTGGGCATAAAGCTCGATGACCTATGTAGATTTTCCCAACAATGAACATTGGATAAGACAAAAATTATGTCAAATTCCCATGTCTTACCCACTCCAATGAAGGTTGCAAGCTCTATATTGGAAATTTTCGTTGAGTATGTTTATGTGGGACAAATAGTTCAACTTAAGTCCAACTTCCAGAAAGAGGTCAATCGATGAAACCAATTTGCCTTGGCAGCGTACGGGAAGCTACGCAGCATATTTTCAGCCCATCTACACAGTGTCTCAAGTCGAAAGTTTTTAATTCGAGTTTGGCCAGTGATGACGTATGGAATCGAGACTCAGCCTCTCACAATGGGCCCCATAAGAAGGCTCACAGTCACCCAAGAAGCAACGGAAAGGGCTATATGCTAACGAAGGTTGGGCCCTATTTTCAAATCTGGACTCAGGGCCACTTATGCGGGCGCGGGCGCCACACAGGGCAGCAGCGAGCGCCGGCACACTGGACAGGTGGCGTGCAGCTGGGGCACGGCGCGGGGCACTGTGCGGCACACTGTACCGGCGTCACTCACCGGGCGGCGCGGGTTGCGCGGGCGCGGGCGCGGGCGCGGGCGCGGGCGCCACACAGGGCAGCAGCGAGCGCCGGCACACTGGACAGGTGGCGTGCAGCTGGGGCACGGCGCGGGGCACTGTGCGGCACACTGTACCGGCGTCACTCACCGGGCGGCGCGGGTTGCGCGGGCGCGGGCGCGGGCGCGGGCGCCACACAGGGCAGCAGCGAGCGCCGGCACACTGGACAGGTGGCGTGCAGCTGGGGCACGGCGCGGGGCACTGTGCGGCACACTGTACCGGCGTCACTCACCGGGCGGCGCGGGTTGCGCGGGCGCGGGCGCGGGCGCGGGCGCGGGCGCCACACAGGGCAGCAGCGAGCGCCGGCACACTGGACAGGTGGCGTGCAGCTGGGGCACGGCGCGGGGCACTGTGCGGCACACTGTACCGGCGTCACTCACCGGGCGGCGCGGGTTGCGCGGGCGCGGGCGCGGGCGCGGGCGCCACACAGGGCAGCAGCGAGCGCCGGCACACTGGACAGGTGGCGTGCAGCTGGGGCACGGCGCGGGGCACTGTGCGGCACACTGTACCGGCGTCACTCACCGGGCGGCGCGGGTTGCGCGGGCGCGGGCGCGGGCGCGGGCGCCACACAGGGCAGCAGCGAGCGCCGGCACACTGGACAGGTGGCGTGCAGCTGGGGCACGGCGCGGGGCACTGTGCGGCACACTGTACCGGCGTCACTCACCGGGCGGCGCGGGTTGCGCGGGCGCGGGCGCGGGCGCGGGCGCCACACAGGGCAGCAGCGAGCGCCGGCACACTGGACAGGTGGCGTGCAGCTGGGGCACGGCGCGGGGCACTGTGCGGCACACTGTACCGGCGTCACTCACCGGGCGGCGCGGGTTGCGCGGGCGCGGGCGCGGGCGCGGGCGCCACACAGGGCAGCAGCGAGCGCCGGCACACTGGACAGGTGGCGTGCAGCTGGAGCCAGGGCGCGATGCACGCCGCGTGGAACACGTGTTCGCACTCCAGCCGTGATACCGTTTCGCCTGCGTACACGGAACATGATAAACATTACTATCATTGACAATTAGTCACTAAATAAATAGAAAACATTTCTTGTACTTCACTTAGCAGTAAATTTTCCAAACCGGCTCGATTCAACTAAATGTATCCCATTGAAAATGTCAAAACGTCAATGTCAATTTGACATTATTGCATAGGCATTAAGTAGTTTTAGTTAAATTGGGATTTAGCCAAATTGCTACAAGTGTACTTTAAAAGTTTCGACTGAAATGTAACCGTAACGAATTCCAATTTCATAATAATTGGACAAGATATGAAATAAATAAAACAAGAGACCATAAGTAGCAACAACAGCTGTGCAAGTGCCACAATTTCATGTCGGCACTTCACTTGACTTTTCGAATTTGTTATTTGTCAACTTGTCATCAGTCTGCCTTTCTCACTCCATATAAAATATGGTAAACAAATACAAATAGCCAAATGCCGACATCGGAGGAGCAGCAGTCCCGCAGCGGAGTGATGTGGGCTGATGATTTATTTTATTTTTATTTATTGTTTATTTGACATACCATCGACAATTTCACGAATTTCAATAAAGATTGAAAGATGCAGGTAGTACTCAACCGTGTGAATTGCCATTGCAGGCATGTACAGCATTGACTATATGATGGGTTAGCGGGGGATTTTTCTGGGAACCCTTAATTTAATTTTGCGCAACAATATTGCCGTGAAGTAATTTGTGCAGAAATAAAAAGACGATAGTGATGAAGATATAGCTCACCCAGCTGGAAGTCCTCCCAGCAGACGGAGCAGGCGGCGTGGGCGGAGGCGTGGGTCGGTGTGATGGTCTCGCTGGGCAGGGCTGCGATCTGCTCACGCGGTAAGGGCGGAGGCCCCGAGTTTTCCAGTTGGCCTAGGAGCTGCGTCACTACTGCGTCCAGACCTGGCCAGAAAAGGTCGTTGTGTCAATAACAACTTGGTACTAGGAAAAGAATATTATTAAACAAGAAAATTGTAGTTCATCATACTGCAGGTCATTGCATCGCGCTTGTAAATTTGGTTTACGATACGTATAGGCAAAACGACACTAACTTAATAAAGAAATCTTTAGTCAACACAATTTTATCATGATTTTGATTCTTTTGCTTAGGTGCAAAGACCTCAGAAATAATTTAGAAACCAAATTAAATAAATATTTTTAGTTAATTTGGTTTTCTTTTCAAACAGAAGTTTACATAGTTTTCACAAATATAAAAAACTATACTTCTATCTTTGGCTTATATAAAATGATACTTTATCAAAATTCCTGCTATCATTAAGATTATGCAAGGTATCCCCCCCCCCCCTCCCTGATCATCCATACCAGCTGCTGAGATAGCATCAACTCCTTCCACAATTATTGCACTCACCCTCCCCACCAAACGCGTAGTCCCCCGGCGCCCCGACCAGCACGAAGGGCGCGCCGGCAGTGACAGCGCCAGTGCCCCTCCCACCCTCCTCCCTGATCATTATAGCTACTGAGATAGCATCAACTCCTTCCACAATGATTGCACTCACCCTCCCCACCAAACACGTAGTCCCCAGGCGCCCCGACCAGCACGAAGGGCGCACCGGCAGTGACAGCGCCGGTGCCCCTCCCCCCCTCCTCCCTGATCATCAACACTAGCTGCTGAGATAGCATCAACTCCGTCCACAATGATTGCACTCACCCTCCCCACCAAACACATAGTCCCCCGGCGCCCCAACCAGTACGAAGGGCGCGCCGGCAGTGACAGCGGCGGTGCCCCTCCCCCCCTCCTCCCTGATCATCCACACTAGCTGCTGAGATAGCATCAACTCCGTCCACAATGATTGCACTCACCCTCCCCACCAAACACGTAGTCCCCCGGCGCCCCGACCAGCACGAAGGGCGCGCCGGCAGTGACAGCGCCGGTGCCCCTCCCCCTCTCCTCCCTGATCATCCACACTAGCTGCTGAGATAGTATCATCTCCTTCCACAATGATTGCACTCACCCTCCCCACCAAACACGTAGTCCCCCGGCGCCCCGACCAGCACGAAGGGCGCGCCGGCAGTGACAGCGGCGGTGCCCCTCCCCCCCTCCTCCCTGATCATCCACACTAGCTGCTGAGATAGCATCAACTCCGTCCACAATGATTGCACTCACCCTCCCCACCAAACACGTAGTCCCCCGGCGCCCCGACCAGCACGAAGGGCGCGCCGGCAGTGACAGCGGCGGTGCCCCTCCCCCCCTCCTCCCTGATCATCCACACTAGCTGCTGAGATAGCATCAACTCCGTCCACAATGATTGCACTCACCCTCCCCACCAAACACGTAGTCCCCCGGCGCCCCGACCAGCACGAAGGGCGCGCCGGCAGTGACAGCGGCGGTGCCCCTCCCCCCCTCCTCCCTGATCATCCACACTAGCTGCTGAGATAGCATCAACTCCGTCCACAATGATTGCACTCACCCTCCCCACCAAACACGTAGTCCCCCGGCGCCCCGACCAGCACGAAGGGCGCGCCGGCAGTGACAGCGGCGGTGCCCCTCCCCCCCTCCTCCCTGATCATCCACACTAGCTGCTGAGATAGCATCAACTCCGTCCACAATGATTGCACTCACCCTCCCCACCAAACACGTAGTCCCCCGGCGCCCCGACCAGCACGAAGGGCGCGCCGGCAGTGACGGCGCCGGTGCCGGGCCGCCCGCCCCCGATCATCCACACCAGCTGCTCCATGAATGTCTCGCGTCTACCCGCGGACGCCCCTCTAAGGTACAACAAACGAATTTACGTTCAAAAGTGAAAGCACATTTGTACGAACTGAATGTGTCCATCAAGCTTAATGAAATGGAAACTTTTTATATATATAAAATCCTATGAAACAACATTAGATTCGACACGGGCTACATGATCAATGACCATTTACATTCTTGCTTTTATATATTTTTACTTTCAGGTTTATCCTATTGCAAGCACCAGTCTTCACATTAAGTAATTAAATATCGTAATTAAGCACTTTATTGTAAATTTTTTTTTTCTACTTATGTGAAGAAATAAATTAAGAATTTATTATTATTTATTATTCTTCGTCTTCCATCAATAAAGCACTGACAATATTAACTGTGTCAAAAGTTCACCTATTCACATACAGAGTATCAGTATTTACAGAACAAAGAGATTTTTCTTTCTCTGTAACCATTTTGATATGTACGACGTGTTCGGCTTGGATAAATGAGCATATTTAGAATTCTCTTTGTGATGAACATATCTACTAATGTCATTCATGCCACAGTAGAACAACTTTGGTCAAAAATCTAAAACTTTACCTGTCTGGTAAAATATTTGTCAACATGTCAATATTTGCCTCAGATGCAGTTATTCCGATACCGCCTCATCTGATCTATCAATTGAAAAGACTCACTCCACCTGATGTTAGCCATCAATGGGGTCCGAGTACTAAATTAATTCTGCTGCAAACAAAGCTGTAAATAGTCTTCTGTAAACAGAGAGTACTTCTACAGATGACCATTCTGATACCTAAATGTAAGATCAGCTGTGCTGCTCTTACAACTAGCAAATAGTTTCACTTGTTTGATAGAACATTATTATTTATTTATTCTCATTTTCATCATCGAAAGTAAATTGTGATAGAATGCACACAGATAAACACATATGTTTATTGAATTATGTATTTTTTCCTTATTAATAGGAGACAACAATTAGTGAAGTCCTAAAATTCTATTTTCCCCAGTAAGTAAAGAAAATTTCATAAATCTTTTTAATTCCTTTGAAGAACCAGTTACAAACAAATATTAATAAATATATAAAGAAAGCAAAAAAATCCCATTAAAATTAATATGAAAGCTATATTTTCAGTGAAAAAACAAAACATAGCAGGTCTTTAAATTTCTGATTACCATTGCTGATTAGCTGGATGCATGTATTGTTATTATTTCTATTAAATATTAATGAATATCTTACCTGACCCGTCCCACTGACATCAGAAAGGCCAAGTCATTTAACATTGGTGGTGTGCTCTGGAATTAATTAAAAAATTAAGTAAATAATATGTCTTATTGAAAATGTTGCAGATTTTAAATGATGTTGTAATAAAAAAAAATACATTTAGATACAATAAAGAAACATATAATGCGATTCAAATAAGAATAAGAAAGCCAATGACCTCTATCTGTCAAATATCGCTTGAAAAGAACAGTTCGCAAAAAAAAAACTTGGAACCCTTTTTTAGCACTCCGCTAATTCAAAAATAAAAACCAAACATTTGTAAATAAACAATAATTAATATCGGTTAATATTATTTTTCACTTATTGAGCTTTGGCCATGAATGGTTGGTAACCGAAATCGTCAACCAAATGTCACTAAGTTGCGTTCAGAAACTTGATTTCAAACTTTTGTTTACATAAAGGATGCATGTTCGTATGTGACCTTGTAATAGTGCATGATTATTCATATCATAACTACTTCGGCGGTAATGCAGAGATGAGCGGAATAGAAGAGCTAGATTCTGATTAATGTTTTTTTCTCCCAGTCTTAATAAATAAATATTATTAAAAATCAGTGTTTTTTTCTCAATCTTAGTAAATAAATGTTATTAAAAAAATCTAATGTTTTCTCTCACTTAATCTTAGTAAATAAATTTTATTAAATAAAAACATTTTTTTGCTCACTCTACCTAATTCGTTGGAATTGACAGCTATGACATCACAATATGGCGCCCAGTCGATCCTATTCTTAGTTGAATCGCATTAATTGTGAATATGAAATCAATTGATAAGATTTTTATTTGTCTTGATAGTAAATAAACATGAATAACCAACAGAAAAGCATTTATTCTGTGTGTACCTATGGGGCAACAGCTGATAAGGATATCAATGTCACATAGCAATAAAAGGTGTTTGAGTTTTATAAATGCTATGCACAAATATAGTGTTTCAAAGCATGTAGTGCTATTTATAAGTAGGCTGAAAATCTCTTTAATTCATGTCAAACAATGCAAAAAGAAAAATTCATAGTATTTTTCAAAACATAATGAAAAATGAAAGATCTTTTTTTATTATTTATATCATAACGGAAATTAGTGAAACCACATGAAAACATTATTCATTATCATGTAAGTAGGTATGCTTTGAATATAAACAATTGCAGTTTCTAGAATAAAACTTCATATTGAAAATCAATTATACAATGAATGTGATATAATGATAATGAAAAACAATCATAACCATAATAATAATCTTAATACTATAGGAATACATGCAACTTAGTGCAGACTAGTTTTTAATAAATGTGTTGGGCCTAAAGGTAGGTATTTAAATATTTGTCTGGCTGAATATACATCATACAAATTGACAATTGAAATTAATGAAAATCACAATTCACAACACTGATATCCTGTCTAAAAGTCAATAATGTTATTTGTGTGGCAAATGACAACACAAATTTCTTATCAGAATTCTGTATCAGTAAAAAATGAAGAAGTAACTAGGTAGATGTTTTTTACCTAAAATAAAAACAATTTTTACCCATTTCTCTCAAAATCATCTGGAAAGGGATTTTTCTATTATTTTATTTTACATTTCCCATAAAAAAATCCTCATTCATTGGTCTATTGTAATAGTGAAGCTTATTGCCTGATTTTTCTTACCAGTTTACACTTAAATATTAAATCATATTTATTTGCTTTTTCTATCTTAATTTATATATTTTAGATCAGTGTTATATTTGGTTTGGTGTGGTTACCTACAATGCAAAGGGATGGTGCTGCCTTGAAGCCTAAGAAATACTAGAAAGAATTCGACACAACCATTAGGACCATGGTAGCATAGTCATAGTCAGTCCATCTGCCCAGATAGCAGGTGTGGGTTCAAGTCCCATCTGCTGCCTGGTAAACGTAGATTTTTTTCTAGTAGAACTTTCTTTAGATTTACATCTAGCAGTGAAATGCTTAAAAAATAATAATATAACAGTTTTAATTGTTTTATTTTAGATCAAATCAAACAATTCTTTGAAGCAGCCTTAACTATGGTAAAATCCTATTTGATATGATTCATTCTTATTTTTATAAGCAAAATATAGGTATGGCTCCAATTACTACATAGTGGAAAAAATATTTTTCTTGTGATGCAGTATGACTCATGTTCTTATTACTTGAACTAATGCAAAAGGGATTTGACCTTTTTCCCAAATTAACTTACTGTAAATCAACAATAAATTTGTAATTACTATAAACATTTTCAGTTGAAATAAATACGAAAATAATTAGTTTGTGTATATAACTTATATATTTTATGTCTGTGTACATTCCATATAAATATATTCTAGAACATTTTAGTCACTAACTTACAGTAAATCCTGTTAATCATTCTTAAACTATATTATGAAAGATCTCACTCTTTTTATGGTCACCTAAAGGTTATATAGGTCACCTATCAGTTACTAAGCCCTTGAGCCAAACTAATACCTATTTAGTTTGACTCAAGGGTTTCATCTGGAAGAAACTAAAAAAAATAGTGTACTGTAAATTACTAACTGGCTACCAGCTACTACAGAAATAGTTTATAAAAATATAAAAGATATTGAGATATTACCGCAATTATGTGTTGCCGTAATATCTCAATATCTTTTATATTTTTATTATAAAAGAAGCACATAATATCTCCTGTATTTTAAGTTTTCCCAATAACGTTTACGTTCTCCATAGGAACTTAAATCATCATTAACAAGATTATATGTCATACAATATTTATATGTATGGATTATATGTTTGAAGGTGCATAGCCACCACTATACTTACTTGGTGCACATCATCTGAATCATCAAAGTTGCTCATATCATCCAAGTTACTCATATCATCTAAGTTGCTCATGTCGGCATCACTAAAGTCATCCCCAGAGAGGACAAGTCCTTCCGTTTCATTTTCCAGTTGCTCAATAAACCCACTTGCACAATATGGGCATGTATAATCCTGAAAGCATTAAAATTTGGTATGAATAAAATACATTGTGCATGTTTTTAATAAGTAACAGTTATTATCTTGTATTATCACAAAATATAGGTCAGTTAATTGTTTTATTTTTTTATCACTGAGATGATGAATAGTGACAAAAAGTGGGGAAACTCAACAGAGGTCACACTCAGGCTACTGTTATCACGCCATTGGCAGTCGAACGTTTATAAAACCAAGTAAATTCAGCCTTTGATGTGCCAGAACCCATGACATGATGAATCTGTGCAAATTTCAATAATATTCCAATTGGTTTAACTTTTATGATACGACGACGAAACCGGCTACTTTAATGAAAATTTAGTCGCAATATTGCTCACAGACGTGAAATATCCGATACATTGACTGACCGTCAATTCGTAATAGAATATTTTTGTTCATGAACTGTTTGATCAGGGGAAAGGTAAAAACTTTGATAGTTATTAAAATCACTAGAAATAAATGTAAATATTGATTTTTTACCTGCAAAACATCTTCAAATTCAATGTTACACCTGTGGCAGAAGAACCGAACAGTCGGCCTCCGCTCTACCAAAGCATCGGCCATTCTAGGTTTTATTCACAGTTACACAATAACAAATATTTAATGTTTTAAATATGTGCCTGAAGATTGTGCTTTTAAAACCTGAACAGAAATTTAACAATCGCCATTTTTTTGAGCCATGCACAATCCAACTTTTTTTTCCAAAAAACGTCAGAATCACAGATAACCAAAGACACGTTGTCACAGATAGTAAAATATAATTCTTGACTCTATGGTTTTTATTTACTTTGATTAAAATAGTTTTTTTATAAACTATGTTAGGTTGCTTTCCAATTACAGCATTATAGCGCATTATGCGGCATAATGCTTAACGTTGAGTGTTCCAACTACAGCAACGCTTCGCAGAATTGAGCACTCTCAAAAGTGATGTTTTCGTGTGCAGTGTTTCCACTTTAATGATTTCCTTTCCCCACGCCTCAATGCAGATTTCCCCTTTTAAGGACATTTTTCCCCTCAAAAATTATCTGCTGTAGTTTTTAGATTTGGCACTAGTGTTAGTAACTAAAAAAAAAGGTCTTAATCTATCTTATTCTATAAAAGATAAATAAAATATATAAAATCTGCACGTGTTGCCACAGTTTCTTTTATACGGCAACACTGTAGTCCACGGTATAGTCCATAAAAAATTTGTTCCGTGCCGCATTATTTTAAGCTAGGCTTTACCCATAATTTCCCGCAATTTTCCCTTTTTCTTCCCTTCTGGACCCTAATTTCCCCTTAAAAGGCGAATTTTCCCTCATTGTGGAAACACTGTTCGTGTGATGCGTGCAATCGTACCAACTTAGAGACAAAAAATTAACAAGTGTTTTTTCTTTAAGTTGGCATTGATCGAAATGTTTTATTTATATGTTATCGTTAGTAATATTAATTATTGTTGAAAAATTATTAAAGCTTTCGTATCATTAAATAGTTTTTGAAGTTATACTTCCTTAGGCGCGTTATGAAAAAATGATGAGAGTGAAATTTTAAAATGCGCGCGCATCACTGTAACACAAAATTTTAACAGCATGAAGTTGGTCTCTCTATTTAGTGGGTGCTAACGACTGCATTATGAAGGCCTATCAAAGGTATTTATTTATTTATTTATTTATTTGTTTATTTTAATCTGGAACAACGGAACCAAAGTGCGATTCAGGAGACTACAGCGCCATCTCTTGACCATTGGTGTAGTAGAACCAAAAACCACATTTTTAATTTTTGTAATAAAGTAACAGTTATAGGTATTCATATTTATAATATCAAAAGTATTTATTAATCTGGAACAACGGAACCAAAGCGCGATTCAGGAGACTACAGCGCCATCTCTTGACCATTGGTGTAGTAGAACCAAAAACCACATCTTTATTTTTTGTAATAAAGTAACAGTTATAGGTATTCATATTTATAATATTTATCCACATGTTTCTAGGTTGTATATTCGGAATACGTGTTTGAGTTTCATACAAGTGCAAATCACATATGTTCTAATAAATTATATTCAGTAGCGATTTTAATTGAATATTTTGATTATTTATTTATTTTTTCAAATTAAAGCTGAACTTTATTGACTGTGTCCTCTTCCAGACATTTTAATTGCATGCAAATAATTAATTACAATAAATTTATTGTAATTAATTATTTGCATGCAATTAAAAACTAAGTTTAAACGATGCCAAAGAAGGATAACTTCTCACGCGCCTACATAAGTACACGCACCCATTTTTTTTTAAATAATCAAAGTTCATTCAATCTGTTAAAAAATAAATATAAGTATGGATGAAGGTACAAACATTGACTTTTTTTTTCAACACTGAACTTAGCGCAATCTGCTGGTGCATTTGAAAACTAATTCACGTCCCAATTAAGCATCAGCATAATTCGGCATTGTGCGGCACTGAGTCGCATTATGCTCTGTAATTGGAAAGCAACCTTAAACTTATTTTCCGGAAATCAGGTTTAAATATAATACAGTTTCTTGAACTGTTCCTTAAGACATCGATGATGACGCCCCCGCGCCGCCACAATTTAAATTAAATCAATAAAATGATAACATGAAAGAACCATAGTCAATAATAAGAACATAGTTAAGGAAGAACTATATTTATCTTACGTGTTGTGGTGTGACGCGATCTAACGCGATCGGTTTCATACATATTATGTTGCAATGTATCAACAACGTTCTCACTCTAACCATACTAATTCTATGAAACAGATACAATGGTGTCGATTCTGGCATGATTCTTTAAACTTAAAACTAAATTTAACATCAATCTCTCCTTTTCATTCTGCATAGAAAATGACAAGGATACACTGTTGTCAAATTTAAGTTTAGGTTTAGAGAATCATGCCGGAATCGACACCAATAGCTGTATGATGCGTCACAACCTTAAAACATGCACTAATACGACAGATAAGTGTAGTTCTGGCATTACTCAGTCCAACCAATCCAATTCAAAGCTGTAAATAAAAACGAAAAATTAAAAACAATTTCAGTTGACGTTATTTTGGCTGTAAAGTTGTGTCATGATTTTATAAAAAGTTAAATTTGTGATTCCCCTTAAATTGATAATATTTTTTTCAGTAGGCTAAACTATGTGCTGTACAGTTTATAGTTTAATTACACTGGCAGTCTCATAGCATAAAATAGTTTATAACTTTATTTACAAAATATCTTGTTGGTGGGATGATTGTTATCAAATTTACGTGTCCTAAACAAATCATGCGGATTTTTTATAATTTAATTAGTTTTGATCCTCCGTTTCACACTTTGTAAAGTTTTTCTCTTTATTTTATGGTGATTCGACGAAGAAACGTAAAAATTTCGTCGACCTTTTATTGAGACACCGTATACAATGAATGAAAAGAAAAAGATTGTACAGAATTTCAAGAGTTACATCAATGTATCACCACCAAAGGCAAGTATATACTAAGAATTTAAAAGCATACTAATTATTCGTAAGGCTATTGGATTTATAAGTTATTTTCTGAACTTGATTGATGAAATGATTTATAGGTTATAAAATCTTATTTACAAGATATAGCCGTAGGTATTAAAATCTTGCTTAACAACCTTTCTACAAAGCACCAGTACATGTAAATTATACTGCCTATATTATTGTAATTATGTATCTGTCTTACTTACAAACAAAATTTAGATAGCCAACTTGAAGAAAAGTAAATTTTGCAAAATACTATTTCATTAGAAATCTTGAATAACACTTAAACAGTGGGGAAGCTCCTGACTCCTGACAAAAAAATCCCTTGACTCCATGACCATACACTTATTAAGAGTTATTTGAACATGGTACACTTACCGCACTTAACTCATTCACTTTTGGATTTATACTTGGCGAGGGGGGCAATTCTCCAAACAAAAACTCCAAAATCCTGACATTTTCAAAGGATTTCGGATTTGTTTGGAGGGTTGGAGTGAGTCTCCAACCCAAACAAATAATTGTAAATTGTATGACAAAAATTGATAATTAATTTTGTACCTGTTATAAAAATAATTATAATTTAAAATTACATGATTATTGATTAACAAATGGCAAGTTTATCGATGTACTACAGTCTGCTACAAGAATCAAATTAGAAGTTGGGTCATGAGAGAAGTACAGTAGGACGCCGATTATCCGAATTAATTGGGACCGGGGTCGATTCGGATAATCGAAAATACGGATAATCGGACATAGACAAGTAATAAAGAAAAATGAACTGCCACACATAGAATAAACTTTATTACGTTTAACAAACACAGTTCTACAATACTAGATACAATAATAGAGGTACATAGTAGCAAAACAAAATTAAGAACAGTAAAACATGTAGTGTCTTGCCTCTAGCTTTCAACCATTAACAGTTGATATAAATATATATAGGTATTTAACATACTCGCTGGACTTTAGCGAGTTCCAACTTATTAGAACAAAACTTAGTTTTAATTTTTTATATTACGCTTAGGACCGATTCGGATAATTGGCGATTCGGTTAATCGGCGTTCGGATAATCGGCGTTCTACTGTATTCAGTGAATGGTTTCATAATGACTTTGTCCCAGAAGTTAAGAAGTTTATGAAAAGAGCCCATAAAAGCATTTGATTTGTTTCAATAACTGCGTAACATGGGCAGAAGAAAACGGCATGTCTGCCAAAGATATTATAATTCAACGCAAACTTGCGAAAAAAGGTCTTTCTATGTTATTCCATATGTACTTACTTGTTCAATTAATACATTACATACATTTATTCCATCTATGAAATGCTTCATTTTATTCATTACCTACGACTTTTTCACTATAATCCAGTAATCCGAACATTCCAATAATCTGGCAACCTCTGGTTTTTAATAGTGCCGGATTAGTGAGATTATACTGTATTATATTTAATAGGCCAACATAAACAGTGATAAATATTCTGTTCAACTTGCATTCCATTATTAGGTATTTAATTTTAAGAAAAATCATTGATTGTACAAAATTGACCATGATTTCAATAATATCATGCATGACTGGACTGATTGACAATCTACAAAGTTATTGAGTTGACATTATAAGCTGTCACCACAGAACACTGAAAAAGGTTAGAAGGCCTTGTGGGAGGGGCAGGTGCGCCACAGTCATGTGTGAGTAAATGCTTATAACTTGACAAAAATTTGGTTCTGATTTCTTCGCTGCTCTCGGGTGTGAGTGCTGATTGGTTTGATTGGCTATTATCTATTAGGTGGAAGTGTAGTAGGGGCGAGCCGACGACATCAGTTTTCCGTATAAATGGTCTATGATCTCCCTTTTAACCTCTTTCTGTGTTCTGTGGCTGCCAGAGACTAAAAATATGAGGTTACTTATGACAGGGTGGCCAGCATATTGCTTTCAAATGGAAGCAACTACCACTTTTGAACCACCTCCTTTTATCCAAATATTAAGACTTCTCAACCTGGCAGCTCTAACTATAGATCCCATAAAACAATCCTAGCAACTGCCAAGGGAACCGTATCTAGCGATAGGTCAAATTCTGTTTTTTTTTATTTGAATTATATCAGTGTTTTTCTGTCAGGTAGAACCTAAACTATATGTATTTCTAAAGCTTATTTTAATAAATACATTAACTTTCTGCACTCATTCTCTATAGTAGGGGAGCCCAAGTGGGGATTTCAGGATTTACTCGAGCGCGGCAGATTAACATAAGGGGAGCAACCTTGCATCTTGTAAAGTACTCCCACCATACATTAGCCCTTTATATAGTGTTGAATGTCCAGGGCAGCCAATCAGATTAGTAAGAAAAATCTATTGTTGGAAAAACTCGAGTGGGTCAGATTAAAGTTAATTACAAGCAGAAAAATGTGCAATAATCTGCCTGTACGTGCTTCCCCCAAAGATATACAAAATAAAAACTTTTTTTCTTTATAGCATCCAACCTTCACAATCCAATATGTCCCAACGAGTATTTGAGTAAATCCCTATTTAGCATTGTGGGCTCTCCTACTACTACATAAACATAAATCTCACACTCCTAGCTTGCTCAAAAAAGTAGTTCTTACAATGTGTGTCTATTCCAGAACAATGGGGAGAAAAATGGTGCACTACAGGAAGTCAAACCTAAATTACTAAATGGTAAGTCTTTCTATTCACTGATTTAAACAATATTAAGTCACTTATGTTGTTTAAATAAATATTTACCTGTCTATATAGTTACCATTCCATGACATACATCATCATCATCGCAGCCATACAATTCCCGCTGCTGAGCATAGGCCTTTTTTTTTTGTGACGAGGGGAAATGCAGTTACGCACCATACCGTGACGTTGACTAGGCGCACGGCGTGTGTGGGACTCGCCGGCACGGGAAACAGTGCCGACCCTACTCAAGCAGGACCAGTGCCTAAGGCCACACTGATCCTACTCCACTAAAACCCCCCGGTACCCTCCTACGCCCATATGGGGGCGGTCTCGGGGCCGACGCACCTGCGTGCGCCACATCTCCGAGCACGAGCATAGGCCTCCCCCAAGGTTCTCCACACCGAACGGTCTTGCTCCACTCGCATCCATCGGCTTCCTGCGACCTTACTAGATCGTCAGTAAACCTGTTGGAGGCCTACACAGTAAGAGTTGTCCGGTGCATGATCACCATTCGAGAACCTTTCAACCCCAACCACCATCGGTTTTCCTCGCTACGTGTCCCGCCCATTGCTATTTTACCAGAGAAAACCTTTGAGCCATATTGGTTCAACCAAATCGTCTACACAAAACTTTGTTTTACTACACATATTTGTGCGCATCAACAATGTTTATGTTTTCCGAGGTCGATGAAAAGCACGTACACAAATCCCCCTGCGCGGGTCGAGGGTCAAGGTAATGTTTCATCGGCTAATTTGACAAATCACTAGCGAGGGCCCCGTTCCAAACCTAAGCTCTAAGTACAAATTTTTACTCTGACTTTTCAATTTTGCCATAAAATATTGGAAACTTTTGTCAAATTTGACATTTATGTATAATGTGTATTTTGTGTATGTGCTTTTGTTCAATGTTTTCAAAAAGCCTTTTGCCCGGCTTTAGTTCTACAGATTTGAAAAGTACCGGCTACAAGAATATGAATGAAAGTTAAATTGGTAGTGATTGGCGATCATAGTGATAGTGAAAAACCTTTTCCGCCACTATTGACTTATGATCCAGCAGGCAATCAAACCCGTATAAGTATTACGTCTTGTAATCGTAGAGCTCTGACTAAGCGACTAAGCAATAGGTTTAATATATGCGTAACGCAAGTAATGTAACTGTAAAGCCATTTATGCTTGGTTATTGTGTTGGGATGGGAAGTTGCGACCCCTTGGGCGACAGTCGTGCGTGCGCTGCTACACTAATGGGGCGCCTAAAGGAAGGTCCGTCGGTCATACATTAAGAGAAGTTTTTTTTTTACTTTAATCATGTGATTTCTCTAAATATCACCGCAAGTCGGAAACTGCGTCAATGAAATGTCTACGAAAAAGTGAACAAAATACCTGGGATTTTTATAAACAACTTATTTATGCATTGATATTAAGCAATGCATTTTTAGGGAAAACGTAAGAATCATTAATTAGTGTAGCACATTAGCTCAGTTTCAGCAGTTCCTGTTAAAGTTTCTGGTGCTTATCTCCCAATATCTAAAGTTAAAAGTAGCTGATACAATTAACATAACGTTACATATATAGATTGGTATTCAGGAGTAGGACCTGAGAATGTAAAATTTTAAGTTTTTTGGGTTATAAGTAACGAATAAACTATTAATGACTTTATCAACAAGTAATGAAATAAGCCCTTGTAAGAGAATAACGTCTAAATATCATACCATTTAATATAAAGTTTCACACAGGCGAAATAGTATAGATCCTCTTTTGCTAAATTTATATCAGAGTGTATAATTTTTGCTATACCTAATTGGAAATTGGTAAGGCAGTGTACGATATACGTAAATAAGAATTTTAGAACGTGTTAAAGCGAAAGATAACGAAACGGGAACCGAAAATGAAAGATATCTTTTATATCTACTGATAAATGTTACGATATTCATTAATCATAATCATATCAAATAAACGCTAGTACGAGACTAACTGCTTGTAGTTCTGAATAATATTGTCGATTGTTTGTGGGTTGTTTGTCCAAATTCAACACTTATCACAATATCTTTTAATTTGCAATTTAAAAGAAAAACTAGTAAGAATCCGACCCTATAAATAAATGTATGCATAATAAATAATAATGTCACACTAATAATAATATGCTACTGTGGTATTCATACAAAAACAACACATTCCAAAGCTGGGTTGAATTGAACAGTAAATTGTATACTTTTTTTTTATCCATTCTTTTTAGAATAGGACTCGTTTTATTAAAGAAAGAAGACGGTTTTACTATTTACCAACACGTAGGTAATCTTCAGATACTAAAATAATAAAAACACCAATTCAGGGTCGTATTAGCCAATACCGTTTTTATAACTGTGATCGCTGTAGGAAAATATTTTCTAGTTCAGCACACCCCAAGGTTATAAGTGAAACACCTCCACGGTTTTGTGTTGTTACTGTTATTCAATTATAATGTTGATGGGTTTCATATCTTTGCAAGTTTTTTATTTTGCCTATTAGTCTGATAAATTAGGAAGGCCTGCTTTATTTTCTATTGTTAATAGTGTTTTATCTCATTTCAATTTGCTCTAATTTTCAATTTCAAACGAGGTATTGCTTGTTAAAGTATCTTATCTATGAGTATTACATGTGTTATTACGCGCTATTTTAGTTTCTTCCCTATATCTCCAACACTCGCTACGTTTCATAGGAAAGAGGAAGGGATGACGACTAATTTATTTTTCTTTGTGTATAATACTTTTTTATAATCTACCTGGGATTGTCAAAAAGTATTGGACACGTATTTTTTCATTATTCAAATAATCAAAACATTACACAGTACAGCCTATATTGATTTAAAATGTCGCACGACGTCACGTCCTGATACAATATTTATTTAGAAGTGAACTTGACGCGTCTTGATTTTACATTTTATTTTTTATTTAGATTTATTATATTGTTAAGGAAAAAATAATTGCCTATTATTTTTTAATAACGGACTAAATAGGATTTCGTTTAGGTATTTTCCCTGTCCATATTTTTGTTCTGAAATTGCTATCTAGGAAAATACCGACAGGTTTCTAGCCCATTACTGAAAGTGATACAAGATCGATGATTTTATAATTTTCTATTTCAATTGGCATGTAGAATAAAACATTGTTTAATATAGGTATATATTTTTACGAACACCAATTATTTAGCAAAACCTTTTAAACGGGTACAAAGCCCGATAAAAAATAAATCAATAAACCGCGGTTCATATAATTTACAATGTTCAGTTTATTCGTTACTATGTAAGTTGTGTGACTATGTAACAGTGTCACGGACAAATTAGTTAATATGATGTAGACTTAATTAATGCCAACAGTCCGCCAATTTGCCACTTTTTAGAATATCCATTCCGTGCGCATGTTAATTTTCACTTACACTATTTTATTAGTGGTACACTAACTTTGCCATACCCAAGAAAAGTATACTTAAAACGAGCAGCATAAATTCATATATCGACCACTCCCCGATTCTGAAGATCTTGGTAAATGTTTAGATTAGTTTCTAGTGGTATTATCAAAATAAATATCCTGCGTCCTGACTTATTTATCGGGCAGGTCTGCTGATTTCCCAGAATTTGTTAAACATCAGTTCTTTATAGGTAGACACGTGACGTCGTGTCGACAGAGAACGGGCTTTGTGTTTTTCTCTAAAAGGGGCTGTTGTCTTTAGTTTAAACTTTAGAGAATCGTGCCAGAATTAAGCCCAGTGTCGTTAAACCGCAGTCAATTGTTTTAAGTTCAAATAATATTTTATGGCAAGACTTGTTGGCAGTATGAGCAGTGTATACAATTATATGTTAAGTATCTATCTCATAAGCCGAATCTGAGGAATATGTATGTGTCACAGACCGAATCACAGATTCGCTGTATTACATTCCGACTAGAGTTGTGTTAAAAGACTGAGCCACTTTGTATGATGGTGAATAAGTCATATGGTTGCATTACGAATCTCATCTTTAATAACTTCCAATCTTCAACACTCGCGGTACCGTCAGTTGCACTATTAACTGTTATTGTTTGCTAAAAATAACATTATCTTGTACTAAGTATGCAGGTAAGGTAACATACAGATTACCAATTTGTTTGTTTTCGATAATATTGTTGGTCAGGACATTCTTTCATCCCATGTGAATATAATGGAAAATTATTACTTTAACAATGCTACTAAATGCCGGCCACATGGTGCAGTACCACCATATTATAGAACACGTATTACAATAGCAAGTCCCTCTCGCCGCGCGGACCGCCGCCCGTTATATTAAACAACAATTTTGAAAAAATAAACCTTGTAATTAATAGACGGTTTGTAATGAATACGACAAAATCTACAATATGCCTGTGACATACTGGATTTTTTTTGTATTTATGAGCAAATACAATTTTCAACTTAAAAAGGCAACTTTAGTATTCATTTTCCTATTAATTTATTGCATCTTGTTGTATACATAGGTGTTACAAGTATGGTTAAGTTGCAAACAAGAGCCCTGAAAGGACACGGCAAATTTATTGATGTACACATTATTATTACAATTAAACATTTTATACAAAATTAAATCACATATCTTATTAACATTATTTATAAATTAATAGTATCAAAAGTTTACTAGAAAAATATCCACGCGGATTTTTTTTCTAGTAAACTTTTCTTTAGATTTAAACATCTAGCAGTTAAATGCTTAAAAAATAAATAAAAACTTAATAGTATCATTTAAAAATAGCTTTGTAGTATACATTAATATTATGGGTTTATGTCATGTTTATATTAAGTACTTCAATGTTTTTATTTTACCTAATTTAATCTAACATAGGTACTATTTTCACACATAAAGTACTGTAATAATGATGAATCAATCCACGTAATTTATTGAACAGTTAATTATAACGTCTGATGGTGATTCATTGTGTTATTGTGTAGGTCATTGCCGCCTCACCGCATCATACCGATACGGTTTTACTTAACCCATAAGTGTTTGTTTCAATAATTGTGATTAATATTGATCTCTTATGGTGGACAGGAAAATAGAATAAAAAACTTCTTTAGCAAAACCACAAACAATACAACTTGCGCTGTAGAGGTTTTTCAATGTAAAATTGCTGCTGCGCCGCAGGCTTCCTTGTCTATGTTCTTTGCTCAAGCAAGAACTTTGCCTAGATGAATTGTGGTAATATTTATCCCTTTTGGTGGATGGTGGTGGTCAATGGAAGTAAATGAAAAAAAAAATGCATGAGCTTATCAGAGCTGGTATCTTTCCTGGGTAATAAGCGAAGGGCGGTAAATGGATTAGGTTAATGACTTAGATTAGCCAGTTGCTTTATTTATGTGATGTCTTGTATCTGCGTCCGTTGATGTCCAAATTGGGTCCCTCCAGAATATCAGCGTTGCAGCTAGGGTTACCATTTTTTTTTATCAAATATAGTATTTTCGAAGCTTTACTTCTAAAATATTTTTGCTGCTCTTTGTCTTACTAATAATATAGTAATAATTTCTAATAATTTTCAAGAAAGCTTTTACTGTCAAAAATATGCCTTAAGCAAAATATAGTAGTTTCGCCTACTAGTTATTTTTTTAGAATTATAGTATTTGCTCACCTAATATAGTAGGATACTATATTATACTAACGGCCCGCCCTCGCTTCGCTTCGGTGTAGTGTAGACTACAGTTTTTGTTCTCAGGCTTGTATTATACACAATGACATTCATCTATGATTCTTCTTATACCTGCATGCAAAATCTCAGGCCGCTCGGTTTAAAATTGACAAAGTTTCATACAAACTTTCATTCCCTATTTTATCCCCTTGGGGGTAAAATTGATCAAAATCCTTTCTTAGCGGATGCCTACGTCATAACATCTACATGCATGCTAAATGTCAGCCCGATCCGTCCAGTGGTTTGGGCTGTGCGTTGATAGATCACAATGTCAGTCAGTCAGTCACCTTTGAGTTTTATATATATAGATAGTAGGGTTGGGAACCCTAGTTGCAGCGGTAATCCATTTTTGCCGTTGCAACATTATGCTGAGGTGGGGCCTAGTTGACAATGTACCTTTTATGTTTGATGTGTATTTATTGTAATCGTCAATAAATGATTTTCTTTCTTTCTTATTACATTGCATATTACGTCGCTTAGCTGTGCTAATATTGTTTAATACACAATCTGTTATAGTTTTATACTTTTTCTTTAAAACTACAACAGATTGTGTAGAAGATCACGAGTGGTATTTTGATCCAGTGAAATCCTGCTATGACCTCGTATATTTTGTGTTGTGTCTTCATAGGAGGACACGATATTGTTATTTGGAAAGGTTGTGACAGAATAGCAAAGACTGGGTTCTCCGTGGTCACTGAGTCACGAATCATTTTGTCCTACGATTTATTTTGTCAAGTATGTTTGTATGCTCAGTAATGGAAAGACAAATAAAACTTTATTATTATTATCTGAATATGCTCTGTCATTTTTAAGGTTCCGTAGCCAAATGGCAAAAACGGAACCCTTATAAACTCGTCATGTGTGTCTGTCTGTCCGACCGTATGATACAGCCACTTTTTTCCGAAACTATCAGAACTATACTGTTGAAACTTAATAAATAGATGTATTCTGTGAACCGCATTAAGATTTTCACATAAAAAATACAAAAAAGAACAATAAATTTTGGGGGTATGGGGATACTTAGAACTGAAATAAAAAAAATGATTTTTCGTCAAACCCATAACGTGTGGGTTTTCAATGGATAGGTCTTCAAAAATTATATTGAGATTTCTAATATTTTTTTTCTAAACTGAATAGTTTTCGCGAGAGACAAGTGTGTCGTCGTCCCTGTAACTTCTAAAATCAGAGAATGATAAAACTAAAATAAAATATGATGTACATTACCATGCAAACTTCCACCGAAAATTGGTTTGAACTAGATCTAATAAGTTGTTTTTTTAATAACTACTTAATTAATTAATAAAAACACTATTATTAAAACATCGATCAAAGTTACAACGAACTACAAGTACTTTTATATTATGTTTTTTTCTGCTCCGGAATCCTTCATGGGCGAGTCCGACTCGCACTTGGCCACTTTTTTACATTTGCAATCCTCGAAAAGAGTACCAATTAAGATCGTTTAAAAGTTTCACTTCCGATCCTACGTAACCTACGTTGACTTAGCGAATTTTAATAATTATAAGTGCACTAGAAAGTCAACTACTTTCAGAAAAAGTACAGTGGAGAGACAGACATATTTAATATATGTGTATATTAGGAGTGACAGATGTACAATTTGACATTAAATAAAATAAGTTTAAAAAACGGTCAAGGGTGTTCTATTGGACCAAAGAGATTTTCTACAGAAATAAAAACAACTGTTCTCTTTTTCTTTTTATTATCAAAGATAACGATTGAAGTCGCTGGTCTCTGGAAAAGCTGCGTAGGTATTGCATAAACTAATAATAAATCCTTATGTAACGTAGGTGTTCATCCCCTGAGTTTAATCAGTCATGAGTCACTCGTTGCTCTTGATCCATACTGCGTTCGAAACTTGAACCAACCAATAATATAATTTTTCCGCTATGCTTAAATGCCGAAGTCGAAAAAGTGGACTGGATTTAATCCTAGTCTAAATATCACCTTTGACCACTAACTAGATTCTAAAGCCAAGTTTAATTTTAGTCCAAGTTTTGTAATAAGGGCACTTAAGCTAATTTTTTTTCACGCTATTTATAACTAATAATAAATATCCTTGTATGCTTTCGTGTAGCGATGCAACGACCAATACGAATGAAAATCGAAATTGCCCGATACGATAACGAATTACAAAACGAATGCATTATGATTTTTGTTTTATAGCATTTTATTGAAGCTCTGTTTGTATCACTTTGTCCGTAATTATATTAATATTAAGAAAAAAAAACAAATTGCACATTTTTAATTAATTTGATTTTATAATTATGTTTTTTGTTCAATTTCTGCGTCAGTGTCAAACAAAATGGATGAGTGTATTCAGACATTGACGCGTTATGCGATTCGTTTCACTCGAACCTGTATAAATCGTATCGTAATGTTTACGATTGATGATATCTTATCACTGATCGTAAAAATGTACGATTATCTCGATAATATACGATTATCGTACGTTAGTCCTTAATTTTCATATGTAATAATAAAAAAATCCTATTTGGTCCTAAAATGTTATGCAAATAACCGCATCTATATGCACAAACCACGCTGACCACTAATATTATCATGGTTCTACAAATAAGGAAAATTTTAAGACCTCATACTCAACAATAGTATCCTAAGTAATTTACCGACCTAATCAGGGTATTCCCATATGTCGTAATATGTTTTTTTAAATGATTACTGTGAATGAAAACATAAGAAATGAGTATAACTAAAGTTTTGTCTACTATTTGCTTCCATCAAAAATCTTGCGTTTTTTTTACAATATTGAACAGTTAGGTATACATATTACACAATCGTCTTATCGTCAATCGTGATTAACGAAAAGACAGGAACTAAAAAGATGCTCGGTTATATCCTGATGTTTAATGTAAAAGTTGTAATTGCAGCTTTTATAAGACAGAGAAACCTGGACTTTGTCAGCACTCTTGATGCTATTCAATGTCATTCTTCATTATATCAACGAATAACATGGCCGTATGAAAGTCCTATTCAACTTTATTAATTAGTAGCAGTGCCGAAATAACAGGGACTCGGAAAAAAAACTTACACGTTAGCAATCCCGATAATTACTATGGGTTGATCTCAGATTGTCTAATAGCTGTGGCTAACCCCTATTAATGACTATGTCGCAAAATGACTACAAATAATTTCGTCTAGATCGTCAATTGACTACATCGCATAATGCCTAAGATCGCAAAATGACTAGATCTTTAGTTCAGTGACTGACACTGGATTCATTTTATCAGGAAATAGTGCGACAGTAAGGAAGGCCTTTGAGGGGCTCGATGGTGCAGGTGGTTACCGCATTCGGAATGCGATCGTGAAAGTTCAGCAACTTTCGCAATGGTCGGCCATTAAATGGGTGGCCAAAACTTATTATCTCTAACTCCTCCGTGCTTCGGAAGGCACGTTGTTAGCCATTGGTCCCGGTTGCAACTGCAGTCGTTAGCACCCAACAATTCTCACTGGGTCAGCGTGGTTAGTCGCGGCACGGAAGGCCGTGTCTAACCACGCGGGAAGGCCTGTGCTCATGCAGTGGGAAAATTAATAGGCTGATGATGATGATGGAATGCTTATTCAGAAGAGGTTGGTTGAAGAATGTTGCTTGTCACAGGCGAGCAGGTGGCGGGGGCGGCGTACAGCGTAGTGATGCTAACGCCGCTGAGCGAGCGCGACCGCGGCAGGCTGGGCTCGCTCTTCGTCACCAACTACAAGCTGTCTTTCGTGCCCCTGGAGTATTTGCAAGGCGATGTAAGCTAATTTCTGCTAAATGTTTAATATATGAGGCCAGGGAAATTATGATTTTAGTGCAAGGCTTCTAAGTCCCACTTTAAAGGTCTCACAGACAGAGACACCCTTCAGCCGCAGCTAGCCCTTTATTGGTTGCTTGTGTTTGAACACTCCCTTACATTGCAAGCGAATACAACTTGGTCGCCACCCCGGCCGCGTCTGTCTGTGAGACACTTTACTTGCACCAACATTCTTAAAACAGTTCTATTTAGATCAATAGTTTAAAATCAAATAAACGTAGAACGAGCCTTTCATTGGCTTTTAAATTTGATGTAAAGACTGCTGAAAGTGGGTCTTAAATTTCATCGGCGTTTCTATGTCGATAAGTTTTAGTGTTACCTTTTCCTATTGTTTATTTGATGCACACACAGGACTATGGTCAGCGGAACCACCTGCTGGGTACATTCGACGTGCCGCTGACGGGGGTAGGCGCGGTGTGGCTGACGGAAGGTGGGCCGGTGCGGCGCCGATGCCTCGCGCCCGGCGGCGACGTGCCCGCCAAGGTCAAGGGGCTGCAAGTGGTGTGCAAGGTATGTGTAGCGACCTCCCCCTCACACGCAGCAGTACGAGCGGCGGGGCCACCTGACGTGCCCGCCAAGGTCAAGGGGCTGCAAGTGGTGTGCAAGGTATGTGTAGCGACCTCCCCCTCACACGCAGCAGTACGAGCGGCGGGGCCACCTGACGTGCCCGCCAAGGTCAAGGGGCTGCAAGTGGTGTGTAAGGTATGTGTAGCGACCGCCCCCTCACAAGCAGCAGTACGAGCTGCGGGGCCACCTGACGTGCCCGCCAAGGTCAAGGGGCTGCAAGTGGTGTGCAAGGTATGTGTAGCGACCGCCCCCTCACACGCAGCAGTACGAGCGGCGGGGCCACCTGACGTGCCCGCCAAGGTCAAGGGGCTGCAAGTGGTGTGCAAGGTATGTGTAGCGACCGCCCCCTCACACGCAGCAGTAAGGGCGGCGGGGCCATCTGACGTGCCCGCCAAGGTCAAGGGGCTGCAAGTTGTGTGCAAGGTATGTGTAGCGACCGCCCCCTCACACGCAGCAGTAAGGGCGGCGGGGCCATCTGACGTGCCCGCCAAGGTCAAGGGGCTGCAAGTGGTGTGCAAGGTATGTGTAGCGACATCTCACGCAGCAGTGCACCAGGGACCACCTGCTGGCTACGTTCCACTACGCGTGCTGCTGACTATGATTAGGTATAGCCCGATCCAAACTTCATGGCAGTTGTGAAGTTAGCGACGAGCGCAATTATGCGCAGGTTTCAGTCAGTGACATCCCGCTATAGCGAGGATAACCGATGATCGTGGGACCGGAAAAGTTCCCGAGTGGCGACCACACACCAAATGACGCTGAATAGACAGGCAGCCCACTAGATGGACTGACGATCTATATTGAAGGTCGCAGGATGCCGTTCGATGCGAACCCACATGAAGATCTTTGAGGGAGGCCTTTGCTCAGCAATGGGTGTCGTACGGCTCAACTATAAAGTTGATATCCCCTGCGGACCTACATTATCCTTCCTTTCGTTTACTGCACTGCGCTAACTTCACAGTCGCCATAAACTTTGATTGAGACAGACATTCAGTAGCAACCTACAGAGCCCAAAAGGTCTTAATCAAAGTTTATGGTTATTTTTATAAATATAAAATAGGCCCAACGGCTATTTTCTGTGTATTAGAGTGGTTGGTTTAGAATTTAAGTTCACCATTATACACGCACAATGGGTGCCGCTGCAGTTGGGAAGGACAACATCTATCGGTAGTACATGAAGCATTAAATAATTCTTCGATATGTCATTGATCGAATATTTATATAATCTACACTCACATAACATCATAATTCATCGTCATACACTGTGTGTTATTTAAGAGATAAGAATATCTAGATAAGTAAGACAACGTTGTGCATATTTTTGACAGCGTATAATAGCAAGTGATGTCACATAAACAATAATAAACATAGATTTTATTTATACAATATATATACGGTTTCCATGTTTCCTAAGGGTCGAGATTATGTTTGCATATATCTGAAACTGTAAATATAATTAAAGATAGTCATGTGTTCGAATAAATGAATACCGTTTCTAAATCACCATGAGATAAGTGAAATATTTCAGGCAATCTGTTTCACAGCGCTATCTTATCGACACCGAACGTGACCTTCTGAGTCCGTGTCTGTGAAGTCACGTGATATACGTGCGCCGCCTCTCCCCCTTCCCCCTTTTTTTCGATGGCGGGGAGAATGAATGCGTTATATCCACGAACAATGACCAACGCGGCGTTTGTTTGCTGTTAACAAACCCTCGCGACGCAGGTAATTGCGTGGTGCATTCGGCCAGCGGCGAGCAGCTCGACCACGCGTCGGTGCCGGTATACTTTGACGTGCGCGCACGCAAGCGTGGCAGATGCCAAATCACCCCGCTTCCGACCAGCAGCCCGGCCGCACTCGCTTCAGCCGATCCTGTGGGCCATTCGCCTAACGGGATTGCTATGGCTATCCCTATTGCTTACGATTTCGTTTTGTTAATTCTGATCGCCGAAGGTTATCAAATGCCCCGCGGTCCTTTTTTTCTTTTGTATTGGCAACAACAATATTAAAGGAAGTGAGCGCAAGGTATTTGAAAACTTTCGGCGGTCAGAAATAACGCAATGAAATCGTAAGCGATAGCGATAACCATAGCTATTCCGTTAGGAGATTGTCCCCCTGGGCTTCTCCGACCGCAGTCCGAGTGGCTAGCCAGCCGACCAGCTCCAATCTACCTCCCCCCCCCCCCCCCTAGAATTAGTAAATATTTGCTCTCTGACGTCGCACCGCTTATAGAAAGGGATGTTTGGGTAAAGATCATCATCGCAAACTTCGATATAGCATCTCGGCTAAGGACAGAAGATTGTTCATTTTGAAGTGTGCCATTGTGGAGCATCCATGTCGGTCGGTAAATAGGTCCCCTGTGATCGTGGGTCCGCGCCTAGTGGGGGGAGGGGGGATAGATCGGAGAGACGTTTTGCCTAATGAACATAATTGTAGTTGTTTGAATAGTATGTGGATAATTCACACGTAAAAGCCACCACGGGTCTACTACAAAAGGTATAAACGAATATCGTCCGAATTTGAATTATGAATATTCTTTATTGCAATAACACAGTTTTTCAGAAAAATTAAAAACACAAATGTTAAAGCAAAAGGCGGCCGCATACGCTGGTATAATCTCCATAACAAACAATATAATAAATATTTAAATTCTAAACCTTGTTCCACAGTTCCTTAGGGTCTTAAATATACGAAGAATTTCGGCCGATTTTCGATTATATTTTTTGTAGTTTGGTTATAGGATTACCACTTGCATATGATGATTTCGCCTGCTAACTTGCTTATAATTATGATCATCAGCCTATTAATGTCCCCACTACTAGGGCACAGGCCTTCCCTATGGCAGGAATAGGGAGATTGGGCCATGACCACCAATGCCTTAACGAGCCTTCGAGTAAATTTATGGTCACCCATCCAATAACCGACCACTGCTAAAGTGGCTTAACTTCAACGGTAACTATTTTCGGTTCCTAAATTATTATAAGCGACCTTTTAAATCCTCTGTCTCTTTCCAGAACATGAAGGTGTTAACGTTCAGTTTCGCCAACTCGCCCATAGGTAACGGCAGGAAAGTGGCCATGGCGTTAATGCACCACGCCTTCCCGAAAAGGCACGACTTACTGTTCGCTTACGAATACAAGGAACCGTACTACCCAACATTGCCGCCTGAAATGAACATGTTCCAAAGACCTGGGGACTGGAAGAGAGAGTTGGAGCGGTGCGAATGCCCACATTGGAGGATAACTTGCATCAATGGAACATCAGATGCTTTTATGCTTACTGCGGGGGAAACCTTGATAGTACCCAGTTCTGTGCTGGATTATAATCTTATGGGGAGCGCGAGACATTTCCGGTCGGGTAGAGTGCCCATTTGGGTGTGGGGAAGGCCCGAAGGAGCAGCTTTGTTGAGGAGTGGGGAGTTGCTGCAAACTGACCAATCGGCGACCACGGAGAGTGTTCTTTTAGAGCAGGTGAGTTTCGACCTTTATTAATATTATAGAATCTTTATTTATGACGATTTATTTCCAATCTGTAATCATCTTTATGGATTGCACAATTGGAACTGTTTTCCCCCCTTTTGGCAAAAACTTGCATTTTGTCATCGTTTCTATTAGTTTCATCTTCAATTCTATTTCCATTTCAAAAACGGCGATTTTTTAGAAATTGAAGTCCTAGAAACTTAATTAGAAGACATTTAAAACTACGTTCCTAAACAATGCTAACACTAACAACAGCTTCAATGAATAATAATTATTGTTTTACCACTCTACTTAAATCGCAGATAGACGTAATGCCAGCAATTTGCCATAATTTCTCAATACAATGTACCACAATTAATGAAACATCGTATTGTCCTCATAGGTCCGTCGCTCGCACCCTAAACTTACCCCGCCGCACGTGGTATACTTATGCGGGAACCCGCTCAACACGGAACGTGTCAACGCGCTGCCACCACTGTCCACACTGACCGCTGCGCACAAGAAGATGGTTGACTTATGTACCCCCACCACGCTTGCCGACTTTTGGGTAAGTGTTGACTGTAAACTAAGGCCGTATACAGAAAGAAAGCTGGATGCCGACCAGCGCTTGTCAGCAAGCGCTGGTCCTTACTGGTAACAGTTACATAAAGGAAGCAGATTGAAGCGTAGTTGTTCATTAATACCAAAGGGCGGTGCCAGCGCTGACCAGCGCCTGTCGAAGATTGTCGGCGACGTTCGGCGCTCATCGGCGCTGGTCCATAGAAATGCCTGCGCCGGTTACTTATATCCGAACACTTAATAGCAGGCATGTGTGTAGAGACAACCCGATATTGCCCCGACCGCTGTGCGCCCTAGATAGGCCCTGCGGCAGCCCGCTTAAACAGGGGTGACAACGGCTAACTAGGGCCGAGGTTCGAGTCTCAGAGACGCCCTCTTGTTGAGCCGACCCCCTTAGGTTTAAGTGGTCTAGAGGCTCCACACGGAAGGAGACTCTCCCCGCGGAGATATGCTATCCGCCTGGAATATCTCTAGAAGCACTCGCTAATTCTCGGCTTGAGGTCCCCTTAGGATCTCGCCGTCCCCAAACTCTGGTGACGCTGTAAAGGTCATCTGCGACCAACTACATACATACTAAAAAAAAAAGGGTACCAATGAGGGATTTAAAGAATATTATTACACTTTGTGGGAATTCCATTGTTTTTTTTTATATATATTTATTTTTATGGGTGTTATTTAAAGGGTAAGCAAAATTATCGTTCCAATTATTTTTTTTTGCTTACAAAAGAAAAAAAAAATTGGTCACCCGAAATAGCTAGTTGAGCAGCAACTTATGATCAGCAAATATTTCTCAATATCATTCTGAACAGCAGTTACATTATTTGTGTAGCCGAAAATATTTAAAATCTGCAATGAGTGATCCACATTTTTAATCAAAACCACTTCCGACATAAGCTGCTGAATTCCATCTCAACCTCTTTAATATGAATTTTAATTTACTAATCAAATTTTAATGTTACTCTAATTTCAGTGTTTTTTTTTTAAGTGTAATGTAGTGAAAAGACTGTCATTTTTATATTGAATGCTGTGTACACTCGTAAGTGGCAAGTATTTAATAATTGTGTTTATGTTATTAATAATTCTGTAATGTATGATATTTATTGCAGTATGTGTACCTAATAAAAAAAACGATGGGTTGCACTCCGAGAGTGCCGGCAGAAGTGAAAACTTAAATATTAACGTTGTGCATTTTTGATATTTTGGAATGGTTAGGGAATAATTTTACACGAATTACTTTAATTATCATTATATAACTACTATCATGTATGTGGTAGAATACAATATTCATTTATTGCGCCATCGTACACAAACATGACAATTTATATCATCACATATATCACATCTTTTGTAAAGAAATCAACTTACATGAAAAAAAATGCATTTTCTTCGCAATAAAGCTGCCACGTGGACGTCCTAAATAGAGACTTATTATTATAATACGGTAAAATAAGATATTACTATGTTTCGTCCAATATATTGAAAGCAACAACCTTTCCAATTTTATTGTGTGTCATGTTGCGATCAGCCCACGTGTTTAACCTGACGCGAGTTTAACATTTTTTACCCATACAAAAAAAAAGTGTATAACGCCGCCAAAGAAGTTTTCACTTCAAAAATAAATATTTATTTGTGATTGTTGTTGGTATAGAAACAAGACTCGGATTACTACGGCACTTTAGAGGCGAGCCGCTGGCTGCGCTACGTGGCGTGGTGTTTGGCAGCTGCTTCCGACGCTGCCACCAGGCTGCACAACAACGTCACAGTCGTGCTGCAGGAGGGTATGTCATCATCACCATCAGCCTATTAATGTCCCTACTGCTGGGGCACAGGCCTTCCCTATGGATGGAATAGGAATATTGGGCCATGACCCACCACGCGGGCCCAATGCAGATTGGCGGGTGCTAACGACAGCAGATGCAGCCGGGACCAACGGCTTAACGTGCCTTCCGAAGCACGGAGGAGCTCGAGACAGTAAATTTTTGGTCACCCATCCAATGACCGACCACTGCGAAAGTTACTTAACTTCAACGATCGCAGCCGAACGCGCTAACCACTTGCGCTATCGAGCTCCTCGAGGAGGGTAAATCACTTACTTAGATTAAAACGAAAAGTTAAGATACGGCACTCGCGGCTCAAAAGTGATGTAATTATTGAACACTAGCGGCCGCCCGCGACTTCGTCTTCGTACGCGTGGAGTTAGTTAGAAACAGGTTCCAAGTAGGTGATAGCATGATAATATGTAGCCTATATGTTGACCCGACTTCTTAATAATATTCGTGCCTAATTTGAAGTAAATCCATGCAGTTATTTTTGAGTTTATCCCGGACACACAAACAGACAAAAATTCTAAAAACTATATTTTTGGCTTCGGTATCGACTGTAAATCGCACCCCAACTATTCTTTTAAAAAATATTTAATGTACAGTTTTGACTATCCTACCATTTTATTATATGTATTAATATTCAAGAGAGATCTATTCGTAAAATTCAATCAAATTTAAACATTTTTTTTTATTTGTTTACTTTGAATGATTTTGTTGAAATTTGGTTGGACTTAAATTGAATTAATCTATAACAGTTTTGCCGTAAAATTTATAAATATAATTTTAAGCTCAAGTTTGTTGCAAACCCCAACGGGGCATGTACCACTCACTATTAACTAGGTAAGACTTTATAATAAATAATGTACATTTGCAATGTGAAATAAATAAATACAACCGTTTTCCAACAGTCACATTATACGCTACTAAATAATGAATAACCACTACAACAACAAGAATCACGATAGAGATCAAATAAAATTTATAAATACTTACTTTTTAAATATTTTTATTTTATAGATCCCTTCTTTATCATGCATACTTCAACTTCCTCTTCGTTAAGCTGTCCTTTACCGCGAAGGTTGTCTGGAAGAGATCGCATATAGCGATAGGGCCACATTTGCCCACATTATTGTTTTATTGTTTTTTTTTCTGTATTAATTTTCATCTGTGACGATGTGAGCAGTAAAGAAATTTATCTATCTATCAAAGCATTTTTTTTGTATTTTTAACCAGGGGATGGCGTAGACTACTGCGCTGTAGTATCATCTCTCACACAACTGATGCTGGATCCTTACTTCCGGACCATCTCCGGCTTCCAGTCGCTCGTACAGAAGGAATGGGTCGCACTGGGGCATCCCTTCTGTGACAGGTGACTATTTGGTCAACACTTGTCTGTTGCTTACTTACTTAAAAAAAACGAGTGAGCCTTACAGTAATCGCGTATGATGTGTAACATTTGAAACCTCACCTTATATTAGTAAAAAAAGAAATATAACCTACTACAAAAAGAATAAGCCATTTGAACATTATATTCTAAAATCAAATCAAATAGCGCGCGACTCCCAAACTTCCTGTTACACACTTCCGTCCCATTTCACGAAATCACTCCCACAAATTGCAGGAAAGCGAGAGGAAAGATGTTACACATCAAAAAACATTATGTTTTATTCAGTCTAGGCTGTTACAAATACCGAGTCGTCCAATAGAAAAATGACTTCAATATGAGACAACTCATGAAGTCACTTTCCATTACAAATGTGAATGATATAAAAAATATGACTATAAAATTGAAAAATATAAAAAACTGATTTAACAATGTGTAGGAATGCCGAGTCCCACTGTCTTACTTGAAAGATGATGTAGTGATAACAATTCAGTTAGTGATAAGGATGTTCAGGTGGTTTATTTATTTCTTATACCACTATTGCTTATGTAATTAAGGTACATTTTATGGGATAATATTAGGGTATTTGACAGTATGAAATATAATGTACTAATAGGGTTTTTTGACAACTTATAGAAAACGATCTAACTTTATTTATAATATTTTCGAAGTCCATGAAAAGATGGAATTCATTTCTCTGTTGCGTATTTCAATAAAAAAGCTCAATCAAAAATACCGTTTTCAAGTTGCCGCAAAAACGTTTCTCTGGACATTATGGCGTCTCACTAGTACTCACTAGTCAAACGATACAATGTAATGTCACTTTGACCGGAAGTTTACTAGTGTGTGATGTCATTTTAGTCTTCACCAATCCCAGGCCTTTTCGTTCACGTGACCATAGAACAAAGAAATCTAAATAGAATTTAATGATTTTTTAGAAAAGTTAATAATTATTTATTCGCTCAGAAAAGTAAAATCGCTGCTGATATTCATATTAAATGCCAGATGCAATTGGTACTTTATTTTTCATACTGTCAAATAATCTATTGTTGGCATTTTTATTCAATATGAAAAGCAAATGCAAATGTTAGTATGCCGAATACTAGCATTTGTACCCTAGTTTATATATATTTGTATATAAAAAATATACTTATGTATTTAACATTATATGTGTTCTATCCGTTACCCTAGTATCCCATAACACAAGCCCTACAGTGGTGTTAATTTTGGCATGATTCTTTAAATTTAAAGCTAACATCAGTCTCTCCTTTTCATTCTGTATAGAGCATGACAAAGACACACTATTGTCAAATTTAGTGTAGGTTTAGAGAATTATGCCAGAATCAATATCAGTGCTTACTTTGGGGCTAGGCTTATTGGTGCGGGTGTGGGAAATATATATTTATACTAGCTGACCCAGCGAACGTATATATTTTTTAATACCACATTATAAAAAGATAAATATTGTCTAAAAAAAATTTTAGGGGTGTGTAACGTAGTGTTCTATCAATTTCCTGGGATAACATTCCTCCTAACCCATATGAGAACACTACGTTACAATTCCCAAAAGTTTGAATTTTTTAGCCAAGGCGCATTGTAGGTTTCAGAACACTACGTTACAGGTGGACAACCATTATCACTTAAGGATATGGAAAATAGATCGTAGCCGATTCTCAGACTCACGGAATATGCATATAAAATTTCATAAAAATTGGTCAGACCGTTTCGGAGGAGTATGGTAACTAACACTGTGACACGAATATTTTATATATAAGATTTTAATTGTATTCAGGTTAGGTCTTCCCCGTCCAGGTAGTCCCAAAGAAGGAAAAGAGTCAACCACAGCTCAAGTCGGACCCGTATTCCTATTATTCCTGGACTGCGTGTGGCAATTGACGGAACGACATCCGGCTGCGTTCCAATTCACGGACATTTACCTAACGACATTATGGGACGCGGCGCACAATCACCTGTTCGATACGTTCCTATTCAACTGCCCGAGAGATAGAGAACTAGCCGTTGCCAAGGTGAGGAAAATGTAAAAAATGTTTACTAGAAAAAAAAAGGACCGAGTCCTTTTTTTCCAGGCAGGACTCGAAGCGGCGTCTTCTTCAGTTCGGGTAGATGCACTAACCGCATTGCTACCTGATGATAAATGCTTATATTTCACATAGAAAACTTACTGTGCCCCGCGGTGTAACCCGCGGTTTATTAGGGATATTTGCCCATGTGTTAATCCAAGATGTCAGCTTACTCCATACCAAATTTTATTAAAATCCCTCCAGCCGTTTGGACGTGAAGAAGTAAGGGTTTATTTATACTAGCGCAGAGTCGAAGCGCATCGAAGCGTAAATCCAATTATTAACATTACGAATTCAACCTTATCTCCACAGCGGACTGTAAACATAACTTCGGAGATTTAAAAAGACGCGCGCTGATTCGACGGAATTCGCGCGTGACCAACGCTGATTGGTGCGCGCGCATTCTCACGAATCCGCGCGCTCACTAACCAACGTACGCGTCATCAGTCGGAAATTAGCCTGTGTTGATAGATCAACTGTCAAGTGATGCAATAACACTGCTGCTGATAATAAGCTTATTCACGAGAATACGCGCGTTTTCTTGCGCATTCGTGCAACTTCGCTTTAGTTGTGAAGAATTTTACGCTTCGATGCGCTTCGACTCTACGCTAGTTTAAATTGTCCCAAACAAACATACACACTCACACACAAACTTTCGCCTTTATAATATTTATGTGATGGACGGTAAGCTCGATAAAATGTTTGTGGCAACTGACTGAAAGCCATCCGGCCGCGTTCCAATTCACGGACATTTACCTCGTGACATTGTGGGACAGAGGTGAAGATTCATCATCATTAACCTTTTAATATCGCCACTGCTGGGCCACAGGTCTTCCCTATGGATCGAATAAGGAGATTGGGCCATGACCAACCACGCGGGCCCAGTGTGGATTTGTGGGTGCTAACGACTGCAGATGCAGCCGGGACCAACCGCTTAACATGCCTTCCGATGCACGGAGAAGCACGAGATATTAAGTTTTTGTCCTTGCATGCAATAACCGGCCATTTCAAAAGTTACTTAACTTTCTTCGAGCTCCTCAGTTAAGATTAATGCTTATATTTAAAGTTAAAAAACATTTCATTGACCGTAAATTTGCTAACATGCGTGTGGCAAATACGTTCCAATTCACGGATATACAATACCACACCAATTCATCCGACCCGGCCAAATTCTAAAAGTCTAAAATGAATCCGCTAATTTGTCAATCATTAAGAGAATTGAATGTATCATCTTTTTTGTTTTTGGCTAGTAAAATTGATGTTTTTCGCAGATATACACAAAACACGAGTAAAAAATTATAATTTATTTAGTCATACTTTGTGAATTATTAGGTATATAAACACTCTTGATTATTTACTCTATAGATAGAGTGTGGCAGCGCAGATGCGTTGAAAAAAATAACTCCCACCTGGCGGAGTCTAAGTCGTTTCCGGTCACTTAGTGTTCAATGCAACGCTGAGCGATACACACCTCAATTACCGAGCTTCGTGTCGAATATTATTGCTCAAAAATGCCACAGAGTTGCGCGATAAGAATTTGCCGAAGTGATGAAGGACGCATAATATCATTAATATGTTAACGTTGTTCCCTAGAGCTTGGTTCAAAGGCCTGTCTGGGATTGGGGGGAGCAGTTTTCGGAAGAGGACAAGGCATTGTTCGAGAATCCATTGTACGCGTGCAAGAATATACGGTCGCCGTTGCAGAGGCTAAGTGAGTTTATCTTTGTCTACCTCTTAATATTTAGTCTTTTATCTCAAATGTTTTTTTCTTTACTTCATGTGTCACAACTTTTTCTATTTCTTATTGGCTCGTTCAATTGTTTAAACACATTTATAAAGCTGTTACGACTTCTGATGTTAATATATTTATTTTTGTAAATTGCGTAAATCTTTATTATAAACAAATAAATAACTTTGGATGCTTTTAGAATTATGTTATTTTAAATATTATTTTACTATGTTTGGTTCATTGTATGTGCTACTCACACCACTGGAGTCCGCATCACAAAATTTTTGTTTGGAATCGACATCGCTTTGGCGGCTTGCGGGGCATATAGAACACAATTTGTTCGGGGTCAGATATCACCAGCTCGCCCCCATTACACTTCCACCTATAAAATAAAAACCAATCAAACGACCGCGACATCAAACAATCGAACCAATCAGCGCTCACACCATAGAGCAACGACGCAATCACTACCAAGTTTTGGTCAAGTTATGAGCATTTGCATACACACCCACAAGGCCATTCGAACCGCTTTCTGTGAACTGTGTGCGGGGTTTAATTGTCCTTTAGATAGGACAAGTCCGTGTGACGTCACGGTTAAATGAAAAATTAGATGTAAATTAGTATCTCGTTGTTTGTGGGCATGTCACTTGCTTATGCATACGGTCTCTAGGGGGTAGCTGCTTGATAAATTTTACTTATTATAAGATTGGGTGCACACATACGGTTTCCTGAACCGGAACTTAAATGAACGTCCTAACATCAACGATATTAAATACCCTAGATACACCACGTGCGCTCAAAATGTGCCCCAATCAAGAATGCTTGAACACGACACAAGCACTTCTTGGTTCACAGTTACGTGCGGACCGTTGAAAAGTCAACATGCCGCTGAGCTCTGTGAAAATATGCAAAAAAATACTTATAGTCTTAGATTAAAACAAAAAGGAAAGATACGGCATTCGCGGCTCAAAAGTGATCCGCTTCAATTGTGGTCCACGACCATAATTCGCTTTAGTCACAATTTGACATTCAAACACGCTGCATGTACACTCAATAAATCCTAACAATAATGCGTATATTCTGTGTTATGAAGATATAACAATGCCTTCGATGCTTTTATAAAGAACACAAATAGTTCAAAATCAAATACCCAAATAACTTTTCATTCGTAAAACTGTGAAAACATTTTTTTCTCAAAAATCACGTTTTTCGTGAATATTATTAACGTAATCGCCATTTTGTAAACAAGAAAAGGACAACAACACGCTGCGTTGAAGCGTATACTTCTGTCTCGCTCGCTCGATTGATGTTTATATACAGACGTGTGCGTGGCGAGAGTTGCTTATGTAGTTATGTCGGATCATATTTTATTTGATGCTAGTATGAGCGTACCGTATCTACCCTTTTTGTTTTAATCTAAGCTTATACTGTTGTAAAATGTCGTTTATTCGACAGGTATCTAATCAATGTTTGTTAATATAACGCATTTGAAGTAATTTTTGTTTTAATACTTACTATAAAACTGATTTAATAAAAAATATTTGTGATATTCAAATGCATGGTCGGTAATATAGCCGTCTCTTTTCCTCGCAGTCCGTACCTGCTGTATTGCTAACAGCGCAGTCAGACTTGCGCGTAGAGTCATGCGTTTTAATTAAGACCTTATACGGCTGCTTTAAAGGTGGTTTTCAGTGTTTAAATAATGCCTTATATTGTTTAAACTACGCGATCATCTTACGGAGCTCCGTGGATCGTCCAATCTACCTTTTGGATAGGTTTCGGGCATGATTTTGTTCGTGTTGGTGTATCTAGGGCAGCTATACTCTAAGTGTGTTCCGCGGAACCCTAGGGTTCCGTGATACCTCTGTCGGGGTTCCGCAAGAATTTAGAAATAAAAAAATCAAAACACCTCTCTCTGGTCGCTCCGCGGCTGTGCGGACTCCGCGGCCGCGCGGAGACAAAACGCTATGAATGTTATTTATTTATTTATTTGTATTTGTATAAGCTTGTGTTACATTAGCTGGTACAATATCTCATAAGTTTGGTCTCAACAATTTTATACTTGTACAACGCGTTCGCTCTAAGTTTGCCGGTCTGTGGAATGCGCGTACCCTCCCCCACGTGACAACAAAACTTATAATGTGTCATAGTTTTACCCAAATATCTAACGTACACAATTTTTATTGTTACAATTAAATAAAAAATTTCGAACGTCATACACTCATACCTATCGCCAGCGGCAAACTTAAAACGAGCGGGTAGGTATACTTGTAAGCGCTCAGTCTCTTTGATAAAAGCCGCCTCTGAATTAGACGCTATAGTTGTCAACTAGCGACTTTCGTCTCTAACTTCAAAGGATAAAGTCGATATTGTTTACAACGCTATTTTTAAATTTCTGTTTTTATTTTTGCTTTTTGTTTATCAAAGGTGCCGACTCGAGTATTTTCGAGAATATTTGAGATCGAGTCTAGGACTAAGTATAAAAGCGGCGATCGCGCGTTGGCGTCGTCAGTTGATGATTAGCGTTCGGAGCGATAAGTTACTACCTACTTACAAGCTCGCTAGCGAGAAACTGGTGTTCATTGTTTTACTGCCTGCTGTATTCTGTTGTCTCAGTTTTATACATTTCTTCCCTGTAGGTTCTAAATTTAGTCTCTTATACGCAGTAACGATTGTGCATTATTTAAACCCCACTATCCTGACTTGTAACATTATAAATAAAGAAGAATGGAACGTTGGCTTAAAGGTGTTAAACGTGTTCCAACAACATCTTCTAATGACGCTGAATGTTCAAAAGCAATGCGCGCGGAGAATTTAGCAATCACCGATCCAGAAGATGATGCCACGAGTGCCACGACGTCAAGCTCGACGGTTTCAAAGACGAAAAAAAGGAAGTATGATGAATCTTATATCAGTTTCGGATTTGTTGATTCCAACGGCTCACCTCTCTGCATGCTCTGTAGTAAACTGCTTCCTAATAGTTCCATGGCACCTGCCAAATTGCGTCGACATTTAGAAACCGTACACCCCGAGACTAAAGACAAGAATAAAGAATTTTTTGTTCGCAAAAAAGATCAGTTATTAGAAAGTCAAAAAAATATGATGCATGTAACACAAACTACCAACGAAAAGGCCACGGAGGCATCATACTTAGTTAGCTATCGCATTGCACAAGCAGGTGAAGCGCACACTATCGCTGAGAAATTAATAAAACCATGTGTATTAGACATAACAAAATGTATGCTTGATGAAAAATCTGCAAAGCATCTTTCTACTGTTCCGCTATCAAACGATACTGTTTCACGACGAATCCATGATCTGGCAAGCTACGTCAAACAAGAACTAGTTACACGTCTACAAAATACACGATTCGCTTTGCAAATGGACGAGTCGACTGATGTCGCTGGTTTGGCTATCCTGCTGGTTATTGTGAGATATCCATATAAAAGTTCTTTTGAAGAAGACATGCTTATGTGTTCATCGCTGCTTACAAACACTACCGGGGAAGAAATTTTTAATAAAATAAATATATTTTTTGAAGAACATAATCTCAGTTGGAACAATTGCATTGACATTTGTACAGATGGGGCCAAGGCGATGACAGGTAAAACAGCAGGAGCAGTGTCACGAATGAAAAATAAAGCGCCTAATTGTAGTTCCAGTCATTGTATTCTGCATAGACAAGCACTTGCGATGAAGCAAATGCCGTCTAATCTAAAATTAGTTATGGATGAAGCGGTAAAAATAATTAATTTTATCAAATCACGACCACTACAATCCCGATTGTTCTCATTATTGTGTGAAGATTATGGCAGCAAACATAAAACACTGCTGCTCCATACAGAAGTGCGATGGCTGTCTCGGGGAAAAACTTTAACAAGGCTATTTGAACTTAGAGCCGAGTTACAAATGTTTCTTTCAGCAGATACTTCTTTTAATTTGAAGGACCGTTTGTATGATAAAACTTGGTTGTTCCGATTGTCTTTTATGGCGGATATCTTTCAAAAACTTAACGAATTAAATTTATCATTGCAAGGTAAACAGACAACAGTGTTTCAGGCCTATAATAAAATAACTACTTTTAAAAGAAAATTAGATTTTTGGATCATTTGCATTGGTAAGAAAGAAATAGAAAGTTTTACGTTACTCACTGAGTTTGTTAGCGAAAACGACTCAGAAATGTTTGAAGATAATGTGTTTGAAGAATTGGTCCAATATCTCAGTTCGATGCGCGCATCTTTTGAAAAGTATTTTCCCGAAGAACACAATACAAAAATTAAAGTGAACTCCTGGATTCATAATCCTTTTTTACCCAACTTGGAAAAGCCTGAAAACATGTCAAATGAGATATATGAATCTCTTTTAGAAATGTCATCAGACACAAGTATGGAGTCATTGTTCAAAACGACGCCTCTTAATGATTTTTGGTGCAGAATCCAAGATGAATATGCAATGCTTGGCCAAATGGCTCTGGATATTCTTCTCCCGTTCCCAACTACATATTTGTGCGAAACAGGATTCTCTACCTACGCAGCCACGAAAACAAAATATCGCAATAGACTGGACGCCGAAGCTGATATGAGACTCCAACTTTCTTCCATCAAACCTGATATCAAGCAATTGATGAAAAATAAAAAACAGTTTCATACCTCCCACTAGTTAGATTTTTTCTTTTTTAATGTTTTCTATTATTGTCCTTACCAAGTGGTGAAGTAAATAATAATTAGTAACGGATACATTGTACTTTTATTATGCTGATTAATATAGAATACACTTATAAAAATAATTGTTTTATTGTAGGGTTCCATCAAGTATTTTGCTTCCCAAAAGGGTTCCGTCATTTAAAAAGTTTGAGAACCACTGATCTAGGGTATTAAATATCGTTGACTTACATGCATAAAGTTTAACGAGGCGCGCACTATTCCTGTTTTTTCATAATGGGAAAATCTAATGTTCGGTGTAGACTACCTAATAAAAATCTTCAGAGCTAGGCTCACGGAATTCCGAATCTGAGTTCCTGATCAGGAATCCGTACATGTGCACCCAGTCTGAAGTGATTTATGGACATTGTTTGCATTGATACTGTATGCCACAGCCACAGCAATCAAAATGTGAGTGGACGTTGTATTAGTAGCGACATAATATTTTGTAAATGTTGCTACTTCTGTCAAATGCTGATGAGTTTCTTGCGCCCATTCTTCTTGTCAGCTAAAAGGTGTCCTAAATGGTGGCAGACGGGACTCGAAAACTGGGTTACCTACAATGTGAAGAGATGGCGCTGCCTTGCAGCCTAAGAAATAATAGAGAAACTTCGACACGGCCATCAAGACCGCGGCAGCATAATGGTCAGTGCCGGATGCAGGATAGCGGAGGTTGCGGGTTCGAGTCCCGTATGCAGCCTGGTCCGCGCGGCATTTTTGAAGTGAAACTTCTTTTCGGACGGGGTGTAAATGGAAATGCTTCACGAGCGTCACACGAATAGTGGCGTAATGTTCGTGACTCATTTCCGTTTCCTACACACACATACGCACATATATGCGTGCGCAGATTTTCCCGACGAGCATGAAAGATGGAGGGTAATTCGGCGAAGGTTGGAACGCTACGAGCGTCACACGCGACAATATACAGTGGTGGTCTCATAATTAAAAACACTCCCTTATTGACCACAAAAAACTTACTTATGGTACTAAAATCAGCTAAAATTGGTATTTAATCTAGTGTAATAGTTATTAAACTATGCATGACGTTGTATTCTTACAATGTGGGACAAAAAATAGTTGTGTTCCTTAATAGTTTAGACACTGCTCGCTATGGGAACGTAACACAAACTTTTTTAACGTAATTGTAGCTAGATAGCTAATTAAAGACAGTAAAAGCTGTTTTCTGAATTTAAAAAAATAAAGAAAAAACTGCATTCTGTTTGTCTTTGTTTTGCCGTGTAGAAAACCGAGACCAAGATAAACTACTCTGCGGGAAGACTTTAAGATGGTGTTGTTGGCAAAAAAATTATCCGTTCAAGGGATCAGAACTGATACGTTCGGAGTTGTTTGGTGCAGGAGGGCCGAAGGATGTGTCTGCAAGAACAATTAGACGGAGATTATGTGAGGCAAACTTGTACGGAAGAGTATCTCGGAAGGTGCCACTTTTGAAAAAGCAAAATATTAGGCAAGATTAGCATTTGCTAAAAAATATGTACAATAGACTGAACGAGAGTGGAAACCTGTGCTTTTCTCTGATGAAACAAAAATTAATATGATTAATTCTAACGGAAAACAATATGTTAGACGCCCCCCGAACAAAAAAATGGATCCAAAGTATACCAAGAAAGTAGTTAAACATGGGGGCGGAAATATCAAAGTTTGGGGCTGTTTTTCAGAACTTGGTGTTGGACCTGTCAGGAAAATAGAAGGCAACATGGATAAATTTAGTACAAGAATATTTTAGAACAAGCCATGCTGCCCTATGCCGAGCGAAATTTACCGGTCATTTGGACTTTCCAACAGGATAATGATCCGAAACACACTGCAAAAGTAATAAAAGACTTTAAGGAACCAGTCTGTGACAGTTTTGGATTGGCCCCCGTACAGTCCTGATTTAAACCCAATAGAAAATTTTTGGTACGATGTGAAGAAGACAGTAGCGACAAAACGGACATCAAACATCGATCAACTTTACACAGCTTTTAGAGAAGCTTGGAAGCAAATTCCTGTGGAAGCTTGTAAAAAATTGATCGCTTCCATGCCCAAGAGATGTCGTGCTGTCATTTCTGCCAAAGGACATGCGACCAAATATTGATACGTACCGGAAAGTTTTATAAATGTGTTAAGAGTATTGTGAAATAATGATAATTTCAATAATAACAATATTTTTTTCTCTTGCTTCTAAGCAAATAGAGTGTCTTTAATTAGTTTGGCCAGCTTTAAATACGTCAAAAAGTTTGCGTTACGTTCCCATAGTGAGCAGTGTCTAAACTACTAACGAACACAACTATTTTTTGTCCCACATTGTAAGAATACAACGTCGTGTATGGTTTAATAACAATTACACTAGATTAAATACCAATTTTAGCTATTTTTAGTACCAAAAGTCAGTTTTTTGTGGTAAATTAGGGAGTGTCTTTAATTATGTGACCACCACTGTATTTATGAGTGATGCGTGCGCTCCATTCCCCTATGCCTTATGCACCGCTCAATGTTAAGTTTTTTAAGGAAAGAAGTTTTACTTCAGATTCGTGGTCCGTGCACACAAATTTTGTTTTCCTTGTAAAATTTTGATTTAAACATGTAGCAGTTGAATTCTTAAAAAATGTTAGTATCATGAATCGGCAGGTCAACAACCTCCTCCCGCTCCCCGCATGGACCTGCTGGAGTCGCAGTGGTCGGTAGGCGCGGTGGAGGTGTGGTCGGCGTGCTACGAGCGCTGGCTGGCCCCCCTCGACGTGGGCCACGCGGGCCGCGTGCAGTACCACGTGCACAACGTGTACACGCACCGGGACGTACGTATCATCAATCGGCAGGTCAACAACCTCCTCCCGCTCTCCGCATGGACCTGCTGGAGTCGCAGTGGTCGGTAGGCGCGGTGGAGGTGTGGTCGGCGTGCTACGAGCGCTGGCTGGCCCCCCTCGACGTGGGCCACGCGGGCCGCGTGCAGTACCACGTGCACAACGTGTACACGCACCGGGACGTACGTATCATCAATCGGCAGGTCAACAACCTCCTCCCGCTCTCCGCATGGACCTGCTGGAGTCGCAGTGGTCGGTAGGCGCGGTGGAGGTGTGGTCGGCGTGCTACGAGCGCTGGCTGGCCCCCCTCGACGTGGGCCACGCGGGCCGCGTGCAGTACCACGTGCACAACGTGTACACGCACCGGGACGTACGTATCATCAATCGGCAGGTCAACAACCTCCTCCCGCTCTCCGCATGGACCTGCTGGAGTCGCAGTGGTCGGTAGGCGCGGTGGAGGTGTGGTCGGCGTGCTACGAGCGCTGGCTGGCCCCCCTCGACGTGGGCCACGCGGGCCGCGTGCAGTACCACGTGCACAACGTGTACACGCACCGGGACGTACGTATCATCAATCGGCAGGTCAACAACCTCCTCCCGCTCTCCGCATGGACCTGCTGGAGTCGCAGTGGTCGGTAGGCGCGGTGGAGGTGTGGTCGGCGTGCTACGAGCGCTGGCTGGCCCCCCTCGACGTGGGCCACGCGGGCCGCGTGCAGTACCACGTGCACAACGTGTACACGCACCGGGACGTACGTACCCTTTTTTTGAAGTGAAAACTTCTTTAGCGGCGTTGTACACTTTTTTTTGTATGAGTAAAAAATGTACTGTAGTGTGAGTAATAAACTCGCGTCAGGTTAAAGACGTGGGCTGATCGCATCATGACACACAATAAAATTGGAAAGGTTGTTGACTTTCAATATATTGGACCAAAACATAGTATTTCTATCTAGGACGTCCACGTGGCAGCTTTATTGCGAAGAAAATGCAATTTTTTACAATAGATGTCGCTAGGTGGGCTTAAATGTGATTCATTTAAGTTTATTTTTTACAATAGATGTCGCTAAGTGCGCTTAAAAATGATTCATGTAAGTTGATCTTTCTGAGAGATATTTTTTTTTAATGTAATATAAATTGTCATGTTTGTGTACAATAGCGCAATAAATAAATATTGTATTCTACCAGCAATTCGTGCAAAATAATTTCCTAACCATTCCAAAATATCAAAAATGCACAACGTTAATATTCAAGTTTTCACTTCTGCCGGCACTCCCGGAGTGCAACCCGTCTCTTTTTTTAATTATTTTACGTCATCATCATCAGCCTATTAATGTCCCTACTGCTGGGGCACAGGCCTTCCCTATGGCTGGAATAGGGAGATTGGGCCGTGACCCACCACGCGGAATAGTGCAGATTGGTGGGTGCTAACAACTGCTGATGCAGCCGGGACCAACAGCTTAACTTGCCTTCCGAAGCACGGAATAATGAGAGACAATAAAACTGAGTAAGTTGCAATCTCTACGATCGCAGACCGAACGCAACCAAAGCGCCATCGAGTTCCTTCTATTACTACTATCTGTAATAATTATTGGAACAAAAGATAGGAACATTTTAATTTTAAAGAGTTTTCAGAAATAGCATGCGCTAAGATGACAATTGCGCACTTTTGTAAAGCGCTTACTTATGTTTTCATTGTCTTTATACGAAAACTTAATGTAACGTTAAACTCACTAATGGATTCACTTCAAAAGTTCTATATAAAAGACCTCATGCCACATTACAAAAAGTAGTGACAAATCTCACTATTTTGTTAACTGACTTCAAAAAAAGGATGTTCTCCGCGCGATGTCATATAGCCAGCTTTAGCGCCAGGGGGGGGTCATATAGTCGTGGTATATTAAATATTGAAAGTACTTCAATAAAATCCCCCTGGGTTTGGTCCATCTGTACCCAGCCCAGGGGGGGGTCATGACCCCCATGACCCCCCCCCCCCTGGATCCGCCCTTGGTGGTGTATAAAGTTTATTATCTCAAAGTTATCTTCAGCAACCATGACTCGGGAACACAAATTTGCGCTCATCACACAAAGAAATGAGAGGCAAAGACCTTTAGTGCAAAAGGATGAGTCTACAAAGAAAACGACTTATGTTACGCGCAATGTGTGCGTGGCTAATGTCAAGTTATTAAAAATCAGTCAATGTGTGCGTGTGATGCGACGAGCGTATTTACCATATCGTCTGCTTAACATATAATTTTGCTATCTCCACTATATTCAAGGATTTGCCAAATTTACGTAAACGATGTGTTCACATTAAAGGAAACAAACGCCATTGTTAGATATTTTTTGACCATTAGTGGAGTTAGCAAAATTTCTTGTCAAGCAGACAATATGTAGAATTTATTTTTGTGTATATAATCAAAGAATGAGTCTCCTAATTACATATCTCATCATTCAAATTGACCACGCAGATAAAACGGCTAAACGAGAAGTTGAACTCCCTCTCGATACTGAGTTCGCCGCGGTCGAACGGCGAGGAGGCGACAGAGAGGGCGCGGCCCCCAGTGGTGTCGCGCTTCTTCCCGTTCGGCACCGGCGGAGTGATGTCGTCCGCGTTGCAAGCGCCCAACCTACAACCCCTTGACCCTGAGCAACTGCTCGACTCGCAGTCTCTACTCAACGCGCCCGACTAACGTGAGTGATTTCAATTTCACACTAATTACAGTTATAAATCAACGATATTAAATGCCCTAGATACACCACGTGTGCTCAAAATGTGTCCCATTCATCCAATCAAGAAGTGCTTGAACACCACTTCTTGGTTCACAGTCACGCGCGGACCCTTGAAAAGTCAAGATGTGATATTCAAATGTATGGTCGGTAATATAGCCGTCTCCTTTCCTCGCGGTCCGTAACTGCTATTTTGCTAACAGCGCAATTAGAATTGCGCGTAAAGTCAATGATATAAGGTCTATATTCTTCCGCATATACCAATAAGTCCTAAAATTTTACGAGCTTGCATTTCCAACTGTCGTATCTCTTTGACGCGAGTGTTTTAATTTAGACCTTATACAGTATGCATTAAAGGTGATTTTCAATGTTTAAAAAATGCCTTATATTGTTTTTGACTGCGCGATCATTTCACGGAGCTCCGTGGATCATTCAATGAACCTTTTGGACAGGTTTCAGCCACAAATTTGTTCGTGTTGCTGTATCTAGGGTATTTAATATCGTTGTTTTAAACATAGATGTGAAAGGATTTCCAAATAATATTCTACAATTACTTCCTACAAACTTACTTCTTGTTATATTACTATAAAGAAAATATATAACATTTATTTTAAATTAAAGACACGACTTTGTTCTACAGACGAAATTTTTAATTCAAAAATATAAACAGGTCACACAATTCTATGGATAACGAAGACTTTCCAGCCATCGATGTGTGAAATAATTCTTCCAGCATAACCTTCGCTTCTTTTGACCGCCATCAGAGACTTCAAAATAAACTCAATATTTCTTTAGTCACGTGTTGACTCATTCTACTGTCTACGCAAGTTACAACAGATAGGGTGTATTCCGAAATATACATAAGGATACTGGCCAGTGGTAATGACGTCACGAATCAGACGCCATATTGTACTGGTATGCTACCATATTTTTACCGGGAAAACGAATATGACATATGACGAAGCGTGCGTGAGATGCATTCGAATTTTGTTTCTTTTTTATTTAAAGAACAATAATGGCATCCGAACAAAAAGAATTCCTTTTAATTGATGAGGTGAATAAAAAATCTTCTTTATTCGCACTATTTTTAATATTTCGTCGATTCATGACGTCAGTGCACTGGCCAGTATATTTCGGAACAATTCACCAGTATAGCGTCGATTCATGACGTCATTAGCACTGGCCAGTATACTGGTATATATTACGGAATACACCCTTACTTAAATCAAACTGAAAAGTCAGTTGACATCTCTGGGTACGGAGGTTAGTTATTGTGTAAGGAGTTGTATTCAACTGAAACTTCCAAAGCGATATTTGAACATTTACATTTATTTTTTTGAAAGTTAACATGTGCCTAAATAATTTTAGATAGATGCTACCTACCATAACTTTGATGTAGTAGATCATGATCAACATAGTAAGTCTATCTTGATCTTGATTTATTGAGACGAATATATGAAGCTTTATCATATATTTAAATAATAAATTGACATCTCTGTCATCTTAGTTAACCATAAAACAGAGAAATGTAATCTGATAACTGAATGTAATTTACATGGTAGTGTCTCGAAAATTACTATCCAAGACAGAAAATTATTCAGAACGTATTTAGTAATAATTCTGAATGTGTCACCTGTAAATTATGTATATTCAAAGATTTTCTTTGGTGGAAGACTGTACTTATTAGAACTTTTTCCAGTGACGGACCATATTGTTTATGACCATATCGTTTATGCACGAAATATGTTCCAAATTTTTAATTATAACCAAATATCAAATAATGAATAATTCGAGGCTCTCTGTATTCAATTTAATTATGTAAAATTTGTTAAGGGGTGGCTGAAAAACAGCGTTGGTTCAGGTCCAGGCTTGACCAACATTGGCTGAGCTATTTTAATGAATTATTATTTAAATATCTGTTAGCATGTAAAATAAAAGACAATAAATCATTATTACTATTATTGAACACTTTACATTTTTATGGACACCTGTCTAAAAATATGATAAGAAAAGCAATTCAATTCAATCTTTTGTGATTATGGCTGGGTAAGAAAAGCTAAGAAACCTAAATCTGAACCTAAGCCCTTGGTCTGTTTTCCCGGACCAATATATCTGGACAGCATCAAGGCCAGAGTGAACAGGCATCTTCTAGACAGGCGTGTACCATCCTAGGCATCATCATCGCTTTCCATCAGGCGAGATTGTGGTCAAACGCATTGCCTATTATGCACTAACAAAAATTTAAGTGTCAATTCATTACCCTGACTTGCCTACATTTAATATTATCTGAAATATTGCAGATCCTTATTACACATGCTACAGACCCTTAAAAGGTTCATGGAATCTGCTTTGACAAACACTGCTTAAAAGCCGCAAAAAAAATTCTATTAATTCTGCTTTGTTTCACAATAATCATTTATTTTGTTGATGCATACATATTAAATTAATTTGTATGAAATATTCTCACTATTGGCCTATTAAAGTTAGTCATAGTACGGAACTATTTTTATTTCCAAATATTCTATTAGTATAATAGAAATGGTTGGAAAGTCCAATATATTATGCAATAAGTACAGTGTTCTACAGAAAGAGGCTATTGAATATTATTTTTGGGCATACTTATGGTTAAAATGTTTTATTACAATAGTCTGTTTACTCTATTATTTTCATTGATTTTTTTAAGTGGAATTAAAGGAACTGATGTTTTGTCATTTTAAATTATTATCATCCATATTCAGATTTATGAAAGTATTAACTTTATCAAAGAAATGTAAATATAACTGTACTCTAGTATTATGTAAATGTATGAATATAGAAGGAACGTTTTAATATAAGTTATTATTTTTTTAAAGTGTATAGTGTAAAGGAATTGATTGTTTCCATAGAACAAAGTAATTATCGTATTTTTATAAAACATGTAAAGATTATGGTGTAACCATTTTTGTTTTTAAGTAAGTTAATTCATTATTTGGAAGTAGCAATCAAAGTTGTTTTTAGTCAAAAAGATTTAGCCTTATCTTTAAAGTCATTGATGTTGAAGTAATTTAATTAGAAGTATATTGGCACTTAAAATATTAATTACTTAATATTTTTTTATTCTCTTTTGAAATGTAGATAACGGGTCACTTAATCAATTAATAATTCTATTCTGTTACCATTACCTCTAAAAAATTATTTAACACTAACACAATGCAACATGTAATTGTAGATACCAAATTTAAGTATAAGTGTTCTATGTTGTAAATATGGCAGCTGTTATTTTTATTCCAATTCAAAGTTAATTTTTTTTAAAAGTATTTTATTCTTTTTACTATTTAAATTGCTAAAAATACTTATGTAATAGATATTTAATTGCAGTCGCCGTTTAAATATTCATTTACATGCAGTATCAAGAGTGTAAGAAAATCGTATTTAAATTATTTCGACTTTGAAAACAAAAGCAATAAAAACATTGTAAGACAGGACTAGCCCTTATTAATAAACAAAGACTAAGCTTGGATTAGCTACTCTATGTTTTGTCTCTATTCATTGAATGACAAATGGTACTTGAGTGATATGAACAAAACACGGTGTAACTAGTCTAAGTTTATTCCTCGTTTATTAATAAGAGGTTAACAGTCAAATGCTTAGATTAACAAGACTCAGGTCGGTAAAAGTCGGGCACGAAAAAAATCCAGTTGTGTTTATAAATATTGAACTGACTATAGATAAACATTTAGATTTAGCTATTTGAATGTATTTATAACGATGTCTTATATACATAAGACATTCATCCTCGCCCGACCTGGGGGCCAATCGCCTAATGGGATTGTTATGGCTTTCGCTTCGCTTACGATCTCATTTTGTTATTTCTGACCGCCTAAGGCAGGGATGCTCAAACTTGAACTGCTGGCGATCTACCTCAAAATTTTTAGACTACTTACAATCGACTCTGAGAGGCTGCAAGTATGTGTGATGCATGGTTGTCGTACATACACGATACACCCCACCTACCTACCTAGGTAGGGTGTACCATAGGATATATAGGTAGGTCGATCGCGATCGACCGTTTGAGCACCCCTGGCCTAGGGTTTTCTAATACCTCACACTCATTTTCTTTAAATATTGTTATTACCAAAGCAAAAGAAAAAAAGGCGCGAGGTATTTGACAACCTTCGGCGGTCAGAAATAGCAAAGTGAAATCGTAAGCGATAGCGATAGCCATAGCAACCCCGTTAGTCAAAAGGCCCTCTGTTATATAGAACTGATGATTCAAGGAAATAGCATCAGTTTAAGCTTTCGTTTTGTTAGTCGTTGATGTAAATATTTGAACAAAATATTTAGGAATAAAATTAATTATTTTGTTAAGCATCTTAAATTAAACAAATAAATATCGTCATTTGCTTCTATTTTGTTCATCATTATTTTACTGTCGATCATGCATATCATGTTCACAATGACAATACAACGGTGTTCATAAACTTCCTGTTTAACAAAGATCGTTAGGTGTGGAAAATATCATAAAGTGGTTTGGTAATTTAGAGATTTTCCGAATATATTGAATATAGAAAGTTGGTACTGGATTGGACCCTTGTCAGATTCCATTTACACTTTTCGGCATGATTCTAATTTTATGAGGGTAGTTCACACAGGTAGTACACACATAATCGGCATATTCGGTTCGGCAGTATTTGTCAAATAAAGTCGACCCGTAGTACTTACTGCCGAACATTCATCTACATAATAATAATGTATTCTATTTTACCGACCGGCTTAGCCGATTATTTTCGTCATAAAAAAAACATTAGCACCGATTCAAGGAGCAAATGATAACTAAATAAAGATGTTACTTAATTTTTAAAAATCGATAAGACTTCGGAATGCACTACTTAAAATGTGGTCTGTATGCTGGGTGAAAGACAGTTTTGAGTCCATTATTATACCTTAACCCTTAATAGTAACTTATCTTTTTATAACCATTACACAATTCCTATGATTATGCTTAAAAACACATTGTTAAACCTATGAATGTATATACCGATACGGAATACAATTTAGCTTCTATATTCTTCACGTTACAACCAGGGGGCCATTCGCCTAACGGGATTGCTATGGAAAACGCTATCGCTTACGATTTCATTTTGTTATTTCTGGCGCTGAAGGTTTTCAAATACCTCACGCTCATTTTCTTTCATATTGTTATTACCAATGCAAAAGAAAAAAAAAGAGCACGAGGCATTTGAAAACCTCAGGTGGCTAGAAATATTAAAATAAAATCGTAAGCGATAGAGTTTTCCAAAGCAATCCCGTTAGGCGATTGCCCCCCAGCTTAATAAAAATGGCTAACTTACACAATACATTACCTGCATAATTTTTTAACAACTCCGTTAATACTATCTAAAGACGATTTTTACAATTTTTGAAGTTAACGTTATTCTACTTAAACCTATAACTCTGTTTGTGTTCAAATTTTAAATATAGTAATAATTCACATAAATGAAAAAAATGTAGGTACTTATTTTACTGCCCACGTTTCATCGCGCCTTATTTTTGTGCCAAATGAAAGCGTGTATATAAATTTATTATCGTGTATTAATAAATATTTCTTCCACCACAAATTTAGAAAACTGTACGATTATTATCTAATGTAACCAGTGTTTTATAAAATAAACCATACCATTGCTACCAACACCATTATTTGAACGGGCAATTGAAAATAGAAACAATCTTAATCAGAAGCAAGTGAGCGAAGATATAATTGACTTGTTACAATTTTAGTTTATATACGTAGATTATAATGCGTTTAGCACATTGACTTCATATAAACAATTAGTACTAATTTCTTTGTGGCACTATCCGTAAATGGAATGCTCTGCCCGCTCACGTGTTCCCTCCCTCTTACAACCTGCCCCTCTAGCATGACCACCGAAACGGGATATGATAAAGCGATATATCGGCATTAACTGTCAGACTACTATGGAGTTTGACAGTAGTCTGACAGTTAATGTCGATATATCGCTTTATTATATCCCGTTTCGGTGATCATGCTAGAGGGGCTGGGATCCTTTAAAAGAGGCGTGAAGAAGCAACATCAGGTGGGGTGGAGTTATTTGTCGGACCTATCTATAAAAAAAACTAGACAGATAAACAGAGAAATCGTGCTAGTCCAATAACAAATAAAATGTATTGTCACTTGTGCGACTATATTTGTCTCATTTCTCTATTTGATTTCCATGTGATAGAAGGGTACAGTAAGCCACGTGCAGTCAAATTAATTTTCTAGGCATCTCAAAACGATTGTTATGTCCCACCCAAATTAAACAGAGCTTGTACTAAGAAATTTGTTTGATTTATGGCACGAAATAACATCTATATATATAAAACTCAAAGGTGACTGACTGATATAGTGATCTATCAACGCACAGCCCAAACCACTGGACGGATCGGTCTGAAATTTGGCATGCTGGTAGATGTTATGACGTAGGCATCCGCTAAGATAGGATTTTGATCAATTCTACCCCCAAGGGGATAAAATAGAATAACAAAAACTGTAGTCTACGCTTCAGCTCTACACCGAAGCGAAGGGCGGGCCGCTAGTGTATGTATGTAAATACAATTGAAAGCAAAGCTAGAAGTTATTCGAACATACTAATTATTATTGGCAATTCGGAGCTTTGTCGAATAAACGATAAAAGACAATCTGTCTCGAAATTGTGACTACCTATAGTTGTTTATCTGAGGTCAATGCTTTAGCAATAAGGTTTATTATTGTATTGGTGTAATTAACAATTTTACGAACTGTTAAATTATGTATGTGATTAATATAATTAAGAATGGGAATACGCTTTCTGTGACAGATTCCTTTTGTTATATAGCCATGGTAATTTTTAGTGCCATCACAGTTGAAAATTTTACAAAGCAACGTCACAGTGTATTTTCCTACCATTCCCCAGTGTAATGTCAGACAAAATTTAATGTAAACCACGCAGTAGTCTGTTATTGAGTGTACCTGACAGCGTGAAATACCGAAATGTTCAAAAATGAAAATAAATGCGATATTATCGATATTCAGCATTTTCTTTATTCACTCGTCCCTTATAAGTAAGATCATACTCATGACACTTTACTAGGAATATCTGTCTGCTTAATGCTAGTAAAACACTCAATCAATATCAAATTATGAAGGAGATTAATAATTCACGCACTATATAGACGATGCTTAAAAATGTAATCATTACTAGCACGCGGCAGCGTTTGTTAATACTGCAGTCTCCATGGGAAACTGCGCCGGAAAGTTCGTTATCCACACGTATCGGGAGTGCCTTTGAAACCGCTACTGTGTGTTTGCAAGGTCTGCCAAGACTTAGCTCAGACTCATTACTGCGTACACAGTACCCAGAAAGGGGTTAGAAGGGTGATCGTTAACCATTTGTACGGGAACTGATGTCGCCAGCTCGTCCCCAATACACTTCCAGCTAATAGATAATAGCCAATCAAACGACGCGACATCAAACAATGGAACCAATCAGCGAGAGCAGTGCCTGATTTAGAGTTTTGACTACTGACTATTCGCTATGTGCGAAGTACATGGTGGGGGTATAGTGAAGCGATCGCAGCGCTTATCGTGGCAGAAATACGCAACAATCCGGGAAAGTAAAGTCAATTTGCACGGAGTTCGTAATAAACAAAAATTTTTTAAAATGCCTATTAATAGATGTTGTTGTGTTGTGAATTGCAAAAATAAGGGCACAAATAGTCTGTGTATATATTTCCTACATTGGACTGGAAATTAAATCAAAGAAATAAATGGATAGATGCCATAAAAAGAAATAAGTAAGCGAAATAACCTTAAATTATGATCAATTTTATTTGCGCTATATATTTTATGTGATATTCATTATTGTCTTTATTATTTTAGTGTTGATGGGTCGCCATGGTATCCCAAACCTGACGACACAATTTGTAGTGAACATTTTATGGGAAACAAAAAATCAGACGAGGAAGAAAATCCGAGTTATGCTCGTACGATATTCCCTGAAATATATCGAAAGAGGAAGGTTAATGATTCACAGGTCCTAGCTAGATATACACGCTTGACAAAACGAAGAACCACAAAAGTCTCAGATACCACATCAAGTCAAATAATAATTGAAGAAGGGAGTGAATTAAATCAAACTCAACCTTTTATGATCGATCAAGGATGTCAAGTCAATATGTTTTCTGAATCGAAATTAAGAGATACAACTTTTATTTGTATTAGATTAATTTACAGTGATCACTGTGATCCAACATCAAGAATTTTAATGACAAATAATTCAAGAAAGAAAGATAAAAGCTGTGGCACTGACAAAAAATCGTATGAGGATCAATCTACCGAAACAAAAAGTCAAGAATTTGTTGGTATTTCATCAATAACAAATGATCAAGAACTCCTAGATCCTTCTGGTGTGTCATTTAGCAATTTTGAGTTTTTATTAACAAGATTAACTATGAGAAAATGTACAGTTTCCACTAAAGACCGACTTCTGATTTTTTTGATAAAAATGAAAACTGGCTTGACATTTTCAGCATTGAGTGTGTTATTTGGTGTACAAAAAAACCACAATCTCACGTATATTTCATTCGATCTTACAAAATCTAGCTTGTTCAACTGCTAATTTAATCTTTTGGCCGAATAGAGCCACCGTACAAGCACCAATGCCCAAGTGTTTCAGTCCAGATTACATCAATACAAGAGTTATTATTGACTGTACTGAATTCCGAATTGAAATCCGACATTATTTAAATTATTATACAATATATAATAATTTTTATTTATCTTTACCTTACTATATTTACTAGAAATCAATAAAATACAAACTGATGTCATTATTTGGCATAATCCCGGAAAGTTGCGCATTGTAGGTGGCGCTACTGTCGTGCACATAGCGAATATAAGATTCACGATCTATTATGAAAAAATGTCAGTTTGTGATAACGTATGCTGTCTATACCTATTGCTGAGATCCGTAGCTGCACTGAGATTTTCTTTTTTGCTTTTTGTATTTTTCATATGAATTAAAATAATAATAATTAATATTTTTAACTACATATTAATAAAAACAGTCAATTCAAACAAAGTATGAAATCAAATATTTTAATTTATTTCTATTCTTTCATAAATTTTATTTCTCTGTACAATTATTGCCCGCTCGCTTCATGACACAGTCATACGAGTTTCGCTGTGAGCAAAGCGTCCTTTACTCTCGGTGCAAATACATATGGTATATGTTTGCTTGCCGCTTAAGGCGTTATGTGGCAAATTGTCGCAGCTTGTATCTGAACAATGGATAAAATGCGACAAAACAGTTTGTAGGCTATATTTTGCTTGTATTTGTTATTGAAAGTGAGACAAGCTCCGACAATTTGCCACATGACGCAATGTGTTTCCATGACGCCACACGATTCTTTCAAGTCTGTCGAGACTTTGTGTCGGGACTTTTCAAATTCCTAAATGGTAAGCCTAGATGTGTCGTCAGACGGCCGCAACCCCGCCCCTCTCACCTCCAGCGCTCTGACGCGTCACGAGTACACAACAGAATATAAGTCATGGCATGAAACTCTAGCGCTGACCGTTATTGCGCAGAAGTAAAAATTAAGATGTATTGGGGGGAAACGAGGTGCGCGGGTGGGCGTGCGTTGCGCCGATTGTCTCTCCAGTCGCGTACCCATGCGCAGCTATCCCCCCAGCGTTGCGTTCAGCACTAGAGTTACGCGCCGCAACATGTAAACCCGGCATAAGGTAACGAGTACTTGCAACTCCTACACAACTATTAGTAACAATTATTTAAGTCGACTTGTCTTCATCTTTTATGGGTTTGAGTGATCTCGTTCTTTTGATTCTGTCGAAGTGCGTTTTAGCGATGCGCAGTCTGTTTAGCAGCATAGTCCTCTGCCAACTCCATGTAGCCCACCGCTGTTGGGAATTTTTAAGACATGCTATTGTTTATTTTATGTAATAATAGTTTGACAACAACAAATTTTCAATTAGCAGTAACCCTAGTACAGACAGCCACGGGTCAAGCTTAACCACATCCTGTAAAATGTTCTCAATATATTAATTTATTGAAGTTATACTTCTTTAGGCGCGTTATGAAAAAATGATGAGAGTGAAATTTTTAGAAGCGCGCATCACTGTAACCCAAAAGTACCAGCATGAAGTTGGCCGCTGGCGGTTATGAAAAAATTATGTGAGTGAAATTTCGAGATGCGCGCGCATCACTGTAACACAATAGTAACACCATGAAGTTGGCCGCGGGCGCGTTATGAATGTTAGTGTCTAATAATGGTGGATTATTAACCACTAACCACCATTATTAGACATCTGTTCGAAGGTACTTTGAACGATCCACGGAGCTCCATAAGATGATCGCGTTGTCAAAAACAATGTTGGCACGCTCGTCGCCTCTGATCACTGTTTTCATATTTATAATATTTATCCACATGTTTCTAGTTTCTATATAGACACAACGTGTTTTAGTTACTTACAAGTGCTAATTACATATGGACTAATAACTTAAATTCAGTAGTGATTTTAATTGAATATTTTGAATATTTATTTAATTTTTCAAATTAAAACTGAACTTAATTGACTGTGTTAACTATCCTTTTCCAGTCCTTTTATTATTTTATTGTAATTATTAATTATTTGCATGCAATTAAAAAATATTTTTAATGATGCTAAAGAAGTATAACTTCTCACGCGCGTACATAAGTTACACACATCCATTTTTTTTCTATCAATCTATACAAAACAGTTTTGTGTAACTTGGGTGTGTCTGTCTGTACATTCGTGCTGGTTAATTATGAAAAAAATAAAAAGACATGATTAAGGACCGTATTAATCGTTTCTCAGATTTGAGAGCGATCTTTAATACGGGCCTATAACTCAAACCCCGTATTAAAAAACGAGGAATAAACTTAAGACTAGTTACGCAGGTGCTTTGTTCAAATCACTCAAATGCCATTTGAGCAGAGAAAAAAATGGACTAACTAATCCAAGCTTAAGCAAGCAAGCAATAAGGGGGAATGTGATTATAATATTGTAATTAATATTGCAATAGAATTCGAGATTTTAAATCATCCTAAGTAGAGGTATATTATTAAATGTAGGGAAAAGCGAAATTATTTGCCTAAATGTGTTTTACGTTTTGAAGAAACTATGTGCGGTTAACTGTACCTACGCATATACTGCGTTTCCACACACAATGGATTTTTGGTTTTTTGCTATGCCCTTGCGATTTTAATTTAATGATATGAGCTGTATTCGGACTCGCAAACTATTCGAATTCGATATTGTTTCGTGCTAGGGGTACTGTACCCTGTGACATTTCGGTTTGCAAACTATTCGAATTCGATAATGGTTCGTTTTAGGAGTACAGAACTATAGGTACGTAGACGAATCGTGTAATGAAATGTTTGTAATTTTGTTGTTTCCCAATGGGTTGTGCCTTGGGCATGGTTATTTTGGTCCTTCTGAGCGCATTTTGCTCGTAATCAATTTCTGGGTCAATTGTGATACTGTCTCGTTTACTAGAAAAAAATCCATTCTATCCTAGGGACAACGCTGCAATCGAACCAACAGCTTTCACTGTCCGTGCGAAATAAAAACTTAATAACATCCTACTTCCTACTAATATAATAAATTCGAAAGTTTGTATGTTTGTTACTCGATCACGCAAAAACTACTAAACGGATTGGGATGATATTTGGTACGCATATAGTTTATGACCTGGATTGAGACATAGGATACTTTTTATCCCGGAAAAATGACCGGTTCCTGTGGATTTCTGAAGAACTAAAGTAGAGGCGGACGAGGTCGTGGGCGGCCGCTAGTACTACTATATAAATACAAAGTGAATGTTTAAATAAAAATATGATTATACCTTTTTAATCATTATACTACAAGGAATAGGAAAATTAAACCTCGGAAGTAACATACCACAATAGCATTTAATCCATGCATCTCTGAATAAATTAAAATAACTAACAATTGATCATCATTATCCATCAACAAAACAGCACAATACACTACCCAACTATTCCATACAGAGGTGCAAACACACAAATTTCAACAACTCTCATTGAATTAAATGCATAACAATACACTATTCTACATAATAACTAATTTTCTACATTGGCTCTGGTTTGAGCAACAAACATCCATAATGCAAACCTCTAAAGAAATATTCAACTCTGTAATAGCACTAAAAATCTATCAAGCCTATCAACTTTATTTTGGCAAGGCGCCCTATTCTCCGGTTCAGTGCGTACTCGTTTTCGTACATTAGACTTTTGAGAAGTAGGTATTTGAAAAAAATATTGCTGTCTCCGCATTGGCAAATACCGTGCGATAGGGACAACAGTAACGTTAACACTGAAAATTGCGTACAAAAATTTCAAAATTCGATATCTGGCTCTCGACAATTTCCTCCTCGAAAACTAATATGTAAAAGAAATTTTACATATCGAATAATATGTTGATAAACTATGCCTCTATGTTTTGTTTTTCGTAAATGCTTATTAAATATAATAATAATAATGCGGCTAAATCTGTTTGTAAATGCTTTAGTGGTAATAAAAAAATTGTTTATTTTTCATTTAAATTTCAAAATCAATTCTTTAATGATAAAATCAAGAAGGAATCAGTCGACAACGTTTGAATAGATAAAGCATTGCCCGCCTCCCTTCATAAAACTGTAGGTTTTTTACTGAATGCATGTTATTTAATAAGAGCTTTCTCACAGTCGTTTCGGTACAGATTTTTTACCGACCGGATACAAAGAAAGCTCTCGGTAACAAGTGCTACCGAATCATTCGACTCGCTTTTCTCGAAACTCCCGCTAACAAAATCGTAGTAAACTAATCGATGGTCGATCGAAGTGGTTCTCGGTAACGAATCAGTACCCTTAGCACGAGCCATAATCGAATTCGAATAGTTGCATTCGATTTATTTTATATGTCAAATGTGTACAATTTTTTTTCTCGTTACGTCCGTTGTGGCACTGCTGTTCAAGATTCCATTTGAAATTTGACAATGCCATTTCGTACTTTCAATGTATTCGAATTCGATATTGGTTCGTGCTAAGGGTACTGTACCCCTAGCACGAACCAATATCGAATTCGTATCGTTTGCGAGTCCGAAATGTCATTGTCAAATATGTACTGATTTTTAGTTCTCGTTACGTAGGACTTTGTGTCGCTGCTGTTCAAGTTTCCATACAAAATTTGACATTGACATTTCGGTTTGCAAACTATTCGAATTCGATAATGGTTCGTGCTAGGGGTACTGATTCGGCACAGAAACAAAAACGAAACGAGGTCGCACTAACCCGGTGATGAAGGCGCCTAACTGACATATCACCTTATACTGCCTTTTCTAACAACTGCTGGTGCTGTTTATAAATACAATTAATAGCAGACTCACTCTCAGTTTTGATCACTTGCTTGTATGACAGCAAGTGATCAAAAACAAAAATCAATATTACTTGTGATAATTTTAGTCACTGTTAATCTTTAAATGCTGAATACCAATAAAAATTGGGTAGAAATTTTCAAATATCAGGGATAATCCTATATTTATCTAAATATCCTGATAAATTATTACATTATATTATAGGAACAGTCAGTAGTAGACTATAGTCATTTTGATTCAGTGCTAAATTGACCTTTAGGTTAGCGTTGAGTCAAACTAATAAAACAGCTAAATTTTAAGCAAATGTAAATGCAAAATAACTCAATTGTCGTTATTGTAACAATTTGTCCAAACAAGTATTTACATACTCATTTTAAAATAATTGTATTGTACAGGTAGGTTGGAGAAGCAATTTCTCTGTTTTATTTGTCAAATAAGATATAAATGTCCCCTTTTTGGCATCAATTAAACAATTGCCGATATTTGTACACTCCCATTAACGGAGGGCGGCGCGCAGCCGCTATTCTTATAATCAGTTGTCGTCTTCCTCATTCTCAAACATCTCGTTGTAGTCTCCGGAATGTTCGAAATCTTTCAAGTCCTGGACAGAATAAACGCGCATGAGATTTGTGAGAATGAACGAACAACATAACAACTTGCAATCTTCTATTTTGGTTATTGATCAAATATTAATTGTAGTGTAAAACTTCCCTGGATTTGTACTCAAACTACTAAAAAGCAATTATTGAACTATTCAAGGTTAAATAATGAAATGCATTAGTGTATCTATTGAATAATGAAACTTGCAATGCAACATCTACAATTTAAAAGTAACAAATACAAATCACCCATAACCTACCAATTGAGCAAAATAATAACCAGTTAGCAAAATTACAAAGTACTTACTAGGTTAATGTTAAAAACAACATGTGCAAATAAATAATGGAATTTCTATAAACTCACTTGAAACATCCCATTTGCAACAGCGTAACCTGTCATTGCTATAGCTGCAAAAATTGCGGCAAGTATTTTGTTTCTGGTCTGGTTAGGAAAATTTGCTGCCTCCCTATCTGATTGTGTGCCTGTTGAGTGCTTTTTGGCATTTTGTCTATTGTACTCTGGAAAAAGAGAAAGCTTGAAATATTAATTTAATAAGTCAAAAAGCCTGCAAAACACAATACATATTAAAGTGGCTTGGATGAATAATAAATATTTTTCTATTATATTGATTAGTATATTTCCAAATGTTGTATTTATTTGTAAAAAGTTGCTTCTAGTAGGAAAGGATAAAATCTTATAACTTTTAAGTTATACTTATTTTGGCATGTTAGGTAAATATTATGAATTATAAATTTTAACGTTGAATGTTTCCAAAACTTCAGTATACAGGTAATTCATAAAAAAAATCAAGCTCCGTTGTGGTATGCTTCAAATGGGATTGCTCACTTAATGCAATGAAATGTATGGTCTATTGTTTCAATCAACTTACCATCTGTAACATGTCTGAAGTTTTTCTGGTTTATTCGAGCAACAAATCGACTGAGATTAGCAATGCCTTTAAGGTAGTTAGACAGTGTTGCATTAGGAAATGGCGCCTTCACCAATGGGGCAAGATACGCAAACACAGTTGCATCAAAAGAGGACGGCCTGTTTCCAAAGAAGTATTCACTCTCTCCGAGTCTGTCTGATAGAGTTTTAAGGCACTTTTCTGCTTCGGAATATATCTGTAAAGTTACAAAATTTACAAAAACTTGGTATTAAAGTTGTAAATGGAAGGAAATAATTAGATAATTGAACAAATATTTTAAGTCACTTGACACTAGAAAAATATTTTTATATTAACATAACGATAACATAGGTACATGGTAACAATCCCGTAAATAACTTATATTACTATAATGTTAGTGACCATGAAAGTTTAAAACAATATATTGATAACATAAAAGTTATGTCTTACAGTCTTTTCAATTTCTCTGAGGTCTGTATGCTCTCCGTATAATGCATCTATCATATCCTTAGCAGCATTTTGATATCTTGATGGATAGTAAAAGTTGAAAGGAATCCTCAAAACCTTTGCATAGGTTGGTCGAGTCACTTCACCATAATTCTTTTCATCAACCCACCAAGTATATTGATAAGCTGGATACAACTTATCCTGCAAGTATTGTGTAAAAGCACTGGCCTCTGCTGCTTGCACTGTGTTTAAATGGACATCAGTACTGTAATGCTGAAATATTTATATGGATCAATTTTAATAATTCTATTCAAAACAATTAAAAATAAAAGTACCTGAGAAACTATGTTTTAACAATAAACAGTGGTCTAATTGTGAACGTTTTGCTCCCCTATAACTTATACTTTTTGTGAAAAAAAAAAGTCATTTTGATACGAGTTTTATGGGGATCATGTATATATAGGCTGTATGGACTTGTCCAAAGGCGTTTAATTTCTAATGGAAAGCTGAGCCAAATCAGGTGTATATTAAAAGTCCCCTGATTTAATCAAAATCTATAAAATACAGTATAATTTTTTAAAATTAAACCTTGACCTCTATAAAATTCTCTTCACCTATATCAATATTTTTTAATATAAGCCGACCATAATTTAAAAAATAAAAATTTAATTCATATGTTGATAAATTAGGTTCATCAGTGAAGACAATTAATCCAAATTCAGTACACTCGCCTATCAGCTATGTATGAACTTATGTCAATAGATTCTTTGTATGTTAAAGCACTTACCAAAGATTTTAAATGCTCAACAACTTCTTCAAAATTCGTGAGAACTTTACGTCCATCTCTCATGACAGGCAATTGTCCTTTTGGCGTAAAAAATGGATTGTTGGATTCACGAACTCGTACTGGGACTCCAATAAATTTCATGTAAGTCTGTGGAATTTTAAAATTTGGATTATTTATGTTTATTGCGGTTAAGCCGGTGAGAAAATACAATTTGAGGTTATGTGGAGGACTTACCAAAACTTTTAAGCATTCCAAGTCAATTGAAGCTAACCCCCATTCTCCCCGCCATATATCTAATTCTATACTTGCCATTTTAAAGTTTTATTGAATTTAGATAAACTTGTTCATTTCATAATAATAATTAGGATTACGGCATCTTCTCAAGCAGACTGTCATTTATGATTAAGTTACTCCAAAGGTACTCTGCTCTGTGACTGTCATGCTTGCTTGTCACTATCACTATGGGTGTATTCCGTAATGTATACCAGTATACTGGCCAGTGCTAATGACGTCATGAATGGACGCTATACTGGTGAATTGTTCCGAAATATATTGGCCAGTGCACTGACGTCATAAATCGTGGAAATATTGAAAAGAGTGCGAATAAAGAAGATTTTTTATTCAACTTATCAATTAAAAGAAATTCTTTTTGTTTGGATGCCGTTATTATTCTTTAAATAAAAAAGAAATAAAATTCGAATGCATGCATCTCACGCACGCTCGGTCATATGTCATATTCATTTTTCTGGTAAAATTATGGTAGCATACCAGTACAAGATGGCGTCGGATTCGTGACGTCATTGCCACTGGCCAGTATGTTTGACTGATGTATATTTCGGAATACACCCTATATATTGTCACATTTGTCATAGTCAGTGTAAATTTTTTTTTTTAATATAAATTACACGGCCTTAAGTTTTTCCATATTGGCCAGTCATTAGTGATTGATGCCAGAATCAACAACAACAACTTTTTATCCAAGATTGAACGTCGTCCAGTGCTACGTTCCAAACCTAATCTCTGGGCTACGTTCAAAACCTACGCGCAAAGTGCAACAAATGTCAATTTTGACATGTGTCATGTTTGATACATCGACATCGTCATAATATTGTGGTAAAAAGTTGCATTGGGAAACCCGATCGTAGTTTTATTTTTTAAAAACACTAAGAAAGTAACCAGTACGTTTTATTTGAAAACAGCTAAAAACCCGCTAATTTATTTAATACTAAATCAATAATTTAGAAACTGTACTCATTTTCTTACCAAAAAAAAATGTCTTTTCAATGGACATTTATTGCCGGTTACCTTTATTTTGAGATAGCAGTTGTGATAATTATGATATTACCCATCTTTAGCCCTCGTCGTTGGAATCAGTTTTTCAAATCACGATTATTTGCAATGATTCAAGAAAACGCAGCAGTATATTTCTATGGGTTACTCGCTATATTAAGTTTATTCCTTCTTGACGCCGTGCGCGAGATGAGAAAATACTCCCACGCATCTGACGGCCACGCTCATCTTAATAGTGAACTTAAGGGTAATGTGAAGTTGTTCAGGGCCCAGAGGAACTTTTACATAACTGGTTTTGCTATTTTCTTAGCATTTGTTATTAAACGCCTGATAACAATGATTATAATTCAAGATGAATTAAGTATTAAAGCTGAGAAAATAATCAAAGAAGCAGAAGCTACTGTGAAATTGGCAAAGAATACTGTTCTAGCAAACACAATACACAACAATGACAAAGATGACATAATAAAGGAATTACAAGAAACGAAAACTTTATTGGAAGAAGAAAAATTAAGATCAAATAAACTCCAAAGAGAAGTTGAAATATGGAAGCTCAAATATGAAGAATTTACTAAGAGTATTGAAGGGAAAGGCGATCAATGAATTTTTTGAGATTTTTGTATTTGTGGTGCTTTAGTATAGTAATAAATGGAGATAGATAAGCCTTGTACAGCATGTTAATTCATTGTTTCATACTTCAATAGATATACTGGTCCATTTTTATGGTGAGATTGTAGATTCTTCATATTTATGATTTCTCATGTGCCAGTAGCAACATGATACTACAGCCAGCTGGTGGCTAATTTTTCAAAACTATTTTACTAACTGCTTTTAAACCAGTTTGATAATAAGCTTGTTTAATCTTGGAGTTACCTAATAATTTGAATATCTATTGTGTTATATATAAAAACTGTTTGAGATGTATTATATAATTTTAAGTATTTATCGTTATCTTTATACTGATTGTAATTAATGATTGTCGCCTCATACTTGTATTCTCAGTTAAGATTTGGACTGTGAAAGCGATATTGCATTAAGTTAAGATTAATTTTATTTGATTAAATAATTGTCCTTAATAAAAAGGAAAAGCAGAGATTTTTTATAAATTGGATTTTATAGTTGTTCCTTAATTAGTTATCCTAAAATTTAAGTTTAAATAGTGAATTTAAAAAAATACTGACAGAGTGAAGTTTTGAAATTGTGAATAAACAACTTTCCATTGTTATATTGAAATTAATTTTGCTTTAAGCCATTCTGGTCTGTATATGTGTACTGTCCAATAGAAATAATAAATTGTTTTTGATACCAACAAGTTTGTTAACTTTTCACAGAAATGATACACGAAGAAATAGAGTATTATTTCGTGTATCATTTCTGTGAGGAAATTTTATAAAGTTTTATGGAACAGGGTCATAGAGATATAATTTAAATATACTATCTACAAAAACTATCATGGTATAAACTTCTCTATTTACAGACAGACTACTTATTAGAAACTATGAGATTATTAATACCTATTTTTGTCACCATTATACCTTAAATTTTTATTTGGCAGCTGAGTTCTGTTCCTGTGTACGTATGTATGTACCAATACCAATAAGGCTCAACTCGCACCAAAAGAGCGTCGAAGCGGAGCGCAGATTCAGTGTCATATGAATTTTAACTTTATTTTCATTACTATAATACTTATTATCGCATGAGAAACTCGAACGACTGCCGCGGCGCCGCGGGAATTCCGACGAATTCCATAAGCGCGCCTTATCTACCGAGCGGGTCGCTGCCCTTCGCCGCTCTTTCGGTGTGAGTTGACCCTAAGAGGACAAAATATGTACGTTGCACTGCACGGTATGGAACGTAGGTCAGTCACTTTGACATTTAATTTTGACAGTTGACTGACATACGAGTAGGGTTGCAACGATATATCGGAATATCGATAATATCGAGACCAAAATATCGATATTTAAAATTCACTGATATCGATATCGGAAATTACAAAATATCGATATTTCGTAGACTAAATTTGAACATAATAATATCAATTAATTTTCCTGCTATGACTATCTAAATTGAATAATATCGAAATAACTATTACTTCGAAATCGCAAGAGCTTATAGATGTATTAAAAAAATCTTGAACCCCAAGAAATATACTAACCTGGTGTGGATTCTGGCATGATTCTCTAAACTTAAAATTAAATTTGACAACAGTGTATCCTTGTCATTCTCTATACAGAATGAAAAGGAGAGACTGATGTTAAGTTTAGATAATCATGCCAGTATCGACACCAACGTATAATCGTATACCTAATGGTAACTCATGCACTTAAATAAAATCCTTGTCTCTCTTTCTAGATAATTGACAACTACTGATTAATTGAAATTTAATATCATTGTAATATAACATAAAATAAAATTAAGAATCTTATACAAATCGTAAATTTTTTAAGCTTGCCAAGTCAAGAAAGTAAAGTAAGTATAGTAATTTTGGAAGCTTTGGGCTTACCCTATTCTGAAGCCATGGGCACGCCCCTGATGTGTGGGAGACTAAGCAATTTGCGTATTTGATGTGCGCTAAAAATCGACATAGCTTGCAAAGCACGAATGTAGTGAAAACTTAGCGAAGGCATTCGCAAATGTCGTTCCACATATGCGGGTTGGCGCATTCGTGCTAACGAATGTGAGTGATCTGATCAGGATAATAATTTAAATTTTTTGGTTTCCTGTCGTGGCTGAAACACAAACCGTGCGAGCCAATAAAAAAAAACCTGCTTGGCGCGATTTCATCAAGCGTGTTTAACGAAAAAGCTGGCTCAATGCATTTTGCGAGAAACTCGCCAACAAAAATATGAATGTGTCACACTCACCCCGTATTCTAATGTCAATAAAAAGGAAAAAATATCGATATATCGATAATATCGAGTCAAAATGGTCGATATATCGGATATCGATATTTTCCTGATTTCGATATAAATATCGATATTTCAAAAACTTTGCATCCCTACATACGAGTGCGAGAGGACGTTCATGGTGTTGTTTTTATTTTTACGTGTTTTATGAAAGGCACAAAAGGCTTTTTTTATCTTTAAAATGAGGAATTTAAATTTGTGGGAAGTAGCATCCACGAAAGTAAAGAGCGACGCTAATGAAAACTTAACCATATGTTACACCCATAATGAGTCGAATTGCGATGAACTGTATACATGTTCATATAACCTCATTGTTTCAAATTTTCGTGATAATGGGGATGTAAAGTGGTCAAAAGACCTCTCTGAAATCGTAATGAATAGTAGCAAGCCCGTCAATATTACGTATCTTTCACTATTAAACACTTTGTGTGTCGGATTAGAAAATGGTGAAATAGTTACCTTGGCCGAGTCTGGTGAGGTTTGTGATCTAGCAGGTGTTTGTGAAAAGGGAATATTGGTGAGAGTACTATGTTTATTACAAATTTTGTTATGACTAAGTCTGTCTAGTTTCTTATGTCTAATTCATGTATTAAAATCAACGACTGTATTGCAGGCTATGGAATGGAGTCCTGATCAAGAACTACTTGTATTAGTTACAAAGGAATTAAACACAATTTTGATGTCTTGTACATATGATCCAATCAATGAAGTCAATCTGCTGAACCAGGAGTTTGGTGAAAAACAATTTATTACAGTTGGCTGGGGTAAAAAAGAAACACAGTTTCATGGCTCTGAAGGGAAACAAGCTGCAAGAGCTAAAACTGAGATCAGTGCGGGTGAGTATTAATCAAATTTTTATATATTTATATGCAAAATAGGCACTTAGTAAAACTCTAGTAGTTTTTGTGTTATTTGAATAAAAATGTTTAGAATGCAAATCGTTACTAGGCACAGATGAATAAATTGCATGTCTTAAAATGTGGCACATATTGAATCTAGATGAAAGGCAAAGAAATATAGTGATTATTATTCAGATTGCAAGGATTCTCCATGGAGAATTAGCCATCCAAGTACTGAGCTCTGGAAAACATCTGTTCATGGCTTTTAGTTGTATAGTTTACTAGTTGCTAGCAGATATAAAGGTGAAAATAAAATGTCTTGTGGAATATGTTCCCACTCTTTAGCTCCCTGATCTGTAAGTTCCTAGTTTTTTTCTTCTATCTCTGCCTGCATACCTGATTCTGACATGATTCTCTCAACCTAAATTTTGCGACAACAATGTATCCTTGTCATTATCTATACAGAATGAAAGATACTATTGTTAAATTTATTTTAAGTCTAGGGAAACATGCCAGAATCAACACCAGTGATGACATAAAGAGCTCAGACATGGTCATTGTTTATGGGCCTCGTAAGAAGGCTCAATGTTGCACAGCAAGCGATGGAGAGTTGTGCCTGGTGGTGTAAACAAATCAGAAATAAAAAAATCCATAGCAGAACTAGTGTGGGAAAAAATTGTGTATTAAAGTAAAAGATAGATAGTTCGAAATAAAATTAAAGAGTACTCAGGTGCCAGTCCTTCCTCAATAGACTTGCCAGAAGGGCATTGAACTATAAATTGCAAGGGGGTTGAAACAAAATCCTTACTCACTTTGGGTTGTCTTCATTAAAAAAAATCCTTACTCACTTTGGGTTGTTGAAATTTCTAACAAATAGTTAGAAATTTCAATAGAAAGATTTTTCTTGAATTTAGAAGCTAGATCCAATTATCATCTTATATTTATAATTTTTACCTGAAATTTACATAATGAAAATCTATGGTATATAAAAGTGTTTAGTCTTTAGTAGTACTGTCGGCTGTTACCGCGACTCGACCCAGTTCCTATTTTGCGTGGGGATTGGCATCAGTCCTGCCATCCCAGCTCCTCCAAAAAGCCCAGCAGTCCCCGGATGTTGCTGCTGGCTTCTACTAGTGTCTGCAGACTTCCCACTAGAGAAGTCCTTTGTCTTGCAACGCCTCTGCACTCCAGCAAAACATCGGCGCTCGTGTCCTCCTCCTCCAGGCAGGCTCTGCACAGAGGGCTGTCAGAAATACATATATTACAAAAGTGTTTATTGAAGTAGCCGTGACCCGTGGTATACCCACGATTTGTTTTAGGGCTTGTCTAGGTAGTGTGATTAACTTGCGTGATAGCTGCAGGTTTACCTTAGGAACGGCTTCCCTAGCTTGCCTGCAGTCCGTGAGTTTTGCCCGGTATTCGTCGTGTTGTTGTTGACAGCGCTCATCTAGGTTCTCAGCTGTCGGTAGGGTATGGGTACAATCGGCTCCGAGCCAATGGCTTAGCTAGGCAGTCCGCCGCATAGTTGCCCCTTGAGCCTTTGTAGGGCCCAATTGTAGGGTCAACCTATTATCATTGCAAATATTAGTCAACTTACAGTGGCATTCGTAAATTAAGCCTGATGTCATTATATTGTTGTCCAGTGCCTGTAGGACAGAAGCGCTGTCAGAGAGAATACGAATATGTTTTCCTCTTACCCCGCGACAATCTATCGCCTCTGCGGCTCTAATGATGCCTATACACTCTGCCTGGAAGACCGTGTTATAGGCTCCCAATGCTGTTGAAATGTGTATATTTAGGTCTTCGGAGAAGACACCCGTACCTGTACCACAGTTGGTGTTTCATCCGTCTGTGTAGACCCTCAGCTCCTTATGCAGACAGCCGCCTGGAGTGTCTTCGTAAAGTTGTATTTTATATTTTTTGTCGAATACATACGTCGCAGGAATAAGGTTGTTTACTGCTGTAATGTGTGTCTGCTAAGATGCTGGTATGTGGGGAATTGTTATCCCTCTGCTATAAATGTTTAAGCGTGTGGCTGCAAGCAGCTTCCTGTTGTATAAATAAGTGGAGTGGTCTCACGTTAAGTATTGTCTTCAGTGTTGATGTGGGAGTGGTTTTCATGCAGCCAGTGATTGCACCGCAGGCCCGCCTCTGGAGACGTCTTAACTTATTACTTGTTGTTACGTGGATTGGCTTGGTCCACCAAACTAATGCTGCGTAGCTGATGATGGGCCTATTTATGATCGTGCAGCCACCTAACATTGAATGGTGATAGTCACCAAGCTTTGCTAATCATTTTTCGACATTGCCAGAAAATTATGTTGGTGTTCGTAATAGTTTTGTCTATGTGTGATTCCCAGTTCAGTTTGGAGTCTAGGGTTATTCCTAGATACTTTACCTCATTGGAGATCCTTGAGTGTCGTGTTAAAAAGTCTCGGTAGCCGAAGGATCTTTTTTTCGTGAACATGACCACTTCTGTCTTCACTGGATTCACCTTCTGTCCATAGTTTCATTCAACATTTCAACCACCTTCATTGCCACCCGCCTCCCCCCGTTGAAACAAAGTCGTCGCCAGGTCGTCTGCGTAGCCCACTATGTGGAAGTGCAGGTTGTTTAGTTTGGTGATTAAGTCGTTTAACTCCATTCCATAGCAAAGGCGAACCTCCTTGAGAACATTCTTTAGTCGCCAATGCTCTGAGATGGTTGTCGTCCTGCAGTCTGATTAGTCTGTTACGGAGCATGTTACTTACTTATGATTTTATCATCTACTCCGTGTTTGCAGAGTGCGTCAACAATGCTGGCGTAACTTGTTTTGTCAAACGTGCCTTCTATGTCTATAAAGATGCCCAAACATAGTTCTTTCCTTATGAGACTATCCTCTATTTTACTTACGACTGCGTTTAGTGCATATTCTAATTCTAAAGTCTTTATCAGAAATGATGAGAGACTTATTGGTCTAAAAGATTTCGCTTCGTTGTAGTCTGCCTTACCTGGCTTTGGTATAAAGATTACCTTGACCTCCCTCCAGAGCTTCGACGTGTATCTAAAAGCAAGACACGCTCTCAGGAGGGGCTCCAGAATAAGGAGTAGCGCTTCACCTGCCCATTGAAGCAGCGCCGGAAAGATGCCATCTGGTCCGGCTGCCTTGAATGTCTGGACGCTGTTAATAGCCCACCTAAGCTTGTCCGTAGAGACTGTCCTCACTGCAGTGTTCCAGGATTGTGCCGTGGAGGTTCACTAATGTGTCGTCTTTTTTACTGGTGATAATCACCAGCAGGTCTGCAGTAGCTGCGTCGGCGTAGGAGACCTTCCCAGAAGAGCGACGTGGTTCCTCATTTTTGGGCTTTTTATGCTGCCCCCTCGGTGATACCGTATCATCGAGTCTGGGCCTCTTTGATGCCTCCTAGCTGTCCGTCTGTCCAGTTTAGGCCCATTTTTTGTCAGTCCGTCTGTCAATCCATTTCTTGTCTGTCTTTGGTCCTGGGTTCCAACCTGACCCGCATCAGCTTGTCTAGTGGTCTCCGACGAAAGAAGTCTGTTGCGTGCCTTCCTAGCACATTTACTGTGTTTTTAGTCTGCCCATGTTTTGTTGTTGCGTGTCCTGGGTTGGATTCCAGGTTTTGGACATTATCATAATATGTTTGCATTCCAGTGAAACCTATGAGTATTTTTTTGTGATTAAAAAAATACGTGAAATTCTTCCTCGGGGTCACTCAAGCCACATATGCTTAGTTGCTGACCGCTAGTATGGATATGCCGCTAATGCTCGGTCGATAGAGTTTTGTCCGTTATCAAGCATAGAGCACCATGTCGTCCTGAAAGGGACGCCTTGTCGGCCATACATAAAAACCACCGACGCCGACGCGACGCGTTCATGTGAGGTTGACAATAGGGCCAGTCGTGATGTTACCTTTACCTTACTCCAATATTATTAACAATGTTTGTTTCCAGATCCACTGTCTAATGTCGATGATACTGTCAAAATATCGTGGAGAGGAGATGGCAATTTATATGTGATCGGGTTCACTATGGAAGGTATCCGAAGATTTAAAGTGTTTGATCGAGAAGGCCACTTGCAGTACACAAGTGAAAAACAACAAGGTCTGGAATCCAATCTGTCATGGCGCCCAAGCGGAAATGTAATTGCAACAACACAGAAAATCAACGGCCAGTATTTAGTTTCTTTCTTTGAAAAGAATGGCTTGAAACACGGAAGTTTTGACATTCCGGTAAATTCAGATACAACTGTTGAAGATATCACTTGGAGCACAGATTCTGAAATACTCACATTGCAATGTAGAAACACTGTGACAGATTCACAGAAATTATTGTTGTTTACTTCTAGTAATTATCATTGGTATCATAAACAGACATTGGTCTACAGTTGTGAACAGAAAATAAAAAAAATTGTTTGGGACAATGATTTTGATGTGACAAATAATAAAAAGTTACATGTGTTTTTAAACAGTGGTGAACATTTCTGCTATTCTTGGATATGGAATGTTGACCATAGTAGAGGTCATACTAATGATGACGATGCAGTAGTTGCAGTGATTGATGGCACAAAAGTTTTACTCACAGGATTTAGACAAACTGTGGTGCCACCACCTATGGCAGCAGATGAAGTAAAATGCGACTTTCCCATCAATTCAGTACATTTTGCACCACAAACAGTTGATGGCGTATGTTCTCATATGTTTTTTGCAGTCACACCAAATAACAAGTTAATATTTTACAAGCAAAAATGTAAATTTCCCTTGGAATATCTATGGTTAAAAACTATAAGTGTAGTTGATAATAAGTTTCCATTCCAATATTATAACTGGTTTTGGATGAACTCCTACACCATTGTATGTGTAACATTAGGTAACAATGGAGATTACAGATTAATGGAATATAGAATTGAATCTGATGAAATTGTTGAAGTAAATTCTGCAGAACTTCCCAAATCTGTAACTAGAATTCAGGCTCACCCTAAAGAGTTATCCAAATTATTTCTGCAAGCAAACAATGGCGAAATTATCAAGTATTATGAAGGAGGCTCTGCAGAACTACAAGACATGTCTTTTGGGGTGTCCTGTCCGAAATTCAATGCTGTCATAATTGATGAAACATTGTACTTTATAGGTTTGACGCATAAGAATAATCTATTTTTAAATGGAACTATGATTCTAAATGGTGTCAATTCTTTCTATGTTCATACACACTTTCTTCTTTTAACTACATTACAACATGTTCTACTGTGTACAGAGTTAACTCATTCAGGAATTAATGCATTGACTGAATATCAAAAAAATGAATCTACAGAAAACATTTATAAAAGAAAAATAGAGCGCGGAGCCAAATTAGTAATTGTTGTACCAAATGATACAAGAACAATTTTCCAGATGCCGAGAGGAAATCTGGAAGCTATACAGCCTAGACCTCTGTCTTTGAAGTTGATAGGTGAACATCTTGATGCTTTAAAATATTATGAAGCGTTTGATATTATGAGGAAACAGAGAATCAATTTAAATTTAATTTACGATCATGATCCTGATAAATTTGTCCAGAATATAGACACATTTTTAGATTCAGTTCAAAATAACTCATGGTTGAGCCTTTTTCTATCAGATTTAGAAAATATTGATGTTACAAAAACTATGTATGCTAGCAGTTACAATGGCAACCTTGATAAAGTTAGATCAGACACCAGTAGTAAAGTAAACATTCTTTGCGACATTTTAAAATTACATTTGAATCAACGAAGCGACAGCGAGAGTAAAATATTACCAATATTAACAGCATTTGTTAAGAAGAATACAGAACATGAACTAGAAAATGCATTGACTCTTATTAAAGAACTAAAATTAAAAGAATCAGGTGGATCGAAGTTGCCAGTGGGAAGTGAAGAAGCTCTCAAGTATTTATTATATATGGTTGACGTAAACAAACTTTTTGATGTGGCTCTTGGGATGTATGACTTTGATTTAGTCTTACAAGTTGCAAACAAATCTCAAAAAGATCCGAAGGAATTTATACCAATGTTAAATGAGTTGAACGAGATGGATAAAAACTATAAGAAGTTCTCAATTAATAAACATCTAAAAAGATACAGTAAAGCAGTCAAAAGCCTAGTAATGTGTGGCCCTGAGAAATATGATGAACTGAAAACCTTTGTTAAGTACCATAGCTTGTACAGAGAAGCTTTGGGGCTGTTTTCTACAGATGAGGAAATTTATAAAGTTATATCGAACGATTTTGGCGTTCATTTGCGTTTAAAGAAACAGTATATTGAAGCTGGCATAGTATTTGAGCGAGCTGGTAATTATGAGAATGCTATAGAATGTTACAAAGATGCTTTAGAATGGGAACTAGCTGTGAAAATAGCACACAAAATGTACTCACCGGAACAATTCATGGAATTCTGTTGGTATGTACTATTTATCTAAAATTGTAGGCTAAAAAAAATAAGTTTATGTTTTAGTTTTATTGGTATGGTACTGGTTTTATCTGGCACCGCTCCATTACCCAATCAGTGATAAACTGGACATATGCCACCACTGTGTATCCGACACATGGCTATTATTTCTTGGAAATGTAGAGATCAAATATTTCCACGTAATGGATAGAACTGTGACCGGATAATTGACTGTATGAAAAATAAAGAACCAATTATTAGCATGTGTTAATTAATTTGTTTTGTTTTGTTTACCTAACATAAATATTGGGAGCGATATCACTATTCTGACAAATAAAAGTAATTGATAATATTACTAAAAATCATGAAATAGAAAGTATTTTTTTTATCTATTGTCACGTGACCGAAAACTCCTAGGAATGACAGAGCCTAAAATGCTTGTAAACATTTAAAGTGACCTAACTTTGCAATGTTTGTCGTTGTAATAAGAGCTGTGTGACGTCACTTGCCTGTTTTATTTATTAATTAAAACATTATTTAATACGCAACAGAATTATAAATATTTTAGCTTTTAACGGAGTATCTATTCTGTACACTAATAAATAACGTATGATACTTTTCAAATGCCCTATTTTAACACATGACCTTTTAAAAGCAGAAGACAAGAGAACTGAAACTGTAAAAACAGGGGGTCAGTTCCTTAACTTTAACTTTTTTCTTTGCATAGCTTAATCGTCACTGGCTAATCTATCTTGTGAAGTTAATAACACCGCCGTCTCTCCAGCTTCTTCTTGTCCTCTCCATCCTAAGGTTGTCTGGAAGAGATCGCTCTTAGCGTTGGGACCGCCCATTATTGCACTGTATTCTTTAATTATGTGCTTTTTGTTTTATGTTTTCTGTGGTGTGAAAATAAAGAGTTTTGTATTGTAATCTCTTTTCCAAATAGGAATCAAAAAGATGACGATAGGTGTAAATTAACTCAATTTGGGTTTCAAAAATTTTTTTTTTACTGATCATTCATTTTAGGGAGCTTATCAACACACTTAAAGAAGAAAAGAGACACCAAGAAGCTCTCCAGATATTGGAACAGTACTATAAAGATATTGACAAAACAATTTCCTATGCAATAGAATGTGGTCAATACAAAACTGCTTATAGGCTTTGTGCACAATATAATAAAGATGAGCTTAAAGGTATGTTGAGCAATAATTAGTATTAGCAACGAATTAGAAATTCTTTGGAAGTATTACTCTCTAACAGACCGCTAAAATGGTTCTAAACCTAAGTTCTATGGTTCTAAACTAAGTTCGTACAACTGAACTTCAATACTAACGCGACAGGCAAACAGACAAAACATAATACTTTGTCAAATCAAATATCTGCAAATGAATTCGGCTATTCATTCATTGGTTAATATAATGTTAAACGGAAATCCCAACCAATCCATCAAACTGAAACTAGCAGCCACCAGCTAGCAGCCGACAGGGACGAAACATAGAAGATAGGGTCCGGGCCCTATATTTTTTAAAAATTAGAATTTTTCATTGTGAAATTACAATTAAATTAAAAAATTAACATGACATTAAGGGTTTAAGTTTAGGTACCTTTATCACCTCTTCTAAAAATATAATTTTAATACCCATGATCGGCGTGTTGATCGCAGTTTTTTAAACCCCGCCCACTTGATCGCGGGTTGGGTGAAACCACTTTTTAGCACAATTCGTATACCATATTATTTCTAATTCGTAGTTTTCAATATGATTTTGTTTAAATAGTTCTTTAAGCTTATGTCGTAAATAATATTATTTAAATTTTCCAGAAAAATATCTTTTACCGGCAGTGTTGGAAGAGTACAAGAATCTAAAAGAACTAATAGAATCCAATTGGAGTACCTTCATTAAGCATAAAGAACGTCTTTGTGTTGTGAGAGAAAATAAGAGCAAACAGCCAATGGATATGTATGAATCTGCTTATTACAATAAAGATAGTGATCTATATTCAGATGCAGGGAGTACTCTAGCTTCGTCGTCGCGAGGTTCAAGGTAATCCACTTATTTACATGAATTACATTTTTTATTACTTTAAAAACATCATCTTAACATATTTTATTACTATTTTTTCTTATCCTTGTTACAATACCTTTTACGTTGATATTTTACTATTTGTCGAGTAGCCATCGGTATTGTAGGTATCTAATTTATTTATTTATTCAGAAAATGGTATTCTAATAATGGTATTACTTAAAATACCTTGCTACGGTTTCATCATCAGCTTATTAATGTCCCCAATGCTGAGGCACAGGCCTTCCCTATGGATGGAATAGGGAGATTGGGCCATAACCCACCACGCGGGCCCAGTGTGAATTGGCGGGTGCTAACGACTGCAGACGCAGCCGGGAGGAACGGCATAACGTGAGGGAACGAAGCACGGAGGAACACGAGATAGAAGATTTTTGGTCATCCATCCAATGACCGACCACTGCGAAAGTTGCTTAACTTCAACGATCGCAGCCGAATGCGCTAACCACCCGCGCCATCGAGCTCCTCACGGACTCCTTGCTAAGGTTTGCGTGCATGCAATCTAATATGTTTCGACAGTGGAAAAACATAATCGCTGAAACGCCACTTTAGTAGTAATTTTACAGAAAAGAGGATTAAAGTAATTGCAAATGAGAAGTAGCGTCATAAAAATAAAAACATACTCATAAAATAATAATTTCTAAATACCTGCCTATTAAAAAGTTACACAGTGTCTTACGAATAAGATGTCACTTAAGCGAAAATCACTCGACCCGCCATACATTTTTTGCCATACAAACATCAAATCATACGCCAAATAGTAGGGCGTATGCGCAAAATTGGTTCAAAAAAACACCAAAATTTATGACGCCTTGTGAACAACAAAAATCCTAAAAAAAATAGAGTTAAGTGCTAAATAAGTACTCATACCTTCACGAAACTTAAACAGATCGACACAGAAAAAAAAACTGATTCTAATGATATATGAGGACGTGACGAACAAAACGGTAGGTATAATTAAAAAAAAATACAGGAGCAGTAAAAACCTGAATGACATACCTAAAGTGAACTTATGGCGTTGCTATTAATTTTGGGCTGTATTTATTGAAAATGAGTTGAAATTCAAATTCAGCGAGCCCAAAACCTCGGGCTTGTAAAAAAATGTGTTTTGACCATATGCGTAATTATACCCTTTTGTTCGACAGCTCCTCATATACAGGTGTTACAAAAATAGAAATAAAGCTTGTAGGGCGTTGAAGTACATCATATAAGGAGTCTTCTCTAATTTTCTTAAAATATTTGCATGAAGTTTTAACTTTTTATAATAACAGTTATTTTTAATGATCCTGGAACTAGTGACGTGTCTTAAAATGATAGATATTTTTATTAATCATTTTAAAATAACTGTTTTTATAAAAAGTTAAAATTTCATGTAAATATTTAAAGAAATTTTGAGAAGACTCCTTATATGATGTACTTCAACACCCTACAAGCTTTATTTGTATTTTTGTAACATCTTGTACATTTGAATCGCCTTTATTTTTAGCCGAAGTTTTCGATCCAGTAAAAACAGAAGAAAACACGAACGTAAGGTAGCCTCACTGAAAGAGGGTTCTCAGTATGAAGACGTGGCATTGATAATGGCCCTCCATAGCCTAGTTACATCGTCTTTCGATTTGAGACTACAAGTGAAAAATGTCAATATTGCACTTGGCTGCATGAATAAAGATACGGAAGCATTCATCTTACAGGTATGAAAAGTCTATAAATAAAGGAAATAGAGTTTTATATTTTTATTTTTAAGTATTTAACTGCTAGATGACTAAATCTAAAGAAAATTTTACTAGAAAAAAATCCACGCGTACCAGGCAGAGACGGGACTCGAACCTGCACCCTTCGCTATCCGGGCGAATGCACTGACCATTATGCTACCCTGAAATACAGATTTTTTACCAGGCCGGTAGTGGACTGCGTAATCTGTTTCATTACTTTATCGTTTTGCTCTTAAAAACCTCCGTAGCACAAAATTAATAGCATAGAAGGTAATCTACATGAGGCGCTAGCGCTCGAATTACGCACACAAAGACAACGCTCACGGAAACGATGTCTTGGACCGCTTGGGACCACTGCGAGCGCGAGTTCCATCCGTTTGAGACACGAGTTTGTAATTTTTTTTGTGCAGAAATAGAGTAAGAAAAAAACATGTATTTACTGTTCCTGTGAACGGCTGTTTGAATTCAACATTAAATGTCAACATCAGTCTCTCCTTTTCATATTGTATAGAGCGTGACAAGGATACACCGATGTCAAAATTAAGTTTAGGTTTAGAGAATCATGCCAGAATCGACACCATTAAAAAGACTAAAGTTATTATTCGTTTACATTTCCGTTCTTTCTGTTTCATTGTCAACAATAAATCAAATAAGTATATACTTATGAACGAGTGCTACTACCACGATCTTTTTGTGCACAAGCCAAAGTTCACAAATCTAATGCGACCGCCGAGAATAGGTATAAAAAGTGAAGTATACATTATATGGCATTAAGTCCGCCGTTTGCTTATGTTTGGCAATGAAGTTTAAATAAATAAATACATACGTGAGATTACCTTCTGTACTGTATATTTTGTGCCTGTGGTGACCGTCATTGTTGCTGCACGGTGACGGTGTTTTCTTTTTGATGATTGCTCTGTTGCAGCCTAAGGCTAGAGAAAATTCGAAACGGCAGGGCCGCGGTAGCATAATGATCAGTGCATTCGATAGCGAAGGGTGCGGGTTCGAGTCCTGTCTTTTTCTAGTTAAATTATCTTGAGATTCAAACATCTAACAGTTAAATGCTTAAAAAGTCCAAAAATATGAATACATTTCATTTTTACTGTTTTCAGACATTGAGTGTCTTTGTCGTTCATTTCATTTGATAAAAAAAGAAGAAATACTACTGTTTATCTCTTTTGAGCTGGAAATGCTTTACTTTGGTTTTGATAATATTAATGTTTTTTTACAGACATCACTGGATAAACTTTTGAAAGAAATGAAAGATAGTTTTAAAGATATTTGGACTAATGAATTGGTAATAGAATCAACAAATGCTGTGATAGCAGCTCAAAATGTTCCAGAAGGTTCCAGTGTTATACCTCAAGGAATCGCAACATTAGGTATTTCGAATATTATTGTCACTGTTTATTTACATATACTACGTGTTGTATTTCGAAGTTTCTTCTCTCTCTTTATTTGGATCACGATACTACATTCATACATTTATTTCATCATTATCATTAATATACCCACTGCTGGGGCCTTCCCTATGGATGGAATAGAAAGATTAGTCCATGAGACCCACCACGCGGGCCCAGTGCGGTATGGTGGGTGCTTACGACCGCAAATGCAGCCGGGACCAACGGCTTAACGTGCCTTCCGAAGCACGGAGCAGCTCGAGATAGTTAATATTTGGTCACCCATCCAATGACCGGCCAATGCGAAAGTTGCTTAGTTTCAACGATCGTAGCCGAACGCGCTAAACACTTGAGCCATCGAACTCCTCATACACTTATTTATTCACTATTAAGCATCTCGCGCACTAGACGGTCATTACCACGACCAGTGGCCGCAACCAAGCTAACTATAGCTGGCCGTCTTAAATTAAAACAAAAAGGGAAGATACGATACGCTCATACTAGCATTAAATAAAATATTATCCGACGCAACTACATAAGCAACTCTCACACACGCACACGTCTGTATATAAACATTCAATCGAGCGAGCGAGACAGAACTGTACGCTTCAACGCAGCGCGAGCGAAACGGCGAGTCCGCTTCCGAGTCCATACGGCTGAGTTGTATTGTTGTCCTTTTCTTGATAACAAAATGGCGATTACGTAAATAACATCCACGACAAACCGTATTTATTGAGAAAAAATGTTTTTACAGTTTTACGAATGAAAAATGTTGCAGAGGCATTTGTTGTTTGATATTAAACTATTTGTGTTCTTTACTAAAGTATCGAAGGCATTGTTTTAACTTTATAACACAGAATATACGCAATATTGTTATATAGAGTGCACATACAGCATGTTTGAACTTAAAGGATTTTCTTTTTAAAACTGGTTATATAGGGGACGTTTGTTTAAAACGCAGTTTCGTTATTAATCTAGTTTAAACTTAAGTACGAGAATTGTTTTTTTTTATTTATGCTATGTTAGTTTACATCGTGCAAGGTTGTGACTGCCAGTATTTATAATATTTATAGGATGATAGAATCAAGATAATATTTCTAAAATCAAGTTCTTTTTTTCAGAACCCCACATTCGAATAGCCCCAGTGATTCATGACGTCAGCTGGAAACTAGAAGGATTGAATTAATTATTAAAGAAATGTGCAATTTAAATTAAACACGTCGTTTGAAACATGTAATAATAAATCTGTTTTTTTTTAATGGTCCTTTTATTTATATTAAACCAGGTTTACCTTGAAGAGGTAAGATCTAGCTTAGGGGAATTAGAAAGAAATTCTATGACAATACCCGACGCGCACTCTAAGAACCCAGAAGCAGGTCCCTAAGACGATTCTTTATCCCCGCCCCCCACGACAACGGTTAACTAGAGCCGAGGTCCGAGTCTCAGAGACGCCCTCTAGTTGAGCCAACCCCCTCGGGTTCGAGTGTTCTAGAGGCTCCAGACGGAGAGGAGACCTCTAGATTAGACTTGCAACAAATAGTATATTCGGCAGTATACCGAATATTCGGCGAGGCCCCTGACCGAATATTAGGCTGGATTTTAGCGCCAAAAACTTGTACAGACGTGATTGTTTCGCGCTCCTTTGTTTTGTTCTAATCTGCCGTCCTCAAGCTAAAATTCGGGTAAATGACAAAACCAACTTTTGAGATATGGCCAAAAACGGCGCGTAAACTTTATATTATTGCTATTATGTAACCATTCATCACATGACTGAATGAATAAAAAACTGTTATCTTGTTTAATACAGAAAATTATGTACCTGTTTTATGTACCAATGTCTACTTAATAAATGATTATAAAAGAAATGAGAATCTTACCCTTCTAAATTTTGATTACCACAATAATTCAAATACATAGAATCCTCCATTTTTCCAATTCAGAAGATGATTATGTACCTGTGTTATGTACCAATGACTACTTAAATGATTATATGACAGAAATGAAAATATGAATTTATACGTAATCAATCGATTTTAATTTTTCTCTTTGACAAAGTATATTATTTAAGTATTCGGTATTCGGCAGAATAATATGTAGATATTCGGTATTCGGCCGAATATATAAAAGCAGCCAAATAGGCCGAATACCGAATAGTAACCGAATATTCGTTGCAAGTCTACTCTAGATGCATTCGTCAATTCTAATCTTGAGGTTCCCTCAGGATCTCGCCGTCCCCAAACCCGGTGACGCTGTAAAGGTCATCTGCGACCAACAGCAACAAAACACACTCAAAACAACTCTTAGTATACGGTGGTCCGACTGCATTTCAAAGCAGCTTGCGATCGTGATAGTACAGTGCAGAGCATTGTCGTCACAACATAAATACTGAATTTTAGAGGACAGGGAAATCTTGTATAGATAGATAAAACTAAATCGTGGTTGCATATTTTTGTCTTTATTAAATTTACTTAATCTCAATTACTTACACTTAGTATAGATATAAGACCGTAATAATCAACTACACAACATACAGCATAAAGCAGATTAATAAATAATTAAGAATAATACATTAGGTATAATAATGAGCGTATTCATGAGGACTTGATCACTTTTGAAAAACATTTGGGTGAACAAAAATAACATTCAAAGCAAACAGAACTATTTCTACAGCTATCAAATACAACAACATTAAAAAAACTTTTTAAATCAAATTCTTTATAGAGGTGTGTCTTATCATTTACCACTGGGGCACCACAAACACACATATGTGAGTTGTCCAAAAAATCTACCAGAGTCCAGGGTATCAAATTAGGCGCATAAAATATCTTGTGCTTGAGAACAACTTTAGAAACCAAATGAGCAAGGCTACCCACATATATTTCCCATGGAGAATGTTCCATATTGATGGTTTTATTGTTGCTCATTTGGAACTTATTATAGCAGATATCTATATGTTCTAAAGGACACTGCATCAGGCTGCAGGGCAGTGTTTCCAGTTCATTTTTTGACAGAGAAAGGTATCTAAAAAAGAGAATGCTTTTACTCTTAATTATTGAACCACTTACATTAATTATAATAAGTATCCAGTCCCCATAGCATGAGTATCACAATTTATATTATATCACATTTGTTATCGCGTCTATCAAACTCCATAGTGATTTGACAATTGAGTGTAATAAAACGCGTTATATATCATATGAGGAGCTCGATGGCGCAAGTGGTTAGCGCGTTCTGCTACGATGGTTAAGCTAGTTAAGCAACTTTCGCAGTAATTGGTCATTGGATGGGTGACCAAAAATTTACTATCTCGAGCTCCTCAGTGCTTCGGAAGGCACGTTAAGCCGTTGGTCCCGGCTACATCTGCAGTCATTAGCACCCACCAATCCGCACTGGGTCCGTGTGGTGGGTCATGGCCCAATCTCCCTATTCCATCCATAGGGAAGGCCTGTGACTCAGCAGTGGGGACAATAATAGGATGATGATGATATATCATATTGCAGTGCTCTTGCTATGGGGGCTGGTTGGTTATATATTTTTTTAAGCTTTCAACTGCTAGATGTTTAAATCTTAAGTAAATTTTACTAGCAAATGGACAATAGATCAAATAGTGGAGGGTGCGGGGTTGGATTCCCATCTGCTTTCATTGCTGTGTGGATTTTTTCTAGGAAAATTTTCTTTAGTTTTAACCAGGATGGTTGTTACCTTAAAGATCCAAGCCGACCAAGTGTTGATGGCAGTTTGATCAAATTGTTATTGTCAACTTTCAAGGTGACTAATCTTTGCAATTTCCAGATAGACTTTGGTAATAATTTGATTGAATTACCAGATAAATCCAATAGTTTTAACTTTTTGATAATCTGTAAGGATATTAGTAAAAATCTTTAAAGTGTCTTAATAAAACCTGTTACATGTATAAGTATGTGCCATAGCATAGCATAAAATAATCTTTGTGGGGGCAAGTTAGAAAAGGTGATACTTCTATTGTCAATCCTTGTCACCAAGGTTGAAAGATTGATTCTGAAGAAATGAAGCTTTGTTCATGCAATCAGTATAATGAGCTGCTGCATAGCTCATTCTTAGCTGCACCACTTTATAATGCGATTTAACTAAGAATAGGACCGACTGGGCGTCATATTGTGATGTCATAGCTGTCAATTCAAACCAAATAGGTAGAGCGAGCAAAAAAGGTTATATTTAATAAAACTTATTTACTAAGATTAAGTGAGAAAAAGCATCAGACTTTTTAAATAACATTTATTTACTAAGATTGAGAAAAAAAAAACACCGATTTTTAATAATTTTTATTTATTAAGACTGAGAAAAAACATTAGTCAGAATCAAGCTCTTCTATTCCGCTCATCTCTGCATTACCGCCATAGTTATGAATAATCATGCACTATTACTAGGTCACATACGAACATGCATCCTTTATGTAAACGAAAGTTTGAACACGAGTTTCTGAACGCAACTTAAGGTGACATATGGTTGACGATTTAGGTTATCAAATATTCATGGTCAAAGCTCAATAAGTGAAAAAAAATATCAACCGATATTAATTATCAATATTTATTATTGTTTGTTTACAAATGTTTGGTTTTTATTCTTGAATTAGCGGAGTGCTAAAAAAGGGTTCCAAGTTTTTTTTGCAACCCCTTTACAATTGACATTTGACAGATAGAGGTCATTGGCTTTCCTATTCTTATTTGAATCGCATTATCCTCTCCGGCGGCCATGCGCACGCGCCGCGAAGGGGTTAATGGTTCGACCACCCACCGAGGCCCCCCGCGGTGTGGGAATGGTTGCATTGTTTTGCCGATTTCTCAGTTATTTTGTAAGAATACCCTACACAAACTATATATATTTGGATTCTCCATAAAATTTACTATAAAACAGTGTCTAAACAATGCGTCATGTCTATAATCTATTTTAATTACGTTACGGTAAACTCGGGAAAGATAAAAAAAAGGCGTTTAGACGGGTAAAATGGAGTATATTTTCAAAATCTCAAAATTTCATGTCCAGATTTTTTGGTTATTTGCACATTCTATTATAACTTACCAAATAAAAACCTAAAATTCTATACTACCACAATTAAATTTTACACTACAGATCTGTCTCGAGCGCACGCCAAATGTGTCAACACGTGCTCGTTAATATAAACAAACTCAGATTTCAAGTGGGTCGTTAAAGATTAAGCCGGCTGTTTGGATGGCTGTGATTTATTAGCCCATTAGCTCCGACTGTTAAGATAACATTACAACCGAGATTGTTATGAATAAAGTTTGTCCATTTTTTAGGTTTAAGAACTTATAACGAGGCATTTAAAAATCGCCTACAAATCAGTCATCTCAGTTTTATGTCTATAAAACGAAAAGTATTTACAATTTTGGTAAACAGTTTTTTTTATCAGAATGTACGCGAAATTTGCTTTAGAATAAAGAAAAACTAATCACTAGTTCACATACAAGAAAATAATATAAAAAAATATTTCGTTCGTGTATTTGAATTTCGAACAACCGTTCCAACGCGCGGATTTTGTTTTTTTTTTATTTCTTCAAAAATACGAACTCAAGTGATTCTTTGTATTCGAAGTATTAATCATGAATAATTTATTCAATAATTAAAAATTAAAACATTACAATTATTATCGAAATTATCAAATGAAAACATAGGGTAAGTACCCCTAAGTTTTCGCTGATTTTTTTTGCGACCGCGTCTGCAAAAAAATTCTAAAAAAAAAAAATTCACGGAGGCCGCAAACGAAACATCAAAATAGAGTAACTAAATGTATTTAACTTAACCAGGCATGGTGTTTTTTTCTTTAAAACCACTCAAAAGCACTTAAAATAGTCTGAATACACGGCATATTTTTTTTCAGACAAAAAACGGCGAACGACGAACTTTGACAGATAACAGTATAAATATTTCATTTGGCAGTTGTTTTCATCAATGGCTTGATAGCTAGCCCGTTTTTTCCTCTAAAAATTGATATAAAAATGTAGGTAATGGCCAAATTTAAGGCCCCAGTGGCCCGAGTCCGACTTTCGTATGGTAAATCGACCGACTTTTGGTCGCTGGCCGCAAGTCGGGGTAACGTCAAAAACCAAAAGTCGGTCGATGGCCGCGTGAGAGGTTATACATGTGACACCTTACCTGTGGGCCTAGCAGCCATCTCCAATCTACTTTTGATTGTTTGCCAAGATGGTTGTTGACTAGAATAAGCTCAGCAAGATTAGGCAGTCTTCCTATAAAGAAATAAATTTTAAATAAATCAACATTTCTTCGCAAAAATAAAAATCAAATATAAATAATTGTAATCAAGTACTGTACAAAAAGCTCACCAAATTCTGGTGGAATTTTTTCAATTTCATTATCACTTAGATCTAATACAACAAGATTTCGTAGTAATAATATGTCTCTGCGGAAATTATGCAATTTAAGACCAATTATATGAAGGAATTCCAGAGTTCTTGGGAATCCTTTATCAGGGAATTGAGATCGATCTTTAATTACCATTTTAGTTGGGGCTATATCTTTATGTGTCACACTTATGTTTGATATATTATCAAGTTTCACATCTTTACAATTGCCTGATAGACAAGACTTCAGTAATCTTAAAAAACATTTCAGCTGTGTTGCTTCACTTTTTATACACAAGTCTACTGGTGGTTCTTCGAACCGTACAGTGCTTAACCCTTTTTCGATACATTTGACAAATAATTGTTTTACAGATGAAACTTTGTATTTGATCCCTGTTTTATTGATAGTGGAAAAATGTAAGATAACATATTCTGTTTCCTCGTCTTTTTTGAGTTTTGGCTGTTTTGCTAATGCTAATGTTGACTTTAGATATCGTCCATTTGATTTTATACTTAAACTACTATGCAATCTATTCACGACCTCCACTTGACACTGTAATTTCATAACGAAAAACTATCCAAACAATGAAAAACAGTAAATTACAAACTTTTCTGGCGCCAACCAAATCAACATATTTATTTTGACAGCTTTGACAAACGTTTTTTTTTAATTTATTGGCAATGGATACATTGTCTTTATGCCTAGCTTATTACTAAGAACATGCAACTTAATATATTAGTTAATAATTTACATTTTACAATTTTTCTACAGTGTTACTTATAAAATTAAATATAGGTTTGTAAAATAAGTGGTTCCCTAAAAGTTTACGCAATTCTGTTGGTATGTCCCAATCATTAGTATTTGACAAACGTCGTAAGCGGGGTGTTTAGAGTATATATTAGTAATTTCTCCAGATTACATTTTATTTCTCCCTAAAAAAAAAATAGGTGCGTGTACTTATGTAGGCTCGTGAGAAGTTATCCTTATTTGGCATCGTTTAAAATTAGTTTTTTTTAATTGCATGCAAATAATTAATTACAATAAATTAATAAAAAGTCTGGAAAAGAACACAGTCAATAAAGTTCAGTTTTAATTTGAAAAAATAAATAAATAATGAAAATATTCAATTAAAATCTCTACTGAATATAATTTATTAGAACATATGTGATTTGCACTTGTATGAAACTCAAACACGTATTCCGAATATACAAACTAGAAACATGTGGATAAATATTATAAATATGAATACCTATAACTGTTACTTTATTACAAAAAATAAAGATGTGGTTTTTGGTTCTACTACACCAATGGTCAAGAGATGGCGCTGTAGTCTCCTGAATCGCGCTTTGGTTCCGTTGTTCCAGATTAATAAATACTTTTGATAGGCCTTCACAATGCAGTCGTTAGCACCCACCAAATAGAGATTCTATTTCTATTTTGTTGGTAGATTTTCTTAATGTGCGGTAAGCACAAAAGTGTTATATGTTAAAGTGATGCGCGCGCATCTTAAAATTTCACTCTCATCATTTTTTCATAACGCGCCTAAAGAAGTATAACTTCAAAAAACTGGCCCCGATTCTGTCATGATTCTCTAAACCTGTATCCTTGTCGTGCAGAATGAAAAGGAGAGATTGTTGTCTAGTTTTACATTTATAGCGTTTAAAGTAGCATGACCGCTATTTCGTACAACTTAATATAAATGGATTAGTTCCATATAAATGTCAGACCACACGGAGGGGTAACTGCTAATGATAAGGCGTCAGCGCCATAATATCCGAGCAATGGACGTTTCGGAATCATGATAACATGGCTTGATTGCATTGGATTATGTGCCTATGCATGCATGATTTAGTAATAGTTTTCCCCAAACGTTTGCCAGTTTTGCAGCACAGATTTCATTTCCCATAGCTTTGATTTTCCCCAAATCGAGAAATAATTCCTAATCTGGAAACTCTCATCTTCGGTTAGTACTAGTGATGCGTGAACTCGAAAAATAGAATATTTTAATGATCGACATTTCCTCAAGCAAGACAGGTTCTACCAAAATACAGTGCTATCAACCTTGGCATGGCATGGCGGTTGTAAAGTTAAGGGTGTGAGCGCAATTCAGTGCAGATTTCTGATTAGTGATATCCTTCCCTATACCTACAGGAAGGAGAGGAGACCCACATTAACTTTACTGCATCGCCGTGAAGAGCCGTGACTTCTGACTTGCGCCAACATCACAGCCGTCCTTAAGTTTGAATCGCATTGATGGACAAAAATTCGAGTTGATTGAACTGTTGAACCCTTATATTTTTATACTCTGTTTTTTGTAGGTATATGTTTTATATAATAAAAATATTGTCATTATGCGTGTTAAAAATTAATGATTGTCGTTGCTTTCCAATTACAGAGCATAATGCGACTCAGTGCCGCACAATGCCGAATTATGCTGATGCTTAATTGGAACGTGAAGTAGTTTTCAAATGCACCAGCAGAGTGCGCTAAGTTCAGTGTTGAAAAAAAAGTCAATGTTTGTACCTTCATCCATATTTATATTTAATTTTTAACACAGTTTGAATTAACTTTGATTATTTAAAAAAACTATGATGAAACGAAAGTTTTAATAATTTTTCAACAATAAATAATATTACTAACGATAACATATTAAATAAAACATTTCGATCAATGCCAACTTAAAGAAAAAACACTTAATAATTTTCTGTCTCTAAGTTGGTACGATTGCACGCATCACACGAAATCATCACTTTTGAGAGTGCTCAATTGTGCGAAGCGTTGCTGTAGTTGGAACACTCAACGTTAAGCATTATGCCGCATAATGCGCTATAATGCTGTAATTGGAAAGCTATCTGTATATCTCTGTCATTTCTTACATTTCAATATTGTATTTTGACTGCCTTTGCATAGTCCGATGCAAGATTCCACCCGATCAAACTGATAATTCGTGTAGTCTATACATACATACATACATATATTGCACGTTAAATAATAGTTTTAAAAATATAAATTAATGAAATACGTGGTGTATACAAATCGATTAATTTAATTGTTCAAATGAACTGCGCAGTAAGAGTATTGATTAAATAATCGATCTAAACATCACTAGTGCACATGACCTTGATATTTTTTTTAATGTGTCTTAAAATAAAAAAGGCAAAGACGCTACTGTAAGTTAATTCTTCAAATTAAATTTATTTAAGTATACCTACATAATTTTTTTGTTATTTGTTTTTGGAGGTAAGACTATGTATGCATTTAATTAATCATAATACAGTAATAAAATTCAGCTGAGTTCGCATTACCAAACAAGGATTTATTTTAATAATTTGGCTGTGCGATATCGATAAAGTTATGGTCCACAAACGATAACAACAACAAATAAATTTAAAAAAGCACAGAAAACTATCTACCTATTTCGGTTTGTGGGTTCGCAATTCGCATCACAAATAATTTTCTTAAATTTAATTTAATAAATCAGATATTACAGTATTTTCCAGTGTAAGTATAAAAAAATTATCATAATTATAAAGGTTATCATAGTTTTGAAGATGTTCCTATGTGGATTATGTCGTTACTGCATTGGATTAATTGAAACCAAGATGTTTTTATTGCATGTAGAAAATAAATATAAAACCAGTAGTCTATTTCAATTAAATAATTAAAGTTTTGTTTGTTTATTCAGTGAAACAGTCAATCCTAAAATGGCTGCACTAGTTGTACAATCTAGATTTGCCGGATTGAAAATCGAAGACGACGACTACCCTACTGCTAGTGAGAGTCAAAAGTCGAAGAAATCTAAAATAGCCGCTGCCAAAAAAAGTGAACCAGCAAAGAAATCTAAGATCAACGCCAATAAAACACAGGTTCATAATACATACCTAATTATTATGCCTGAAAAGATCAGTGTTTTACTTAGTTCTTTTTTTGGAATATCCAACAGCTTCTAGATAAACTTAAAAACTATTTGCTTGTTTGGTCATCATTGCAAGATGTCCCTAAAAAGAAAAAGTTACTTTATTATGCCCTAAAAGATCTATGTTGTTACTAAGACTTTTGTTTATCAAACATTTAACATCTACTACTAGAAATACTTAAATGAACTATGTATTTGTTTTGTCATCATTACAGAACGCACCTAAGAAGAAAAAGTCCAAACCCAATGCAGTTTCTTCTAATCAATGGGAACAATGGAAGCAAAAGGATGCAGAACTTGTTGATGGGAACTTTGAGTGTGAATTGCAACAGGTATAATTATTTCAGTATAACTTCTAATGTATGATAGTGAGATAATTGTTATTCATTTAGTGCTTCCTGTGAGAGAAATGTGTCTCGTACACACTTAATGAATTTATTGTATACTAAAGTGTTGTATGTAAGGAAAGATGGGCAGAGTGGGAGCCTGGTGATCTGTAAAACAGATTTCACCCCCTAGTGCAGACACCAGTCTGGGGAAAGTTGTATTATTTGCTAATGTATTTGTTTCTTAGGTTTTTGCGCACTTAACTCATTAAATGAAACAAGTTGTTAGATGGCTTCGATGCACTGAGATGACTAGATTTTATTTATTTATTTACGTTTCACATCCTTTGTAGTAATGCTGATTTGGAATAATGTTTTTTTTATTTACTTTGTCAAACTACATTCGAAAGACTTTTATTGAGCGTTCCGATATTTTATTTGGAAGATTTTTAAAACTTTATTGTCTTTGTATGTCTATTTGCTAATTATACTTTGTACATTATCACATAAGTCTTTGTAATCCTCCTTGAGAGAAATAAAAGATTATTATTATTACTAAATGGAATACTGTCCTAACCTAGTCCTGTGCTCAGGTCTATGTTGAGTTGCAACTTGTATGAGCACAATGGTGTCGATTCTAGCATGATTTTCTAAACCTAAACTTAAATTTGTCAACAGTGTATCCTTGTCATTCTCTATACAAAATGAAAAGGAGAGACTGATGTTAAATTTAGTTTTAAGTTTAGATAATCACACCAGAATTGGCACCAATATCAATTTATATTTTATGACTTTAAAAATTAGTAGGTGTGAGCGTTCTAAAGACGAACCGGTTTCAAGGACCGTTTTGTGTTCCGCGACGATAGAACCGTTTTACGTTTCGGATCAAAACAGTCTTCGTCGAACAACTAGTCCTCGGATTGTCTGCAAGCCAATATGTTCTTTATGAATAAGCAAATACAGTCTATAATAGAACGCAATGCTAAGAGGCCGTTTCGTTCTATGATAATTAAGCTTTGATTTTACAATAATATAATCTTTATTATCGAACATTTAAAGTCGATTATCGTATAACACTACATTTATTTCGATGTTTAGTCGTCTAGTTCGCAGCAACGAAACGAACGTTAACAAGATTTCATTTAGTTCAGTTTCGTTGCGTTACATTCGTTCGACCGTCGCGTGTCGTTTCGTTGCGTCACCCAGCCGCAACCAAAACCAGTTGCGAACGAGAACCGTTTCGAGGACTAGTTTTCGTTTAAGAGAAAACGGTTGCGTTTCGTCGTCAGAAAATTTGAGAACGACCCACCGCTAAAAATTAGGTCTTGTTCATACTGCTGCTGTATTTGTATGTCAATTATATAACTCTTGATGGTATTGCCAGAGGTTTTTGTTTAAGTAGTTTAAGTGTGTAGTGTTTTATATCCTTTGTGAAGAAATGCCTTATAATTGGTTTTCAATAAAAAAAATCATAATGTTTAATTTTATTTTCATGCATAAAGTAGCCTATAACCAGCTCCAGGGTCCAACTACATTTATAATATTGGTTAGGTTTTACTTCTGAGGATTGGAAGATATAATAACTGTTTTGTGTGTTTTCAGGCAATACTTTTGTCTAAATTGGATTATGAAGAAAAGAAAGATGTATACAAACAAATAAAAAAAGAAGCTGAAATAGAAAAGAAAGTAGCCGATCAAAATTCTCGCGGAAACAATAAAAAACAAAAGAAAAAGACTGTAATGAGTCTCGAACAATTTAATGATATGATGAATCCTCCAGAAGATACTGGTAATGCTAAGCGTAAGTATCGATTGAGTAATCTTAAATTGTTAAACATGTTAAGATTGTGATATTAACCTTTCATATTTTGTAGTTGATAATGAGGAATACAATAATATAGAGGAAGTTAAAGCAACAATCAAGGACACAGAGTTCTTTGAAAGAGTTAAAGATGATACCAGGAACGAGCTTATTAAAGAACAGATTAATGATAGAGTTCGCAATCGGCAGTTTCTTGCAGATGAAATAATCACCAGGGTTCAGTTTATAGACACCATTGAGAGGAAGGATAAAGAAATAGAGATCTTAAGACAAGAAGTCACAAGTCTCAAACAGGAACTTTTAACTGTTAAATGTAGAAATAAGAAATTATGCAACATACTCGGTCAAGGTGAAAGTAAGTATAACAAGATATATTTCCTAATACTTACGAGTGAAAAGGGTTTTTTAAGAAGAATACAAATAGACTAATGTGTGCATTCAATTATCATTTGCATAGAAACTGGTTTTCAATTTTATTGCAATAAAACTTTATTTTTTAACTTATCTATGCAATTTATATAGTGAAAGATAAAGCAGAGGTGCTGGTGGAGGTTGAACGCTTACGAGCAGTACAGTCGGAGCTCACATCCGAAATAGCAGCTTTACATACTGAATTGGAGAAGGAACGTTCTAAGAATGCCCAGGACCCACGGAGTAAAGATAAGGTATTTAAATTTTATATTATTTCTTTTAATCTAATATAAACTATATGTTTTTATCTGAATGATTTTATGAAGAATTTATAAACTTTTTCAGAAATATCACACAAAAAAGAAAAATATTCGTTTTGATGTGTCATCTGAAGCTTTACTAGTAAAAGAATCAAGTGTGGGAACGGGTTGATTGGACACATTAATACATATATATGATTCAAAGAAAAAATAAACATAATGAAGATTATGCAATGTGTTTTTTCATTCTTTTTATTTAATCCTTTTTTTTAAATCAGTAATTTTTTCTGCCTTACAGAAGAGAAGGGGTCACCTCTGACAAAGGAAAGTAAAAGGCTAGTTATTTAACATTACTGTTCAATGTAAGTAGGTAATATGATTAATTTTTGTCAATGTATACTAGTTTTCTATTGATAAGTCAATTCTGAATTTATATTTAAAAGGTATAGTTTTTGTATAAGCAATTATTTATAGGTACGTAATTTTTTATTCAAGAATGGCTCGCTTTCATTGCATTATTTTTAAAATAACAGCGTTTGCTTTATTTATATATATATTATTGGGTATTCATGTTTTATTTTGCTTTAATGTGCAATAAGGTGAGCATTTATGTTTATACATGATTTACTATAATTTGTTTAAATGAATGACTTGTATAATTTTTGAAAATCAAACATAAATGTTACATGTGTTTGCTTGAAAAGATCGCTATAGTGTTGCCGACCTATCGATAGCTTGACTATCGACTATATAAGGATCTTGAAAGTAAAATGGTGATTGATGGTTCAAATTTGGAGGGTGGTAGTAAGTCTCCGGCAGACTCCAAATTTTTATGAGAGGAAATGCACTTAATTGTATATTGATTTACAAAAAACTAGAATGTATTTTGTCTTCATTTCTTAAAATAATTATTATAGTATGAAATTACATAATTATTGTTTGGCAAATGGCAGGTTAATTTATCTATTTTCGTTGCCAAAGCATCAAATAGGTATATACTATTCATAATGTAATTGGTTACATATGAATAGTATAGCAGTGATAATCATTCTGTTCATCTTTCATTACATTATTAGGTACTTTGTGTGTACTTTATTTCAAATAGAATCAATCATAAAGTGGTATAATAAGTTCACCACGATTAAACGAATATCATGCATGACCGGACTGATTGACATTTACCATAGTGATAAAATGGACGTTACAAGCTGCCACGCACTAAAAATATGACGTAACTTATATCAGGTCGGCCAGCATTCTTACAAAATTGTTCAAGTTTTAAACTCGATTTAAAATTAATCGGTGATAAATAAAAAAATAAAGGTATCTGTACAATTACATGATATAATTTAAATGTAGCTTTTAAATGACATATGTTTCGTCGCTGCCGGTGACCGACTACCACTTTTGAACCATCTCCTTTACACTATCGATAGTATTATTAGGCAATTAATAATAAATAGAAAACTAATAATCTCATATTTTTTCAAATTTTTGGTGTTCAATACAAATAAACGGAACATCAAAAATATGTAAAATTAATTGAGATTATTCTTCGTGTCTTGTTCTTTGTTTCAATAATCTGCTTACAGAATACAACAATGATAATTTATGTTTAAAATATTATTTTTTAGTATTATTTTTTTATAGATTAGGACAAATGACTCCATTCCACGTGATGTCAAATGGACTTAGAGTCCAAATGTGTAGAATATTTTAAAGATTTCTTAGTTTCCAAAGTATCGATAGTACTTAGTGTTTTACCGGCAACACTATTTTTGTTTCTGTCTGTCCATGGGTATATTATTAGGATATGTGGTTTAATTATTGCACTCACTGTGCTATTGACGCTGAGCGTCAACTCCGCCTATTGTAAATAATTATAACTATCATAAATGAGGTTCTTTTACGAGACCATGAAAATAAAAAAATATTGGATAAGAATCTTTCATTGCGTTATTTTTTTAAAGCATTGCAGTGTTTTGATATGTTTTACTGGAGATTGAATTTATTTAAAATGAACGTTAGTAAATATTGATGTTTATGTAGGTATTGTAAAAGCAGTAACAAGATGCTAATGGGCCCATTGTATTAAAATAAATGGTTTCATTTCATATTATATGATTTCGATTACATTCATGTGACTAATAATGTGTAGATCATGTCGATGTTCTAATTTCTGTGATTTTCTTAAAAAATAAAATCTCTCATTACTATTGGGCACTAAATAAAACTAATTTGAGAAAACGATTTACAAAACAATGTTTTAGTTTTCCGTCTCCCTACAGTGTTTTTATGATTTTTATTTATAGCAGTTTAAATCGCGTTATTGACAAAGAAACCAATCATTATTAAAGTGAAGATCAAATATAAGTATTATGACCGATGTACCTTTGGCTTTGACAGAGTTACCAAATAAATGAAACGAGTTTCAACGGTATAGATGCACTGGTTTATTTATTTATCACGTTTCGCATCCTTTTCATGCTGCGTCGTCAGAATTAATTAGGGTGGTCAACTTTTTTTTTTCTATCAAATATAGTATTTCCGAAGCTGTTACCTCTAAAAATATAGTAGATGGCAAAAAGATGGAAAAAATATAGTATTCGGTAAAAATATCTATTTTATTTTTAAAATAAATATATTTTTGCTCTTCCATGCTTTACTAAATATTTTTTTATTTCTAAGAACGCTTTTACTGGCATAAATCTGCTTTAAGCAAAATAGAGTTGTTTCGCCTCCTATATTTTTTTTTGAAATATAGTATTTGATGCCCTAATATAGTAGGATACTATATTATATAGTAGGGTTGGCAACCCTAGAATTAACTGACGACGCAGCTTAAAAATGATGCGAAACGTCGCAAATAAATAAATCAGTGCATCTATACCGTTGAAACTTGTTTTATTTAATGAGTGGTGAATGACCAAAGGGTGGTAACTCGTTAAACTAATCGGAGCCAGGGCAGTACGAGTGTCACAGGCATTTGATGGAAATAGTCTCGTAAGCGCAGGAGACATAAACGGCTAGCCTGCACAATTTACAATTGACACTGGGGCATCTAAAACTATCGTGCGGCTGGAACTTCTCAAGCGTACAATTATGTGGGAAGGTACAAAATCGGTGTGTCAATTGCAAACATTTACAGGCCAGCCAGTGACAGACATCATATTGAAACTAGGAGACAAAATCTACAGACAAAGCGTCTTGGTAGCTAACATAACGGACGACTGCATACTCGGACTGGACTTCTTACGATCACAGCAGTGTGGTGGATATCGCTAGAGGAGTATTGAATTTTCCGGATCAAGAAATATTTAGATAACTCTCCACCAGTAGTCTACAACGCCAGAACGGTTACCCTATCAGCGAGGTCAGAGACATTAGTGGAAGTCAAGTTTCCGGAAAAGGCGTCACCGAATCGGTGTGTCGTGGTAGAAGATACCGGGAGTCACCCTAGTTGGATCACGGCTAGAACCTTGATCATGACCAAGAGAGGGGCAAGGGTAAAAATCGTGAACACTAGCAACGCTGCAACACAGTTATGGAAGAACACGGTCATCGGAAGAAACGCAGGTGTAGACTACACAAGAAGAACTCAAGAATGCTGTAGAGGAAATGAATGAATGAGGAAGAAATGAAGACAAGTTTGCCACCTAACTTGTATAATGAAGCCAAGCAATTATTATTAAACTACAAGGACATCTTTTCTAATGGAGAAAATGACCTTGGGAGGACTGGGCTTGTCAAGCATTCAATTCACACCGGTGATACACAGCCTATCCAGCAAAGACCTAGGCGAGTGCCTCTGGCAAGAGAACAGGAAGTAGCGGATATGATTGAGAAGATGTCACGTGATAAGATCATCGAACAATCAACTAGCCCCTGGTCTTCTCCAGCAGTGTTGGTTAAGAAGAAAGACGGCAGCACCAGATTCTGCAAGGACTTCAGGATTCTGAACAATGTGACCAAGAAGGACGACAAGGACCTGCAGCTGATAATGAAGGGGAAAAGTGAAGGACGGAAACCATCATGGAGTGACATATCAGCTTCAAGCCCAATCACGAAGGCATACTGGGCCCACTGGGATAGTTTTCTGCTACAAGAAAACGCGCTGTATCGCAAATGGGAGTCACCGAATGGTAAGGATCAGACTCTACAAACGGTGGTCCCAAGGTGCAAAGTGTCTCAGGTTTTAAGGCATGTGCACGACGGTACGTCTGGTGGACACCTGGGAATAAGGAAGACCTTGGTGAAAGTAAGGGAACGCTTCTACTGGATGCGCTGTCGAGAAGATGTCGAGGACTCGTGTAGGAAATGTAATGTTTGCGCCTCGGTCAAAGGGCCTCGTACTAGAACCAAGGGGAAGATGCAGCTTTACCAGGTCGGCGCTCCTTGGGAAAGAATTGCCATTGACGTCTCTGGGCCTTCCACAAACAAAAGATGGGAACAGTTATATTGTGGTGGTACAAGATTATTTCACCAAATGGCCCGAAGTGTTTGCTACACCAAACCAGGAGGCCAGGAGGATAGTGTGCCGATTCGGCGTCCCATTGGAATTACACAGCGATCAAGGAAGGAATTTTGAGTCGAACTTATTTCAGGAGATGTGCAATTTACTCGGAATAAATAAGACGCGTACGACTCCGGCACACCCACAATCCGACGGCATGGTAGAGAGATTCAACCAGACTCTGGAAAATCATTTGGCGAAGGTCGTAGAAGAACATCAACGGCACTGGGATCGTTACATTCCGCTCTTCCTGATGGCGTACCGGTCCGCAGCGCATGACACCACTGGATTCACTCCATCGATAATCAACTTCGGGAGAGAGATGGACCTACTGGTCCACAGGTAAGTATACCGGAACACCTGCTGCCTCCAAATTAGTAATAGAGTACGTCGCAGAGCTGCAAAGAAGGTTGGACGAAACGCACGAGTTCGCGCGTGAAAATAACCTGAAATCTGGCGAGAAAATGAAAAGCAGGTATGATCGAAATGCCGGCGCTTGAGGCTTCGTGGAGGGAGAGCTCGTTTGTTTGCACAACCCACAAAAAAGGATTGGAAAGTCCCTAAAGCTTCGGCCCCGCTGGGAAGGAGCCTATAAAGTGATTACGAAAATCAACGACGTGACCTATCGTATAAGACAGGGAGATAGAAAGAAGCCCAAGATAATCCACATGGATCGCTTGGCACCTTACCACGGCAGCAATGATGCTCGGGACGAGCATGTCTAAGAGGGGGGCAGTGTCACAAACGCTCTCGAAACGGAACTGCGAAAGTGCTAGACACTGAATGAGCCAGGTCGCGATAGAGGTCGAGTTATGCGGCTTATTCTAAAATGAGCCTTATGCAGTGCGGCGTAAGGGAGGAAGTGCAACGACATCTGCACTTCTTTACAAGTTATGCGCGTTACCTGCGTAGGTATAAGTAGGTACTACGGGTGCTAGCTAACTCTCAATTTAACGGGTACTTTCTAGAATGCGTCGATCGGCGTATATAAGCGCGATTGGCGCCGCGCAGAGGCAGTTGAGTTTCAACAGCGATTTCCGAGCGAATCCAAAGGCGAACGAAGTGCGACAAAAGTGTTCAAGTAATCGCACGGGATGGGGTTCGGTATTATATGCCAGTTCACGCTTGACAGTTCTTTATTCACCACTCAGTTCACACAATTAACACACAATGTTAATTACAAAACAGTCACTAAACACTGTATTGCATTATACAAGTCTCTAAACTATCGCACTTGAACACTTTTGTTGCACTTCGATCGCCTTTGGATTCGCTCCGAAATCGCTGTTGAAACTCAACTGTCTCTGCGCGGCGCCAATCGCGCTTATATACGCCGATCGACGCATTCTAGAAAGTACCTGTTAAATTCAGAATTACCTAGCACCCGCGAGTACGAAATACCTACTTATAGCTACGCAGGTAACACGCATAACTTGTAAACAAGTGCAGATGTCGTTGCACTTTCTCCCTTACGCCGCACTGCATAAGACTCATTTCAGAATGAGCCGCATTACTCGACCTCTATCGCTACCCCCGGTGATCTGGCAAATTCGATCTCTGGCACTTTCGCGGTTACGTTTCGAGAGCGTTTGTGACAATATGTTATACGTCATTGGTTACATATAATACTTACGCGTATGTCCTAACCTCATTCTAGTTACTGTAGTACGCAAGCAACGATATTTAATACCCTTAGATACAACACCACGTGCGCTCAAACTGTGTCCCCATCAAGAAGTGCTTGAACACGACTCAAGCACTTCTTGGTTCACAGTGACGTGCGGACCGTTGAAAAGTCACAAGCCGCAGAGCTCCGGAATAAAATGCAAAATAATATTTATAGTACGTAGTGTTAGTGTGAGTGCGTTGCGCCGATTGTCTCTCCAGTCGTACCCATGCGCAACTATCCCCCCAGCGTTTTGTTCAGCGCTAGTGTTACGTGCCGCGACTTATAATTCTGAATGCGCTGTTAGCAATATAGCAGGCACGAAACACGAGGAAAAGAGACGACTATACAACCGACCATGCATTGCATATCACAAATATTTTGTATTAGATCAGTTTATGCTAAGAAGATTTTGTTCGTGATTTATCTAGGGTATTAAATATCGTTGTACGGAGGTACTTTACCTAGTTTCATATGAAGGTACATCATCATCATCAGCCTATTAATGTCTCCACTGCTGGGTCCAGGCCTTCTCTATGGATGGAATAGGGTAATTTGGCCAGCTATGAACCACCACGCGGGTACAGTGAGATAAGTGGGTTCTAACGAATGTAGGTGCACAAGGGACCAACGGCTTAACGTGCCTTTTAAAGCACGGATGAGCTCTAGATTCTAAATTTTTGGTCACCCATCCGATGACCGACCATTGCGAAAGTTGCTTAACTTCCGCGATCGCATACCGAACGTGGTAATCTGATTGCACCATAGAGAGAGAAGAGAGAATGGACTTCCCATTCTCTCTCTCCCTACAGGTAAATATCAAATCAAATTGAAAGGAAATGTTGAGGTTGTAAAAATAAGGAGCCAACATAACGATCCACGATTTATTGCCATGTCTAATTAAATACACAATTGTAATTACTACATCGATCGGTGTGATGCTCCCAACTTCCAGTTTAATTAATATAAAGATAATACTTATAACAAGCGAGTTAGTACAAAAGCTCAACAGTTCAAATTATAATTGTGTATCAATAGATCGACAAGTTGTGTCACTCGATGCATCTTAGAACTGAAACATCGGTGAATTTCAGTTTATTACATTTTAAGCATTTAACTCTTAGATTGAAACAAAAGGGGAAGATACGGTACGCTCATACTAGCATCAAATAAAATATGATCCGACTCAACTACATAAGCAACCTCACACGCACACGTGTGTATAAAAACATTCAACCGAGCGAGCGAGGCAGAACTGTACGCTGCAACACAGCGCGAGCGAAACGGCGAGTTCGTTTCGGAGTCCGTACGGCTGAGCTGTATTGTTATCCTTTTTTTTGATAACAAAATGGCGATTATGTACAAAACATTTACGGCAAACCGTGAATTTTGACAAAAAAAAGTTTTTACAGTTTTACGAATGAAAAGTGTTGCCGAGGCATTTTTCTTTTGACTTTGAACTATTTCTGTTCTTTATAAAAGCATCGAAGGAATTGTTTTATCTTTTAAACACTGAATATACGCAATATTATTATATTGAGTGCACATGCAGCGTGTTTGAATGTCCAATTGTGACTAAAGCAAATTATGGTCATGTACCACGATTTCACCGCGAGTGCCGTATCTTCCCTGTTTTAATCTAAGATTTAACTGCTTGATTTATAAATCTAAATAAAATTTACGAGAAAAAAAACCATGCGATCAATCAAACCCCAGATGCCTAGACCGCGTGGATATTTTTCTAGTAACATTCTTTTAGATTAGTGAATTTCTTTAGGCATATCATTTACAAAAAAGCATAATTAACAATGGATTTGAGATAAATAGACATATCAGCTAAATAGTTCAAATTATGCATAGTTACATGTACAAAGGTAAGTACCTAATTATACACAGAATGTTTAATTTATACATACCTATCATAAATATATTTTTCAACATTCTGTCTCAAGTTACAGGCACATTAGTGTAAGTAATATTTTAATACGTTTATTATAAAATAGGGAAACATACATATTTTTATATGCCTTGTTAAATGCAGTAGGTACAAAAACTTATTTAAACTGAAGTTTTAATTTCTAATTTTTATGTAAGAATCAAATGATATTTATATTAAAACATTATTTGTTGTGAGTTAATAAAAATCTTCATCCGTACTTGACTAGCCGTTTTGTTTACTAAACGCGTTACAATTACAAGTTAATGTTTTACAAACGCATTATGTACCTACCTACCTAATTTTTATTAATCTGTATATATTTATTAATTATTATAATAATGTTAACTTAACCTAAAACTTACTTTAATATAATTATAACTTAGTATGATACAAGTGTCATATTGGCAGTAACCGTGATTATGGCAACGTGAATTTGATTTCTAAAATATTTTTGGTCCAATTTTTTTTTATAAGTAGAGTACCTATATAAACACTTCCACATAAGTCTGCATTATCCAAGAATTACATACACCACTTTAATACTGAATAATATAATTAGTAGTTATTAATAACTAAGCGGAGATTAAGGTATAACTAGACGTCACTTATGTAATATGGCAGTAGATAAGTGATAATTGCAGAAAACTGTTTAGTGTCCTTGCGAGATTCGCACGTCACCACAAAGCGATGCTATTCGAGATATTACTCTTAATGTTTATTCGATGGGTTATGTACTTCATTCGTCATAGTACAACGTAACTCAAATCACCGGTTCTCAGTCGTAAATTCATTCTGTTATACACTTCCTGAATAGTTCTATCTAAAGGGTACACTATGCACTAAAGTTTGTTCACTTGATTAATTTCAAACATTATGTTTGTGTGATAATTGTATCAAAATCAGTATCAAAGTGCAGACACATGGTTGTCATTGTGCACACAATAATGATTGGGATTTATGTACAAAAAATCGGATATATCCAGTTTTTTTGCCCGCTCTCGAGTCGGATCAACAAATCATTGCTTCATTCTCTTGAAGGCTCATGAAATATTTGGACTGATATCCTAGGTAACTTGTCCTTATCGCGTGGAGTATCGTATAAATAGCTTTTAGCATGGCGGCACGTCTGCGCATTTGATAATGCTGATCGGTTTGGTGGCCGCGTCACATTTCGAATCGTCCACGACTCCGTTCGACGCTTTGTCGACGCAGTAGACGTTGCGTTGTTTCGTCGCCTCTTCGCCCTGGAACAGAATAGGTATGTGTTAAATTCAATATTACTTTTTACTACGTCGTGGTAAATGAAGCTAGTAACGATACCACAGTTTCATGTAGAACTGTACCCTAGCACGAACCAATATCGAATTCGAATAGTTTGCAAACCGAAATGTCAATGTCAATTTTTGTACGGAAACTTGACAGCAGCGGCACAAAGTACGTAACGAGAACTAAAAATCAGTACACATTTGACAATGACATTTCGGACTCGCAAACGATACGGATTCGATATTGGTTCGTGCTAGGGGTACTGAACGTGTTTTTAACTTCCTAGAATAGGCATTCGCCCGGATTGCGAAGGGTGCGGGTTCGAGTCCCGTCTGCTGCCTGGTCCGCGTTATATTTTCTTTAGATTTAAACATCAAGCAGTTACATGCATCAAAATTATAAAAAGATCCTAGAATAGGTAAAAATGCCATTGTTATGATCCCAAGCAATTTAAGGACTAAACTAAACTTAATTTTGTTTTATGGATATCAGTTACCACATACAACTTATTAATACATACGAAGAAGTAAAAGTATTTTGCCTAAACCCATGTCCCTTAATGAGTCCCTGAAATAAAAACATGTTTGGCGCCAAGATTGAAACACTAAACTTGCTTATCGGTCCCAGATTGCGATTGTCCACCACGGAGATACTATCAAATAAAAAAGCTCGATAGTAGCACTGTAGAATAAGGTATGGTAACCGGCGAATGCACGAGGCACTGCTGCATTAGTCTCTAGGGTAGAGATAGTGCTGAATCAGTGGCGACGCTATACACATTCCAGATCCCACGAAACACGTTCCACAGCAGATGAGGGAGAACTGTTGGCTGCTGGGTTTTAGAAGGTAGACCCCTAGGTAGGTAGGTTGATTTAGCCCTACTGGTTGGCTAAGGGTGGGTGGGATTTGGCGTATATTCCCAGTCGCCCCCGCCTGGATTGCCTACACAGGCAAATGGGAATAAAAAATCTGAAGTGGGGGTAATTACTTCATCCCCATTTGCCTCCGCAAGTAATTACCGTAACAGTAACAGTAACGATCCCCGCGGTGGCGACAGGGAATAAACGGGATTTGGGGAGTGCAATATCTTCGTCTCTCGCTCGCGGGATATGCGTCATGCATTTCTCCAAGTACACCTAGGGCAGAGCGGTACTCACAGGCGGGTGGCAGGGGCGGGAGCAGGGCGCCCAGGCGGCGGCCCACCAGTGCGGGCAGGCGGGTACGCGGCACTGCTGCATCAGCGCTTCGTGCCGCGGCGGCTCAAGCTGGTAGCACAGCGACTGGTCCACCACCTCTGTACACATAAAACGACCACATTTACTCTAATACTTTTTCGAGGGAGAAAACTATATTAGTAGGCATAGAGTAGATGCAGATAGATGAGAGTTTAATTAGGCGGTCCTTATCGAGCAGTAAAGTCGATAAACATGTATGGGAGAAAAGAAGCAATCGTCTACACGATCTCTTGATAGTAGTTTGCAATGGCCTCTCAACTTCTTACAAGACCTTGGTCAATTTCATACTGGTATTACTTAGTCTGTTTTTTATCTCTGTGGTGTAGGGGTGTGTGTGTCCCATAGACATAGAATGAACTGAGTTGATTACTTCTCTAGAAACAAAAATATCGTGCAGAAATGTGTGAATGAAGCAAAGCGACGACATCTTATCTGACAGCTCGCTGCCGCGCCAGGTGGCTAAGGACTCTTAGGCATAGGTAGCGAGAATTCTATATCTATGCACTTTGGCGGAGCAGGGCGACCAGTCGGTACAAGTAGCGCCGTTTCCACCGTGTACTGGCTTTTTGACGTGACAACGTCTTAAATTAGGTTGCGGCTGGGAGTCACTTATGAAAAAGTGTAACGCTCGGTAACGTTACGATGAGTCTCTCGTGTTAAGTTTAAGTTTACATGTACAATGTTTTAGTAAACAAAATATATTTCTATAGTTAAAATTTGTGCAATTCTTATTTTCATTCAATTCCTTGTTCCTATTGTGCAATTTAATTATATTCATATCAATAAATATTCTACCGAGAAAAAGACGTTGTCACGTAAAATCTTCGCCCGTAAAACCGACTTTACAGGCAACCATTTTTTTTTTTTTTGAGTGTGTATGCTGTTGGTCGCAGATGACCTTTACAGCGTCACTGGGTTTGAGGACGGCGAGATCCTAAGGGGACCTCAAGCCGAGAATTGGGGAGTGCCACAAAGGTATTCCAGGTGAATGGCATCTCCCTACAGGGGGAGTCCCCTCTCCGTCTGGAGCCTGTAAACAACTCGAGCCTGAGTGGGCCGGCTTAGCTATAGGGCGTCTCTGAAACTCTGACCTCGGCTCTAGTTAGTCGTTGTCGTGGGGGGGCTGGCATGTGGCGCCTACGCTTGTCTCACTCATCGACGTACGAGTAGCGCCGTCTGCGCGCGCTGTCCACCGTGTACTGGAACGTGGCGCCCGGTGCAGGGGTATATAAAGACTCACGTTCGCGCTCGTCGACGCACAGCAGGCGGCGCGTGGCGCGCGCGCGGCCGCAGGTGGCGGAGCAGGGCGACCAGTCGGACAGGCGGTACGAGTAGCGCCGCCTGCGCGCGCTGTCCACCGTGTACTGGTACGTCACGCCAGGGTTGCGATGCGCTCGCCCCCGGAATATGCGTTGCTGTACAAGCAAACGGAACGGCACAGTTATTCAGGCACGCACGTACTTTTATTATGGCACTTGCAAACATTGCCGAAATATATCGGAGACTCACGAAAAATACGGCACGTAACATATAATGTCAGTAACTATGAATTTTTAAAACAATCCAGCCAGCGGACCGGCGGTGTGCTAACGACTGCAGATGTAGCCAGGACCAACGCTTAATATGTCTTCCCAAGCATGGAGGAGTTCGTAATAATAAATTTTGGTCGCCCATCCTTTGACCGTCCATTGCGAAAGCTGCTTTACTTATGGCCGTAGACCGAATACGCTAAATAAAATCCTTCAGGATAATAAGCACGCATATTAGTAAGCATACCAAAATTTTGCGGTTATCACGTTCTACCAATTACAATAGTCACATTAAACGATCCTTTACATTATGGTAAAAGTTAACAAACTTACGTAAACTTTAATATCTTCCTCAATCGGTCCTGTGATTCGGACCTTTTCCCAATCTCTGTCGCGTTCGTAGATCGCTTGAGCTCCCGCTACGAAGTATTCGGTCAAAGTGGTATTTCTAGAAACAAACCGATCATTATCACCGATTCGACATCTATTTTTATTATTTTTATCTACAAAGTCATCTAAGCTTTAAATTCTTACCGTGCTCCACTCAAATAGAACTTCCTTGACTTCGCGCTACCTATTGAGATGTAATTCCCTGGACTAACTTTCTCTTGAATCCTGACGTTTCTGGAGCCGGCTGGTATAACAACTACCTGTTAACAAATTGCGATCAGTCAGCGCTGTAATAAGTTTAGAAGTTCAATTGAACTTTTGATATCAGATTATAGAAATAAAGTGGTCCCACGTTGGGCGCCACTTATGGGACATGAAAGGAAACTCAGAATGTAGAGTATTCGCTATCCGTGCGATATCCATATAATCTGCGCGTGCTTACCTCACTGAAGCCGGACTGCTTGGTGGTGCCCTTGCTGTAGATGCCCTGCACGGTTTTGCAGGCTGATCCGTTGCCGCCGCACACGCCGCACGCGTCGTCCTCTGCGTCAGAGTTTACCACCCAGTCGCAGCCAACTTTGTAGCAAACACCTGTGATTATGTGCCTTTGGTTAGGGTATATCCGAAAAGGATACTTAGAATTGAATTGAGTGATAAGCAAGTAAGATCAATCTCCGATACAGGTATCTAATGAGTTATGGTATAGGCAGGATCACAAGATTTTTTCCTCGTCTATCAGGTGGAATATTAACTAGTATTGAACACGTACTTTTTCTTTATTCACATAATCAAAATATAACAGAGATATATTGATTTGAAATGTCGCATGACGTCACGTTTTGGTACAATTTTTAAAACTCTTACTTGCTTTATCTTTGTAATTTTTTGGCTAACTGACAAAGTAGAAAACACGTACTTACATTATTTTTTGATAATCTAACGGACAGACTAAATAGTATTTGTTTCCTTTACCCGGTCATCATCCCCTTTTGAAGTTTATTGTAATGTGTAGTGATTAGTTGAAGCTGAGTTCAGAATCGAATCAAAAGCCTAGTAAATAATATAAGTGATAGAGTTTGATGTGCAATGAACAAATTTCATGTTGTATTAGTTACCAGCAATGCACATATCCCTCGCGCCGAGGCTCTGGCGGCAGGGCGTGCCGTCCGCCACGAACGCCGCCGACATCAGCTCTAAGTCGCTGTCGTCTCGCGGTACGCACTTCAGCTCGCATGGTCTATCTGCGGGACATTTGAAGTTTTAGGATTTCTGAGACTGGCAGCCGTACTCAGAAATGTTAAATTAAAGGATGATTCACGCCAGCGTTGCCAGACGTCCCGATTTTTTAATCAATATTTAATGTACCGCGCGGGACAGGCTCAATCCCGCTTTTCGGGAATAACTCGACCGTGCGTACAGCGTACTGAGAAAGCACGGACTGGTGGCACAGGCAGGTGTGGACTGGCCGCCTGCCCGGCGCGTTATGAAGATAAATATTCAGTAACTTTGAAATATACGTTTTATGTCCCGCTTTCGACGAAAGAATCCCGATTTTTTCACTCAAAAAGTTCCTAAATCCCGACTTGGCAAAAAACTATCAGGCAACGCTGATTTACGCTAAACCCGTGCCGGACCCGGAGCTCTATTTTTGAATCACTCAGCTATCGATCGAACGGGAACTCGGGAGCCGAGCATCGGTTTCAGCACGGTTGTTTTTTCGGTTACTGTTCCATCTATCGTGAGTAGCATTTGTAGTATTCGTGCTTCGAAGGCACACAAAGCCGTTGGTACTGGCTGCATCTGCAGTCATTAGCACCCACCAATCCGCTCTGGGCCCGCGTGGTAGGTCAATACAATCTCCTTAGCCCATCCATAGGGAAGGTCTGTGCCCCAGCAGTGGGGACATTAATAGACTGGTGGTGATGATATCGTGAGTGTCTCTATATCAAAAGGTATGTACTATTAATTGACAGTGCTACTTCCGATGCACGGCCCGGACCCAGTACGGTGTAGCGTGAGTCATCTTTCATTTAATACCGCAATAAGTCGCGTGTTGTGTCATTCTATTGTTATCACAAAGAAAGTGCCAGGCATTAACTTAATTGTCTCTGAGTGCGGCTGTGTACCTCTTGCTTGACGCACTGGTATGCTAAAAAGGAGTTGGGATAGGTGGCGCGGATGGATATCTCTTTCTAGTAGGGGGACAAAGAAAAATTTAACTTTATTCTTAACCAATATCAGAATTACGCTAAGCCTTAAGAATAGTTTAATTTTCATATTTAAATACAGGAAAATGAGCAATAGCAAGATCTGGTTTGGTTTTTAATCTATGATTGGATATGTTACCTTGGTCGAAGTAAGGTATCCATTCAGCTACAGTGACGTTTTTATAGGTCTTGTTGTTGTACCGGGCGCACTGCACTTCTCTGAAAGTCGGCTCGTTGATTGGACAAGGATCAGTGTTGCAGATCTTGTATCTAAAATGAGAAAAAATGGATACTATTATTCCTGAAACATCTTTAAGAAAATTCTCTAAGAAAATCATGTTCCACGTAGACTTTATGTGTAAACTATTACTAGCGACTAAGATGTCACTTTCTCTTATATTTCACAGCTTTTCCGTAAAACATACAATTGCAGGCTGTAATTGTGAGCTTGGCGCCCACCGTGTTACTATTTCAAAGCTTAAGCGACCCTGGGTCTAATCGTGTTTGTTCTGCTAGCGATTGGTCATTGTGAGGTTAACCAAAAATTTATCATCTCGAACTCCTCCGTTTTTCTGAAGGCACTTTAAGCCGCTGTTTCTGGCTGCATATGCAGTTGTTAGTACCCACTGATTGGTCATAGCTCGTTTTCCCTATGCCATCCATAGGGACATGCCTTCTCTATCCCCAGCAGTGGGGCATCAATTGGCTGGTGTGGGTAGGTGTTTGTTTTTTATGTTAAAAGGGTGGCAAACAAGCTTATGGTCCGCCTGATGGTAAAGGCACTGCCTCCTTATATTCAAGATGCTCCGAACAAACTAGCTTTTAAAACGCTCCATACGTCATCATTTATTAGATTCCTCCTCTGCATCTCCTGTTTTGTATGTATATACTTATATATGTAAATATTATGTATTTATATAGATCTTCATTTTACGTTGTGTATAATTGTATATATTTATATTATCTTGTTTCTATAGATATACTTTAAATTATAATAAATACTTTGATGAATTCTTTTCGCACTACCTTCGTAATCTTTGCTATAATTCACCGGTTCGGTGGCAGAGAATGCCTAATGGCATCAAGTTTAAATGAATAAATAAAGAAGCCTATAGACGCTTGCGATACAAACAGATCACTCGCGCCATTGCCTACCCCGTAGAGCCCTGTATACTGACCGGCTCCGGTCGCCGATGCAGTAGCTGCCGCTGTTGTACGGCTCGGGGTTGTTGCACTCGCGCGCCTGCGTGGACACGCCGGCGCCACACGTGCGCGAGCACTCGCTCCACTCGCTCCACGGGCCCCAGCCGCCGTCGCGGGGTGCCGGTGAAGGCGTCCGTGCCACGCATGTCTGGTTCTGACACCACTAGAGACAAATAGAATCGGTTTAAGGTCTGTGCATATATTATTGAATCGGATAGAAAGTCGTTCACGGCGTGTAGACAAGTGACTTTAATCCTGAAGTTAGCGTAACTTCAATGAGATCTTCATAAACTTTATATTAGTACACTATGAAATCAGTAACATAGTAGAAGTAATCTTTGATTCTATTTAAATAAAGGGTTACCTATATTCTTTAAGTCATAAGAGTAAAATATACTGGGCCGCTGGTGGTGCCTGGTTCGGCGGGCCGCAAAATGGTCTTGCAGTTGTTGTTGACCAAACACCAAAGATGCTCTGTCGGACATCACATCTGGGCGTCGTCTACTTACATATAGGTGGTGACGTTGATAGGCTGATTGCTACCAATATCTGGGCCTCAAGTAATCCCTGGTGCGGCGGGCTGCAACATGGTCTTGCAGGTGTTGTTGACCAAGCTGCTCAACCAAAGATGCTCCGTCGAACATCACGCCTGGGCGTTGCCTACTTAGATAAAGGTCGGTGGTGGGGACATAGATAGGCTGATAGCTACCATATCAGGGCCGCAGGTAGTCCCAGGCGCGGCGGGCCGCAGCATGGTCTTGCAGGTGTTGTTGACGAGACACCACAGGTGCTCGCACAGCTCGCTGGGCTTCGCGCAGACCACGGCCTCAGCGCCGAACTGCAGGTGGCACTGAGTTGCCGCGTCAAACATCACGCCTGGAAAGCAACGTCTAAATAGGTGGGCAGTTCTACTGCGTAGTATCTTTTTCATTCGTATGTTTTGAATGGTACCTACTACTACGGAAATTTTCTTAAGGGCGAAAATAAGATTATTGTTTTACTTTTACACACAAACCCCCTGTAATTCAATTTAACAATAAAGTAGAGAAATACTCCTGAGTTTTTAAACCTTTTTGATTACTTCAATCAAATTAAATATCTTAAGTACTTAGTCTACTAAATTGGGATAAATAATAATTCCGTTTTGCAAGCGTCTGCATCGTTTCTACAAGTAATAGCTCACAATTTATACGAAGCATTTGTGTTATGTAAATCACACATATGTAAATCATAAAAAAATATGTTAGATTCAAGACAACAAAGAAAAGTTAAGGAATAAACCTGAGAATAGGAAATATTACTTGCATAGCCAAATCGTCTCAAATTATAATCTTTTTGAGCAAGGAACCCGTAATTTGACTATATATCTTACCCGCTGGTACTTCTGGGTAGGTATAGTATTCTTCCTGAGAAGGTCTATCGCTCAAACATTCGCCCATGCCAGCACTGAAAAAAAAATATGAGGATTAATTTTACTAATAAGTTACTAGGCGTGTCGTTCGCTGACTACGTAGTTTTTTGCAATAAGGAATAAACTTAAAGATTTAATGACCATAAACAGATACAAGTTTAATTTTTAAACGCTAATTTGTAACCACGTTACGTCCACATATTTACATAACGAGGTACTTTTAAGGTATTTCATCAAAACTGTTAAATGACTTTGTAGTTAATGTATGAATATTATTGTTCCTAATGACATTTAATTAGGAGCAACGTTGTGGAATGGAGGATGTTGACGAGAACAACATGTTTATATATTTTTTAATTAGTTTCTTTAAGATGCCGAAGATATGTGTAGGTACTTTATATTCAACGTAGAAAATTGAAATATGTACTTAAACAGGATCTTTATCCTGTATAATCATTGGATTACTATGTCTGGTAGGTATTTTAAAATAAAAGAAACAGCTATTTATTTCTCGAGAAGCTCGTTTAAAAAAAAACAGGATAATAGGGATTTCACTAAGAAAAGGTTATGCTATAAATAAACATAGGAAGAACCAATGCAGCTTAAAGTATTGCCCTTGTATTTTCAAAGAAATGGGCTAAAAAACAAAGCTGAATTCTTTAGTAGTGTGCGAGAGTGTAACGCCAAAAAATATTGCAGCTTCTCAGTTTTATGAATACAGATGTATAGTATAATAAATATATAAATAGTTTCTTTGAACATTTTTTTTGCGAAGCCGTGCAATGACATCTAGCCTTGAAAGCCTACGAGCGAATTGTCACATGCAATAAATTTAATATGTGCGCGTGGGTTTTATATTTTTACTTTCAGTTTTGTTGTGATCGAAACACAAATTCGTATGTTAATGGCGCGATTTAAGATAACAGGTGCCGACTGCAATAAAATACATTTTTATGTTATATGACACTGGTTTGAAAAAAAGCAATTGTATTGATGGAAGTTCTGCTGATCATTTCTGGGCCCTATTTCACCGAGTCGATATAATGTCACTGACATATGTCATAAAAATGACAGACATTTTGTTACAATTGTTCTTATGTTCGTATCAAAGACATTTATGTTGTGGAACAAGGGTATTTTTGAAAGTCTACATATTTGACAAATTATCGGTAATTCTTGACATGATATGGGGGCTGAATCAGATTTGCGTTACAATGGTAGTGTTTTCGTTGTTTGATACAAAAAAATGAGTTTTTATACAGGAGATTTTTTGCGTTCAAAGAAAAAATCCGCATAAGCAAAACCAGTAGAGTCTGTGCGGAAAGAGAATGGGATTTAGATTGGAGGGCGCTGTAGTGCTTTTCTACCGTATTTGTAAGGTTTTACCCCTTTTATGCATGATTAAATACAAAAAACCGCAAGAAATCACAACAACAAACAAATCCGTATCAATACAAAACTTTGACGTTTTACAGATTACTGGGTTTGATTGCCAAATAAAAATCTTAATGTTAGTTCCGTTTTTCGCCACGCCCATTCTCTTTCCGCACAGACTTTACTGACCAATCGGTGCAGTAAAGAGTTACATATGTCACTGACATTATGTCGACTTGATAAAATAGTTCGATGTGATTAAGTTGACTCACTCTAAGAAGTTGGTGACGTCTCGTTTGCTGCAGCGCGACCAGGCGACTTGCACCGTGTCCGCCTCGAAGATGGGCGTCATGATGTGCAGGGTGGACCCCTCGCGCCGGTGGCAGCCGATCTTCTCGGTGTCGTGGTACAGTCCGAAACTAGAACAAAATATAGGCAATTTAATTTAACCAATAATATTTATACATTGATGATGTTAATTATGAACTCTTAGTAAGACTGTATGTTTGTGACTCAATCACGCAAAAACTGCTGAACGGATTTGGATGAAATTTGGTACACACATTACAAAGGGTACTTTTTATCTCGGAAAAATGTTAGTTACCGCCGATTTTATTTTTCGTTTTCTTTTCGATCTTATCTATTCTTTTAAGATTTTAGTACTTTAACAAATATAACAAATGTCACCCTTTTTACCTACTTGTTCTATTGGTAGAACAAACAGTAGAACAGGTGGTAATAACCCGACTTCTCCTTCTTCCAAAAGAGTCCCTTCTTCCTCAAGATTTTTTTTCTTTAGAATTCGCTTTAAGGTTCTTCTATTGCTTTCCTTTCCATACCAACGGATTATTTATTTGATTATTATTAATGAAATTCCCGACATTAACATTGGCGGGCTTACCCACATATAACTGTTTGAAAGTGTGACAGGGTGATGGTCAAAGAAAATTCCCCATCTTAACACTGGTGTTAAAGTTTGGTGTGAAAGTGGGTAAAATCTGTTTATGTGTACAGGTTATTTGTTATCACAGTTTCATAATATGTTTTTTTTAATAGCGAGGTAGGCAAATGACTCCACCCCACCTGATGTTAAGTGGTGATAAAGTCCAAATGCAAAGATAGCTGGTACAGCAGTTATAAACTGCTACACCAACCATCCTCACCTTGCCGGCCTGCAAAAATGCTTCTTCACGCCTCTCTTAAAGGAACCCAGATTGTAGGAAGGAGGGAACACGTGCGCGGGTAAAGAATTCCACTTACGAATAGTACGACAAAGAAATGAGTAACCAAATTTCTTTGTTCGTGTAGAAATCGTGGCCACAGTAAGTCGGTGGCAACGTAGGCCAGCGCGCGTGGTCCTCTGAAGAAAAGGTGATGGAGGGATAAGCGAGACTAGCTCCTCAGAACACTCGCAATATGTGTATCTACTTACAATTATAGTTATGTTTTTATTTATTTTTAAGCATTTAACTGCTAGATCGACAGATCTAGAAGAGGAGCTCGATGGCGCAAGTGGTTAGCGCGTTCGGCTGCGATCGTTGAATTTAAGCAACTTTCGCAGTGGTCGGTCATTGGATGGGTGACCAAAAATTACTATCTCGAGCTCCTCCGTGCTTCGGAAGGCACGTTAAGCCGTTGGTCCCGGCTGCATCTGCAGTCGTTAGCACCCACCAATCCGCACTGGGCCCGCGTGGTGGGTCATGGCCCAATCTCCCTATTCCATCCATAGGGAAGGCCTGTGCCCCAGCAGTGGGGACATTAATAGGCTGATGATGATGATGATGAACTGCTAGATGTTTAAATCTAAAGAAAAGTTTACTAGAAAAAAACCCACGCGGACCAGGCAGCGGACGGGACTCGAACCCGCACCCTTCGCTATCCGGGCGAATGCACTGACCATTATGCTACCACGGCCCTTTTCGCCGCGTCGAAATTTTCTTAGCCTTAAGCTGCAAGGCAGCGCCATCTCTTCGCATTGTAGGTAATCCACAATGTCAAATGAATACTTTTTCAAGTATTAAACATTTTGTGGTATGTTGGGTGATGGCGGCAGGTTATAATAAATACAAAGACGTAGATAGGTTGGTGTCCATTTATTGAAGAAGGCTTAATGGTACAAAACATACTTATTTATAATATTAGTGCACTACGTAGTTACACACACACACACTTATAAAATATAACACACAATATTATTACAAAACATCAGCATTTCACGTGGCCTACTTTCGTGTCATTCAATGTTGCGTTGTATTATTAATACATATTTATTAAATTATTTTCATACTATCACACGCCCCCCAAAAATCTCCATTACACCCCTCTCCTCAAAAAAGAAAAAAAAAAAGTGTTACATTTTTTTTTGAACCACATACATTCAGCTAAATATTATCATTATAAAGTTTCGTATTATTCTTATGTACTACGTACTCTCTATTATTTTTTAATATCTTTACATTAGGTGACAATTCCTCTATTACTTCATAAGGGCCGTTATACACTCTATCTAACTTATCTCTTATTTGATTTTTTACCAAAATTAAATCTCCTTTTTTATATGTTATCGGGTAACTATTTTTATCAAATGTAGTTTTTCTACATAATTTATTAGTTAATAAATTTTTTCGCGCATCACACAGTGCTCTTTGTAGTCTATGTCGAAGTTCCTTAGGATAGTCATCATAGTTATATAAGGGAGTTACAGAGTCACTTAAGTTACTAGGTAAAATACAATTTTTTCCAAACACTAGCTCGTAGGGAGTATATTTTGTTTGCGTGTGTACCGAGGTGTTGAATGAGAAACACCAGTACGGAACCCAACTACTCCAATTGCTTTTGTGACTCTCACATTGTATTCTTAGAAAAGTGCCGAGATGTTTGTGAGTATTTTCTAACGATCCCATAGTTTCATGGTGATATGCAGTGGACTGTAATTTTTTAATACCTAATAAGCTACATATTTCGGTCATAATTTCGTTAAGAAATTCTGTTCCCTGGTCTGTAATTATTTCTTTTGGGATTCCATATCTAAGGATAAAATTATTTACAAAAGCTCTCGCTACCGATTCGGCGTCTTTGCGCTGCAAGGGATAGGCTTCAACGAACTTTGTTAGGTCGCACTGTAGAGTTAGTATGTACCTATGATTGTAATCGTCAACTTGTAAAGGTCCCATTATATCTAAACTAATTCTTTCGAAAGACGAATTAGGGGTAGTCGTTAATGACATAGGTTCCTTAATGTATCTATTGGTGTATTTATTTATTTGACAAAGCTTACATTTATTGACATAATTAACGACATCCTTTGTAATGCCTGGCCAAAAATAGTATTTTTTAATATTGTTTAGCATTCTATTTATCCCAGCATGCCCACTGGTGGGCAACAAGTGGAAGTCATTTAATATAACTATCTTTTCGTCCTCATTTCTGATACGCTTAACATCTTTAGTTATCAATAATCGCGGCCGACTCAACTTTAGTTTTTTAATTGTACTTGCAAGTAACTTAATATGTCCTTCATATATTTTATTTTTGATAATAAGCAATTCTAAGATATTTAACTTACTACAAAAACTCTCTAAATCTCTCGCTAACGCTTCTACAGCTGATAGCGATCGAGCATTTAGATAAATTATTGACCGCTTTGGTACATATACACAATTTCCACTTGAGGACGTAAAAACTTCGTCGTTTCCGTCATATTTGACCGAGTGACTAAAACATAATTCGATAATATCCGGTGGTGGCTTGAGAATTTCCACGGCCAAGGGGTGATCAGTCCCATGACTATGCAAATTTTCAGGCTTACTATAATTCTCTAAGTCACAGTTTTCATTACGACTATTTTTTTTTGTTTGTGCTCTAGTAAGTACTGATACTAAGTGTTCACGCATATTTTTTAAATCATCCGATGTCACCGGGATGCGACTCAATGCGTCTGCAGCCGCGTTGTGTCGTCCTGGGACATAGCCTATCTCGAAATCATATTCCTCTAAATATAAACGAAATTTAGTTTGCCTACTGGAAGGATCTGTCATAGAAAATAAATAAATAAGAGGCTTGTGATCGGTTAGAATTTGGAATTTCCTACCATATAAATAAGGTCGAAAATGCCTCACTGCCCAAACTATGGCTAATAGCTCCAAGTCTATAATCGGATATCGCGTCTCAGCGGGCTTTAAACTTCTACTTGCGTATGCAATAACTCTATCATTCCCATTGGATAATATTGCACCTAAACCTGTTCTTGAGGCATCAGTCTGCAATTTAAAAATATTATTTTCAGAAAAATCGGGATAATCCAAAACTGGGGGTTTTATTAAAGCAGATTTTAATTTTTTGAATGCTTCGTCACAATCAGCTGTCCAATTAAATGCAACATTCTTTTTACAAAGTCTATTTAGTGGATGTGCAATTTCAGCGAAATGTAAAATAAATCGTCTATAATAGTTAGCGAAGGCCACGAATCTTCGGACCTCGTCAACGTTAGTCGGTGTCGGATAACTTTGCAAGGTTGTTATTTTGCTTGGATCAGGAAATATGCCTTTACTTGTTATTTTATGTCCTAAGTATACTATCTCTGTTCGTAAAAATTCACATTTTAAAGGGTTTAGTTTTAAATTAACTTTTCTTAAGCGTTCTAACACAGAAATTAGGTTTTTATTATGATTTTCTATACAATTTCCTATAACGATACAATCGTCTAAATAAATAAAACATTGATTATAATTCAATCCAGACATAGCTATAGTCATCAATCGAGAAAATACGCTAGGACTAGTTTTAAGTCCCATCGGACAACGCTTCATTTGGTATATTTTATCAGCTGTGAAAGCGGTGCACTTACGTGAATCGGGATGAAGGGATAATTGGTACATTCTATCTAAATGGAAAGCAGTGTATTTTCTTGAATTTTCATTTAAATTTAATTGATAATAACTTTGGGACAAATCTAATTTTGAAAAATACATAGAATTTGATAAGGAATCTAAAATATCTGTAATATTGGGAAGTGGAAATTTATCATCTTGAATTCTATTATTTAATTGCCTATAGTCAACGACAAACCTATACTTCTTTTCATTATTTTTGTCGGTCTTTTTCGGAACAAGCAAGACGGGACTAGACCACTCCGAGGTGGATTCCTCAATAATATCGTTGTCTAACATATCCTGTATTTGTTTACGTAACTCTGGTTTTAAAGAGTGTGGTATTCTGTAGGGTTTTATATAAACAGGAGTCGCATTATCCTTTAAAGTAATTTTATGCTCCATTAAATTAGTGACTGACAGTTTATCACCTGGGAGATGAAACACGTCCGCGTACTTAGCGCAAATAGACTCAATGCTAAGTCGTTCATCTTTGTTTAAATAACCTAGGTTAAGAAGCTCAAATAATGTTTTTACACGATTTACGGAAA